TCGATTTATCTACAATTTATAAACATTGTTGTTCGTAATCTCATACATGCAGTATTCTTAAGTCTTCTAATCTAATTTTGGCGTCCAAGTTGCAAAGATATGAAGACTAGATTTAGGTCATTTCCTTATCTGGATGTACTTTAAAACTTTTGCAATATTCACTACGAGAAGAACAAAAAATTTACAAAATTAGACCACCGAGACTGCACACGATGTTATCAAATATGAAAATTACGTACAGTTATCACAATAGTTCAGTGAAACAATATATACTGGAGCCAAGTATGAAGATAATGAAAACTAAACATTCTCTAAAGTCCGTTGATAAAATACAACTTGGAAGCAGAAAAAATATCAAAGACTGGATCAGGTGCCACGGAGGTTAAAGCACCCACCACTGTGTATTCCTTGTCATGGAATGAAAAAATTCAGGGGCTCGTTTTACAAAAGGACTTACGACTTAAGACCAAGATTTATTCTTCATATAAGTTTTTAATTAACATTTTATCAAAAATTATTTTAAACTTTTTAAAAGGAATGTGGTAAGATATTTTTACACAAACAATTTCAAAGAGAATTATTAATTTTTCAAAATTTTACAATCATCTGAAGTTTTTGGTCTAATACCCCATTCATACGACATGATTTGCATACCTCAGTATATTTTACTCATATGTAAATTTACTCACGTGTGCAATTTTTGTCGTATGAACTGATTTGCTCACATGTAAATTCTGCACAGTTGAGTAAATTTACACCTAGTCAGGACTAGGTGCAAATTAACTTTTGCATAATGTTGTCGCAAATTTTTACTTTATATGTGTAAATTTTGTCGGAACACGCAGCAAATTTAAATATGTACGTATTTTGTTTTGTTTATTGCATAAATCTCCATTTTAAGTGTTGTTTCGGTTGTTTATGCATTGTTGTGTGTATAATTTCAGTCTGTTAGAAAGCAAAACTTAAAAAAAAACTGGATTTTATGGTCATCTTTGCTGTACTAATGGCTTTTACTACTCTGAAAACAATGATCCACACAATATCTCCAGTGTCCTCTGATATAAATTTGAATTTGCAAAAACGTGTGCATCTTGCACCCTTTCTGGCACACCTATGTTTATGCCTCTAAATTATAAAAATATAGTTGTGGTCGCGCAAACATGTGCCCTGCAGGATCAGTAAGTAGTCTCCTTACAATTCAAGTAGTCTTCATGAGAATGCTCCGGAACTGTGATAGGAATAGGCATTACAGCAATCGCCGGGGCCCCATTACAGATTGACTTCATTCTACCTTTCTTTGTTTTAAAGCCAAGGCAAGCTACTGAAATATAAATTGATGCTACAGGAATTTCAACAATCCTGTTGAAAATCTGGATTTTTAAGCATTTTCGATCCTTGGCACTTGATCCCACCATGAATTTCTAAGGGATTCGTGTTTATTTTATTTCCTATTCATATATTTGTTTTGTTTGAATTTTTTTAAAAATCGATTGCCCATTTCATTCTCCAGGAAAATACATATAACATTCAAGCAGAAACTTCATAATGACCTCAAAACTTGATGTACTGTAGATTTCCAAACCCCAAAAAGATTTCCAGTCGTACTTTATTCTGCTGAAGACGCCATTCAGTAGATGGCAACAGCCATCTTTAGAAATTTTCTTACCACCCAACAGCTCTCCTATAGTTTAAGGACCGAGGCCAAAGCATTTTCCAATTTTTTAAAAACAATAATTTTAATTTTTCATTTTTTCCGTGTGTAAATTTTTCCTAAAAGTTATTAAGTTCGCTTTTTCCGTTCCAAAAAATAAATGGATCGGATTTTCCCCTTCTTTTTTAGAGGAACATTCAAAAGTTAGTCTTATACCCAAATAGTAAGAAAATAACCTTTTTTATGCGCCTGGATCGAAAGATCCGAGGCGTATATTGTTTTTGTCCTGTCTGTCTGTTTGTCTGTTTATCTGTTTGTCTGCAAACTTTAGCCTTCACCATAACTTTTGAACCATGAATGATAGAAACTTCATCTTTAGTATGCAAACTCTACTAATCAAGTTCTTTCAAATGACACTAAGGTCAATGCCCTTGTGACCTTGACTGTGACCTATATGCTAAAAATAGCTCTTTTCTGCAAACTTTAACCTTCGCCATAACTTTTAAACCTTAAAAGATAGAGACTTCATATTTGGTATGCATACACCACTGATTGAGCTCTATTTAATGACTCCATGGTCAATGACATTGTGACCTTGACTGTGACTTATATGCTAAATATAGATTTTTTGTCGACAGATTTTAACGCCATTACTTTAGAACGAAGAAAGATAGAGACTTAATATTTAGCATATATACTCCACTAATAAAGCCCTTTCACATGACACCAAGGTCAATGACCTTGACTGTGTCCTATATGCTAAAAATACCTTTTATTAACTTTGTTGCCGCCGGGCGCATAGTGTTTCACAAACACATCTTGTTTTTATATAAAAATCATCAATTCTGAATCTATGGATCTCCTTATTTAACATGAAAATATAAGGATTTACTTACAGTATATAAATCTCGTCTGAACGCATAGCAAATTAACTTTTACTTACGTATGTATATTTACTCATATGTAAATTTGCACACATAAGCAAATTTTCGTCGTATGGATGGGGTATTAGTCGTAAGTTCTTTTGTAAAACGGGCCCCAATCTAATTCGACCTTATTTTGCAAACAAGATCATAGTATTGACCATTGTCAAATGTTGACAAAAACAAGATTCTATATACCCTAGATGATCAACTAGTTTATTACTAATTTGCCTTGTTTAAGAATTATCCATATATGAAGAACATAGTCTCGGGACATGACCGTGCAAATAGAGAACTGCTACATAAATAAGAGAAGAACTTAAATTGTTAGTTTACCATTATTGTCTAAAGTCTATTGTAAATTTAAAACTATCTAAATATAAGCAGTTGTGTCAGATTACGATTTGAAAAATTTAAAAATGATCATCATTCTATTGTTCATGTGCTTTACAAGAACACTTTACTTTGGGAAACAATATTTATCAATAAATTTTGGCTTTGGATTCCGTGTCGATTTCCTATTTCGCTACACCTTATTTTTTCGATATCTGTTTCATGTTTGGATATTTTACTTGATGACTTTACCTTTTCAATTGTCATCTTTCCTTACTTATGCAGCGATATACCTTCATTATTTGAATTCGAAGTTTATATCTCTCAGCAAGAGCATGCTCTACATATGTACAATTTCTAAAACAATGTAAATTATTGACAAAAAAATTGATGAAACAAGAATATCAGAAGTCTCATTTAAAGTCATCATTTCTTAAGTCCTTTGGTTGATGCAATGACCTTGTCAGCAAATACAATTTATCATTGAGTCAAATGGTGACTTACGTTTTTCATACTACAGCTGTAATTAATAGTCCATTTACCATTATTTTCACACTGAATTGACAACTGATTTTCCGTTATTTTCTTATCATTACTTAGGGCACATGCCAGGTGTGACCGGTCGGCAGGGGATGCTCACTCCACCATGACACCTGACCAACTTCTGATGTTTTGGAGGTCCATGTTAGCTCTGCTCCTATTTTGTATACTAGTATTGTTTTATGAACTTTTGAACTCAAAAGTCCATAAAACAATTCATAATAGAAGGAGAGCAAACACGGACCTCCAAATCTTCAAGGTTGGATCAGGTTTCATGGAGGAGTGAGCATCCCATGCCGACCGGTCATACCCGCCGTGTGGTCTTTGTCATGATTGGGGAAAACGGAAAAATCCGTCGTCAATTCAGTGTATAAATAATGGTCTATCAATTAGTATGAAAAACTTCAGTCGGCATTTGACTCTATGAATAAATTGTATTTGTTGACAAGGTCATTGTATCGACCATAGAACTGAAACGAACGAAATTATGATTTTTATCTGTTACTAAACTTTAACTGAACGAACTTAATGCGTGACAGTATAATTAATAAAATTGAATAATTGTCAATCACTCTCAATATTTAAAAGTGATTATCATTGTATAGGTGTTACGCAATGTTCGTAACGGTCAAACCTTTTGTGAATAAGCCCGTTTAATTAATGATGATTATTACAAACTAAGACTATCAAATTAGAATCCCTTTCTTAACTGTGTTTTCACTTTATATCACATAGAAGGAATATAGCTAATATATTGTGCGGTGAAATATATTCAATATACAAAAAATTATCATCATGACGTGCATTTAGTTGGAACCGTTTGAAACTTCTGAGTCATCGATGTTTTAGAGGAGGCTTGCATCGCACACCAAGGTATTATTATATTCATATGAAGAATTTCTCTGCCATCATATTCACAGAAATTTAAAATTTATAACCATCACTATACAATTTGGGCATCAAACCCTCCTAGTTATTTTTTCTTTCGTTTTGAAAGAACATACTTAAGTATCTCAGCTATTTTTCAACTATACATGAACAATACATTTTACTTTTCAATTTTAAGTATGATAGAATTGAACTTATTCGATAAACTAAGTAAAAACAATCTCTTTTAAATGTAGAAATCGAAAAAGACAGTGTTTTTATAGATGTCATATTATCTTTTATAAATTAGCTGTTTCCTTAATTCGTGCACTTAAAAACTCATGAAAATGCAGATTGAATAGCTCCAATTAAATCAACACATTTCTTATATAATCTTAATTTATGTTATAATGTAACCACAAGTGACATTTTTCTTGTTTTCGAAGATAAGATGAATAAATAATTCAGTTACAAGTGAGCATTTTTTTAATTAGGCATTTGTTTTACAAAATTAAACTTTCTTTTAATTATTCTTCTATATTGACTGTCATGCATTCATCTCACAATAATACATTTTTTTCAGTAAAAAATATTTCTTTGGCAGTATACTTTAAATAGAGTATGCATTTTAATAAGCAATATATTACAATGATGTATCTTAAGTTAGTGATCTATGAAGGGCTTATTTAATGCTGATTGTGAAATGCCCGTGAAAGCATTGTATCTCTCCTACACCCACTTATAGGATTACAGTCTCGGTTTGAAGGCACCATTCACGGTATTTTATACAATTATTTTTAAATTGAATATTTCCTATGAAATATTAATTAATTCAATATACATTGACTGATGGCGCATTTCTGTGCTGTTATATTAATATCATATGTTGTTGATTTTTTTTTTTACATTAATACTTTGAATAGGCTAAATATACGAAAATGATTTTGATAAGTATTTATTTTTAAAACATTGATTTTTCTTTTATTTTAAAAATTTATATAGTTCATCGTGAAATCTAAAAAGAAAACAAAATTATTTAAGGGACTTCGACCCTCAGCCAGGAAGGACAACTCTTTAATTTATAATTTAATTCAAAAATTCTTTAAATGAAGCTTGAAAATTAAATATTTTAATGCAACAATTTTCATTATATGCCTCTCAATGTGCTTCAAGGTTCTTTAAACTTCTCAGAAAGGTCTAATTAAAAGTAGAAATTTTTATCCCGAAAAAGCATTTTTAGATACCAATGTTTATTAACATGATATGAAATTAGAAGTGACTTATGGAACGTTGCAAAGAACCTTGAAGCACATTGAGAGGCATATAATGAAAATTGTTGCATGAAAATATTTAATTTTCAAGATAAATTTAAAGACTTTTTGAATTAAATTATAAATTAAAGAGTTGTCCTTCCTGGCTGAGGGTCGGAGTCCCTTAAGACCGTATTTTTTAAATAAACAATCATAAATATATAATGCGTATATTTGTATAGAAAAATTATTAGTAATTGTGTTGCAGTTTATTATCAAATGTAGATTATTCTTCTTTTCTTGAAAAAATATTTTTTAAAAATGTTTCGATAATTTAAGAATCATTTTACTAATAGATAGATTAGGAAAAAATGACCATCACTGCTGCGAAACGGTGATGGATGATGGGCTTACCTGTACACAACCACTGTTCAAAATAAATAAGAAATCTCGATATTTTGAACATTAGCGTGTTCGTTAGTGTCTAATAGGGGACTTTTTATTATTAAAAAAAGTGAATTTTTCTGCAGTTCTCATAGAGATGAAAAGATATGAGTTAGCTACTTATATTGACGATTTGGGTAAAGGTTTTTAATTTTAAAATATTTTAAATATTTTATGAAATTTGATAAATGTAATTGTTTATTCGAGTTTCCAAAGTCCAATGCATAATTCTGTTTAAGACTGGAACTGGAAATTGGTCTATAATACGTTTTAGTGATAGTGGCAAAAACCAAGAGACTTTCTTTGACTGAGATTTTTTTTCTAGATCACTCATAAAGGTAAATGCTAGTTTCCAATATCTACTGTGCAGTACAAAATTTTTTACTAGTTTTTCATTCAATTATACAAATCGTTTGTTTTAATTTTAGATTTATTTTTCCTGATGGAGCCTTTTAAGGCCGCTGTTATTCTCTGTCTCGTTACTGCCTGTAAGTATATTCAAAATATTCATATAAACTAAAAGATAACGAACAGAATTCAAGGACAAGCTCAAAAGTCTAGAAACAAAGCAAAAATGAACCTTGTAAACATCAGAGGTGGGATCAGGTGCCTTACTGGAGTGAGCAACCCCTACCGACAGGTCACACCCCCTGTGCTCCTTATACTGTCATGACCGGGAAATATCGGAAATCGGTAGATAATTAGGTGTGTAAATAATTGCCTAATAAGTAGTAGTACATAATGTATCAATGTCTCCCCCCTAGAAGAAAAAAGTAACTGTTCAGTAAATCGATTTGCTGTTTCTCATAGCAAATGCGAACATTACAGTTGTGAATAATCTTGATGAGATGAGTAATTAAAACAAATCTATACTTTTGCAGTCAATGGTGGTCGATCGGAATTTCATGGGGAATTGGAATCACAAAAGTTTGAAAACAGTCGTAGTCTGCATATTCATAGTATTAGAAAACGTGATATAGGAGACGGTGATGAGACAAGCCAAGAAACAGACAACTATCAGGATACCGTTGGTCAGGATGAAATTTACGATCAAACTACGGACGCCTTTTACCAAAACTTAGATTATACAGGGGACATCATACAGAGCGACACAGAAACTTCAGACGACACATTTGAAAATGCTGGAGGCGAGCAATATACAGACCCCAGTCAAATGTTATCAGATGATTACCCAACCACGGCTTATGATCAAGGCGATGGAAATGAAAATGGTGATGATATTTATTATAACAATTATGATCAAACTATGGATGCTCAGCAGTCAGATTATGGAGGAGACTACACAGAGGGCGACGTAGGCACTTCTGAAGGAACGCTTGGGATTACTGGCGATGAGACCTACGATTATTCATCATTGACTTCTACACAAGGGGGTGTAAGCGATTCCGGTTTGGACGAGGGAGTGGGAACGGGTAGTGACTCAGGAGATGGACAACAGTGTAATAAGTGTGGTGGCAAAGACGATTCGGCAGATGAAGCGAGCAGTGATTCAAATGACAGAGGCAATGATAATTCAGATTCAGATGGGGGAAGAAATGATTCGGGTGAAAGAAAAAGCTGCAATAAATGTGGTGGTAAAGACGATTCGGCAAATGAAGCGAGCAGTGATTCAAATAATAAAGGCAATGATAATTCAGATTCAGATGGGGGAAGAAATGATTCTGGTGAAAGAAAAAGCTGCAATAAATGTGGTGGTGAAGGAGGAGGTTCTGAGGGAGAGGCAGATTCCAATTCAGATGATAGGGGTGGAAAAGATTCGGGAGGAGACAATACAAACAGTGACTCAGGGGATGAACAAGACTGCAGCAAATGTGAACGTGAAGGTGATAAAACTGGAGAGAGAAGTAATTCAGATTCAACTGGGGAAAGAAATGACTCGGGTGATAGAAAAGGCTGCAAAAGATGTGGAGGTGAACTGAAAACAACTGATGATGTAACAGAATCTGATTCCTCTGATGAAGGCGATAGTCATTCCGGACACAGAATAAGTTCAAGCTCAGGAGATAAAAGAGATTGCAATAAATGTGGTGGTGAAGGTGGAAGTTCCGAGAGAGAGGCAGATTCCATCTCAGATAATAGGGATGGAAGTGATTCTGGGGGAGATAATGCCGACAGTAATTCAGAAGATGGACAAGACTGCAGCAAATGTCGGGGCACTGGTGGTAAAACTCGTTCAGATTCAGATGATGGAGGCAATGCTGATTCAAATTCAGATGAGGAGAGAAAAGACTGCAATAAATGTGGAGGTAAGCGGGAAACAACTGATGATTTAACAAAATCCGATTCCTCGATCAGAGATGCTAGTTATTCCGCAGACAGAACGAGCTCAAACTCGGGAGAGAAAAGAAATTGCAATAAATGTGTACGTAAAGGTGGAAGTTCCAATTCAGATGATAGGGGTGGAAGTGATTCTCGGGGAGATGATACGGACAGTGACTCAGGAGATGAACAAGACTGCAGCAAATGTTGGGATAAAGGTGGTAAATCTGGGGACGGAACATATTCTGATTCCGATGATGAAGACCGTAGTAATTCCTACAACTCAGGCAAAGATTCAAAGGACGTAGAACAGGTAGAATCGGGCATGAAAATGGCCGAAACGATAATGAATGATCATAGGAAGGATAGCATTGACAATTCATATAATAATGTTCCAGGGAGCATAAGCAGTTCAACATCTCAATTAATCTCGCTTGATACAAGAGACAGGTTTAAGAAAGAAAGTACTGGCATTCCGATTCGACCCGATTCCTCTTGGCAGAATCCTTCCTCATCTATAATTACCAATCCTAAAAATTCTGAAAATAGCCAAAACATCGTAAAGCAACTAGAAAATTATTATGATGCGGGGATTATTACGGGTTCCTCTGATGGTGGTATTGGAGGATTAATGAGTAGCGGAAGAGGCACTGGTTTTGAAAATGGTAAAGATACTTCCAGCCATTCAAGTAATACCATCGACACTGGTATGACATCGGTATTTTCATCATCAGTTGCAGTATCTCCAGTATCTGATAGCACTGGAGGCAATGTCAACATCCTCATATCTGAAAAAACTTCCAAAAACCAAGAGCCAATCGTTGACTCAGCATCTAGTTATGTGGATAACTCTAAATCTTCTGGTGGATTTGTGGATCTATCGATCAAAGGAAAAGCAGTCGAACGTAGCAACCAAGGTACAGATCCTTTTATGAAAACTAGTGATAATATCCCCAAGACAGTTCAAAACATTCCTGCTACGTCTTGGAAAGATTCTACGTTGGATACCAGCTCCACGTTTTCTGAGAAGACTCAAGGTATTCCTGTACAACCCGATAACAGTTATGACACAGGTGTAACCTCTGATTCTTCAGCAGGAAGTGTAGGACTTTCCGTTGATTCATATTATGGTCCTGTTGAAACAATTCATAGTGAACAAGTTAATTACATTCCAGCCTCTCCGTATTCTACATTCATTAAATCTGAACAAACCCCTGGATTGGAAAGTACCTCTGTTTTAACGTCTCTCCCTTCTGAACCTTTAACCTCTAACTTTGTGGAACCTTCTGTACCAGGAGGAAGTATAGTAGAAAGTAACACTCAAAATGCAGATCAGTATGTACCAAAACAAGAACCACAAGGTTTAAATTTGAACAACTACCAAGATAGTGGAACAGTTCAGGGGGTCCCTTCAACAGCTGAATCAACAATTTCAGAAAGCCTCGGAGGTAATGTTAACCCAATTGTCATTGATACACTTTCCCAAAACCTTGAACAAACAGTCGGCTCAACAGCTGATAATAATATCCCTGCTTCTTCCGGTGGCTATACCGATCTGTCTCTTAATGGCAAGGTAGTAGAAACAAGTAAACAAGTTGAAAACTTTTTTATGGAAAATAACGGTGGTAATCAAGGTCCAACAGATGTGACCTGGCAGAATCCTTCCACAAATCAGGAACTATATACATCCCAGGCAAATCAAGGTGTTCCTGTTGACTCATCAACCACATATGTAGATAGTGTTTCGCCTGGTGGATATACAGATATGTCCTTTAATAACAATGTAATGGAAGTCCAACAACCAAGAGGAAACACCGTTGAAGAAAGTAGCGTTGGAGTCCCTGTTCAAACAGATGTATCTTGGCAGAGTCCTTCAACAAATCCGGATCTCTACACATCCCAGACAAATCAAGGTGTCCCTGTTGATTCATCAGCTACATATATAGATAACAGTGTTTCGCCTGGTGGATATACAGATATGTCCTTTAATAACAATGTAATGGAAGTCCAACAACCAAGAGGAAACACCGTTAAAGAAAGTAGCGTTGGAGTCCCTGTTCAAACAGATGTATCTTGGCAGAGTCCTTCAACAAATCAGGAATTCAAAACATCCCTGAGGAGTCAGGGTATTCCTGTTGATTCATCAGCTACATATGTTGATAATTCGGCTGGGGGTTATGTAGATATGTCCCTTAAAAGCAAAGTGGTAGAAGCTAGTCAACCAAGTGGAAGTACAATTGTAAAAAGTAGCAGTGGAGTACCCGTTCAAACCGATTTTTCTTGGCAGAAACCTACCGTAAATGCCGATTACAAAACTTCCGGAGTATTTCGAGGTAATTCTATTCAGACGGTATCTTCTCGGCAAGGTTCCTCTACAATAACTGGCTCGGGAGGGTTTGTGGATTTATCCCTTAAAGGAAAGGGCAAGCTTGCAAAAGAAAATCAACAAGTTCAGGGCATTGCAGTGGGTAATTATGTCAAGGAACCTTACGAAGTGAAATCTTGGTCATATTCTACAAAATCAAAAGGAACTGATATAGGTATTCCTGATGGAGCCATAGATATTGCTGGGAGAATAGAACAGCAAATGGGTTCTACTGCATCGAGGTACCAATTAAACAGAGAACCACAGGCTTTTATAAATGAGCCTCAAGTAGTAACAGTAAATAGTGCTACAATGAAAAAGAAACCATCTAAAATATTTTTAGCAATTACCAGTAAAATAAGAGAAGCAGACGGGTCTTCAGCCTACCAGTATCTTAAGGATGAAGTTAAACAAGTTGAAAATCCAGGCGGTGGTTACATTAAAATATACAGAAACCAACCCGGTGGCTCCAAAGAAATGGAGAGGGTATATGTAAACTTTCGTCAGCCATCAGCAGTTGTTAAAAAAACTTTCACTAGGACCGTTGACATTCCAGGAAATAAGACGAGAATGTTTAACACAGGGCAGAGTGGTTCTGTCACCATTAACGTCGGAGGTCAAACAAACAATGGTATCAACGTTCGTCATTCGTCACCGGTCGTTCGAGAAAGCACATTTACGAGAACTGTGAACATGCCTAGCATGCGGAGGAGAGTGTTTAATACAGGAGGAGATGGCTCTGTCAGCATTGGATTTGGAAGCCAGACCAACAATACTGCTGAGAGTAATGGGGCATCGTCCCGTCTTACTGGATCTATGTCTCTAAATAATATCGGAGTACAAGATGGGCATGATCATTCAAATTTCGGACATGTGACACATACTACGTACGTAGAAGGTCAGCCTCTTTTTGGAACTGTTAGCGGGAAAGTGATTAATATTGGTGGTGCAAAGGTTCAGTCTGACCATGGTCATGCTCACGGTGAGCATACAGTTAACGGTGCTGAAGTGTCATTGCCTACAGGGCACTTCCATGTACACAGTAATGGAGGTCGGCATATAGTCCACACCCAAAGACACGAAAATGTCAATGAAGACACCTACAAGAAAGTGATGGACATAATCAACCGTAGGAAAGCTATGAAATCAGGCTCTGTGTCTATACCTATTGACTCATCTATTTCCACCATCAGGAGAGTCGAAACTCAAGTTGGGGCGAACAGTGGACTTGGAGAATCATCAGACCGCAAGTTTAACAGCAGATCGTTTCAGTTTAAGGAAGTGTCCCTGCCCACGAGTTCATTCCATGTTCACACCGCCGGAAACAGACATATAGTACACAATCAAAAGAACGAAATTGTAGATCCGACAAGGTATAAAAGTGTTATGGATATGATGAAGCGTAGGCCATCCCGCTTTACATCTCGTCCGTTTGCCTCCTCTTTCTCCACGTCTGGGAGTGCAACTGAGAATGTTGGGGTGACAGGTATTCCTATCCGCATTTAAATTCAAGAGAAAGATCATCCTTTCAAGAGTTAAAATTAACATGTACAGAACTTTACCTTAATATATACAAAACGCTCATGATTTTTAATAGTAAACATTAATCGTGGTTTTATCCTTGAAGGTCAGTTTAGACACTATGCATGTATACTAGTATATTTAAATCAATTTGTCCGCTCTTGAGAGTATATTTCTTGAACTTTTTTGCATGGTATATCAATTTGTATTTATTTAAATACCGGTAAATGTTCAAGAAACATAGCAATTATTTGAATATATATTTTACGTTTTTTAAAGTTGGAAATTTCACATATTACAATTTCTGGAATTTTTACGGAAACAATTTTCTATGTATATTTTTAAAGGCAAATTTAAAATTTCGAGAGTTGAATCAGAATAATATCTCCGACTCAGGTTGATTACATCAATTGTTATGAAGATTTCACATTACACGTTATTGGCATTTCACTGCGTAAATTTCAAATTTCAGACCAAGAATTTATAGTAGATTTTCGTTGAAATTACGTATGAATGTACTTGCGCATGTTATACGTGTGTCTTAATATTAAATCTTCATAATCGGTTCTGTATTCTTTTTTCTACAACACATTTATGACGTTTAGATTACTAGTACTTAGAGAATTTGTTGTGTTCCTAGCTGAATTTATTAGAAGTAGAATGTTATAGTTATTGATATAGAACTACATAGTCTAAAACTGCCATTCTCCGAAACTCAGCCGTTAATACTGTTCAACAGTTCGATTTCTACATGTATTTTTGTTGGAACTTTTGTAAATAAAATACAATGAATAAATTACAAATTGTATATGCAGGGTATTTTTTTTTCTTTCTATCTTACAAGTCTTGAAAAGTCCAAAGAAATTTACTGCTACATAATGAATGGCAAAATAAATAACTCAAACTGTGCGTCAAAAACTTTTTTGGTTATTTTTTTGTTGAGATATTTCTATTCTACTCTTATGTCGTTAGTATTTTAATTATTTTTTTTAAATACTTCCCACTGATATTTTGGATTCATTTGTCAGATTATATTTAGCTAGAAATTAGAATTCAAAGAAAAAAAAGAAAATTTACAATAATTCACAAATCCCTTTCTCATCCTTCTCCCAACCTTTACTCATTACACCAGTAGCCACTTTTCTAATCCATCTTCTAATATCTAAAGCTAAATGTCAGGAGCTCCATATCAATCAAACAATGATGACTCTTCAGGGAAACTGTTACATTTTTGTCAGCAATTCTTCTTGCACTCAATTACATACTTATGAAGCATTGAGAGAGTTGAAATAGAGGTACTAAATCACTGGCCATGTAGAAAAAATGTATACAGAAAAAACATTGTCTATCAGCAACTAAAACAGATTTGGACATTATACCTAATAAACATTTTGTGGAGAAAATAAATCATTAAAATCAGCTCCATTTGTTGAGGTGATTGTTTGATAAAGGAAATGAAAAATCAAACTGTGTGATTGCAGTAGATATTCCGTTTCACTTTTGTTCCCATCAAATCAAGAATAAAGTGAGAAGAATAAGGTGTTATTTGATTCAAGGTTTGTGTGAATTTCTGGAATTAATGGGATCAGTCATAATAAAGGGATTCATTACAAACTAAGATTTAACAACAAACAACACTTTTCTGTTTATTTACAAAATAATAAATATCAGCATTACTACATAAGAACCTTCTTTCTAGTTTTTGTCCAATATCACAATATGTGCACTAGTAAGACAACAATTCATTCTTTCATTCAAACACAGATAAACTTCTCTGTCAGATATACACTATCAATTACTTCTCAATACACTATCCTCTACTTCTGAAATGAAGAACTCTGCAATTCTCTCAATTCATATATTTGTGTAACCTGTTAAATGTTCCTTATTCAGTAAGTGAAAATTTTAAAAATGTGTTCACATGTTTTTAGACATAGGCACAGTTCCACATTTTAAAATGAAGCAAGTTGTTAAAACAGCAGTTTGCATAAAGGATTGTAAAATGTATCTGTTATGTACAGGTAGTACTGAAGTTTTCTGAAGTATGAAAAGTTTGAAAAGAATATCCTGGACATGAATTCTCTTCAATAAAAAAAAAAATTGAAACAATAAAAACATTAAATTCAATTTTACAACAAGTTAATTATCAAAAGAATATTAAAACAAAATAATATATGTATGTTTAAAAGTGATGTGTAGATGTATTTATTCAAAACAAATCTTTGTCATTTTTTTTTTATACTTTCAGAAAATATAAAGGAAAAAAAATCATTTAAATTATAAAGAATTCATAGGAAAATAAGAGACCTTTATTAATTCACTGACGAAATTTTTTAATGCCGTCTATAATTTAGGAATGAGTAAAATAGCAACCCGTTATACTGTATAACCTGGGTTGGGGCAGTTTACGCTTTATAAACCGTGAAGCGTCAAGTGTTCCAATCCAGGTTATACCAGTATAAACTGGGTTGCTATTTAATTCATTCCTTATAATTTAATTTTCTATCATTAAGTATAGAAAACAAAACAATTTCTCCCATTAAAACGTCTTCAAATTGTTCATATTTTAAACGTAACATCAAGCGGATTGATACGTTTTTGACATAAGTCATCGTGACCTAGGCAACCCAGATTATACAATTTAGATTAATTTTCAATCCAATCAAATGACGCGGTATATCCAAAATTAAATTATGTTCCAGATAAGTGAACAAAAGGGACGAACCACTTGTTTTATATCTATAATATCATATTTTTTACTTCATTTTTGAGATTTTAACACAGTGCATAACTGGAGAAATAACTGAATGAAGTACAAGCTCACTGGAGTAAACTGATCATCAGAAATAAGACTAACCCAAATACAAAGTATCCAAAGTAACTGAATTGGTAACATTGAAAATTATAACATGAATTCATAAGAGAATCACATCAATATTGAATATTAGATAATAATATCAATATTGAATAGTAATATATATGAAAAAGAAATGAGATATATTGTAATAAAAACAAAGCTAAAATGTAAGACTATTTGTCTTAAAAAACTATTCTTGATAAATGACAGAGATTCACACATGGACGGATTCCTTCTAAAATGAATACAATGCAAGATACATTCTGAGTCTTCCTTTACAACCAACTTTTGAATTAACTCAAGAGATTTTCATTGTCACCTCTTTGAACAGAATATTTCTTCTCTTTCCTAGCTGAAGATTTTTTTTATTACTGATCGGAAATAATTTCTTTAAAATAATTAACTTTAAAACATTCTTGCAATAGGCAAAGAAGTCATACTGCAGCAAATGGCTCATAAAATCCTTATTCTACACAAATTAATTCAAACAATAAAATGTTTTAAATTTTTAAGCAAGATTATTCAGCAGACCACGACTGTCTTTATCATTGCAGTTTGTTCTTTTTTGTTTAGCTGCACGGCATGTTTCCTCATGAAGCTGCACTAGGAAAATCAAATGAATTATGGACTGTCACTGAGCACTGGTTTATAAACCTACTCTGTCAGAATTGTTCATCTCGTTAATGCCTCTCAGAAATATTCCTTACATACAGTTAAATATCTAACGGAGTGAGGACCAGATCAGTCCAGCGGGCGAACCTGTAGTGTCAGTCTTTGCTGATTGTCTATACATTCCCGTAACTTGTTCTCTGTCATTGTTAGTCTCTGTTCCAACAACGAAACAGTCTGTAAAATATAACAGGCATAGATCACTGACCTTAACATACAAATTAAAATTTGGAATTTATCACAAAAAAGATTATGATTCATTTATTTTGAAAGAGAAAACAAAATACATTCATGTACATTTTGAAGTGTTAAATGTGATGAGAGAATTAATACATGGTGTATTTTTAAGTATTAACACAATCCATTCATATCTAACCTCCCATCCCCCAAATAAAACATAAAAGAAAACAGAGCACTTTTCAGTTCTAATAAGTTGTTGATTCCATGAGTCAGCCTTTGATAACTACATGTAATTCTGAGAATAAGAAATGATTCAAATGTTTGTAATACAAACAAGTACATGCATCAGAATATGTTTCTACATCCAGCTATTACAGCTAAATAAGAATTAAGTATATATATATATATTTATCTACTTGTCTCATCCAACTCATGTGTGAGTTTGAAAGATATAAAACTATATAAAAAAAAAAAATTAAAAAATGCTGACTAAAACTACCCTAAAGGAAAAAAAGAAAAGTGCATGGGAGGTATAAAGGAGTGTAGGGACTTCACTGAGGTCCACAATTGTAGGGGTGGTGTCTGTATTAACTCTGTATTTTTTACCTGAGTGAGTACATCTAGCTGGCCTACAATCTGCTCTAGGGTTTTTGCGAGCTGCGGGGGGAGAGCCTGTGGTTCTAACTGCTGGGTGGTGGCTGGCCGGTCCTTTGTGGTGCGTATTGTTGGCTCGGGCTCAGAATTCCTTACATCAATGTCAAAACTTACACCGTTTTGCTGAAAAATATAATGCACATTATATATAAAACTTGTTTTCTGGTGTGCAAAAATACAGACTTGCACAAAGAATTACTATCAAACTTCAGTTTTCCATGATGATGCTTTATGAATAGCAACAGTCATATTATTTCAAGTTTAATATTAAAAATATATAAAAGGACCAAGTAATTTATAAATGAAGTATTACGAGTGTATTATCAAATCATATGCTTAACAAGATGAAAAATTTTTCATGCATAAAAAATAAAATATTTGCATGTTAGTACTTTTCAGAAATCTTTAACTATTTTAATACCGTAGAATGGACATATTTAACATGCTTAAACTTTGGTAAAGAATGAAAATTGATTCATTATAATACTGTAATTCCAGCATCGATTTGAAATGCTATATTATTATTTCTACTCCCACTACCTGCTCCGGAGCAAACATAGCTGGTCCTACATCGGTTACAGGTACTGATTCATCGTCCATATTTTTAAGCTCTGTTCTCGCATCATACTGGAAAATAATTTTGGTTTTTCTGACACTTTTCCTCTCTCCTATTTACGTCTTGTTTAATAGATTATGTTTTTCATGATATAATGAAAGATATCTATAAATTTGATCTGATGTGAGCATAACTTTAATTCGTTATTTTTCATACATTTCTATGATACATGTAATAGAATACTTTGAAGGCCAATAAACTGAATATTTTATTTTCAGCTTGTTCTACTCTTTTATTTTTCTTCAGAAATATATTTGGCACATGTGAGTTTATTCATAAATTATATTTATTTTTCTAGGATGTCAATTCCAGTGTATTATTTTTGAAAAATTGTTAAAAGTTGAAGTGCATAAACTCAAATGCGAAAACAGAAATTCAAACTGAAAATTCTGTGAAAAAGAACCTCAAATTAAAAGGAAAAACAATAAAACATGCATCTTAACAAAACAGAAAAGTACTGACCCCTCTTGGTGACTTAGGTTTGGCGGGTTTTTTGACAACTCGTGGAGGTATATCAGATACACTGGGATCACATGGAGTTGTCTCCTCTTGTTTATTTTTGTGAGACTGAAGGACTTCCGAAAAATCCAGCTGGTCAAAATTTGTCTTCCAGACAAGCACCTACAAGAAAAAAAAAGCACAAATGTATTATATAACACAAAATTTCAACCACCTATGTAAAAGTTAAAATCAGAGGTACATTAAAACAAAATCACAATGTGGAGTTTTTCTTGCACCGACAACTATACTCAGTATAAACCAAAAGAACCTTTTAATTACATACAAAAAAAATATTCAATGCCACGTTAGACATCTCTGAGTAAGGTTAAAACTAACCACTGTGTATCATATTCCACAGATCCAAATTCCAAGAGCATGTCACAGCTCTACATTAAGTGTACTAAGGAGTTATACTGTCTATTGACATACAAAAATGTAGTCAGGTGTATCATAGTTCGATAAGATTTCTACTGATATGAAATAGATCTATACAATCTCTTTTAATATTAACACCAATGTACATGTAGGTATGCAAAAAAAAAAAAAACTTACTTGCTCATCTGATCCTCCTGATGCAAAATATTCACCAGATTTGGAAAAGACCACTGCTGTGCAAGGACCCTAGAAAACAAAATTAAAATATTAAAATCAAAAAAGTTACAACTGTCTTTTGTATATTTAAAACCGTGTGGCTTCTAAAATAATTTTCATTTCCAAAACATCAAATGAAAGACATGATAAAAATCAATTTATATGACCAACAAAACCATTACTGATATGATAACATGCAGATACAATACTGAATAAATACATATATGTAAACTTTTCTAATCTATTGTCTAAAGTTAACTCCAATGTTCTTTGAAGAACCTAGCTAGACGTAAAGATTTGATGAGTTTTACCTGGTGTCCGTGCAGTGTGTAGAACAATCGACCCTCCAGTAGATCAAACACCTTCAGCGTCGAGTCATCCGACCCCGATATCAGGTAGTTACCACTGGCGTGGAACGATAGGCTGTTCACTGCCGCACTGTGTGCTAAAAATAGTCAGAACACGAGTAAAGTCAACTGTACGATACAAACCAGTCATAAGTTTAATACACAATATCTATGTCAACAGTAGCCAAATCAATGTCAAAGTTCTAGAATCATTGCTTTATAAATCATGACCAATTTTGAAAAGGAATTGATGCAATTTTAAGATTCTACAAAATTACAACAGACATTAGGGCTAATGCAAAATCAAACAAGCTTTTTTATGTTGCTCATTTGACCAAAAACTTGTCCTCAGATAAACATAGAGACAGAATTACAGCAAAATTCGCTTAGTATGAACACGGATATTGCAAATTCACGGATATAGCAAAATTATCTTGGATCCCAAGCTATATAAATTTAGCGAATTCCTTATATGGATATAACGAATTACGAATATAGCGAAGTAATTTCGTAGGTCCCTTTGACTTCGTTATAACTGAGTTTTACTGTATAATTTTTAAAAAAATCAATTTCTTCTATAATTTTTTTCCACTATGTCCCAGTCAGACTGATAATAAGGAAACTTTTAGAAGATATTATGTAATATCTGTGTACATACTTGCCAACCTCCAGCATGTCAAAATCTGGTCATGACCAGATTTGGAAAGTAAAAAATCTGGTCATAATGCGTAACGACATTTACAACATATTTACCTTGATCAAATTATGTATATAAGTATTTGTGTGTTGAGAATTCTTTTATTAAAAAAGGCTTTAACTTACAATGTGACAAAAAATTCATATATTTGATTAAATTTACATATAAAAAAAAAAAGGATTGATGGTTTCCTATTTCAGTATTGACTATTGACCTGAATTAAGTGTGCATTTTTTTTTTTTTTAAAAAGCCTTTTCAGTTTCTGCTAAATTTGAAAGTATTCCAATTTTGGTTTTGAAGTAATTTTTCCTCTCTCTTGATTAACTTAATTAACTAGTGCAATATGTATTAAATATGAAGTTAGGCCTACACTGTCTTCGATCACTTTACTAATGAAAGTTTTTTTTCAAAGATTCCTTGATATGTATAAACAACGTTTCTCTTTTTCTTGGTTCAATCAGAGACATATGTTTCTGGTTCAATTTGTTGAGAAGAAGATTTTTAAAGATTTTGTTCTATATATTTCTATGTAAAACTTGGATTCCTTATTGTGGCCCCGCCCTGGCCCTGATATTGATCTAGTTCTATTGGAAGCCAATTTAAATTGACTTAAAACATTGATTTGTCAAAACAACACCCAGGTAATTGTTTACACCTGCACTGATAATTAATCCATCGACATTGTTTACGTAGATCTAAGCTTGGGTTATAACTGGAAGTTAAAAGTGCAACCTAATTTACGAACCAATCCAGAAATCTGGAGATTTTCGGGTTGTTCAGCAAAGATCGGGTGAAAAGCATGACCCGCCTGGTTATAAAAAATAATCGGGTTACAGGTTGAAAAATCGGGTGTAACCCTACAAAATCAGGTGAGTTGGCTACTATGTCTGTGTAATGTTGTAAGAACTAGTTTACCTGTGTAATGTTGTAAGAGTTTGTTCATTCTGATATCCCACACTTTGACGGTGCTGTCTGTTCCAGCTGATGCAATACATGTCCCACTCGGGTGAAATTCTACTTGGTTTACAAACCTTAAAACAAATGCAACAAATGCAAAATTAATATCAAAATTAATTTTTAACAACAGCCATCTGAACTTCTCACTTATTTCATATTGCACATTTGAATGTCTTTAAATTTGAACCATTTATCATTCTATACAACTGAGCTACAATTTTGTGTTCAAAGACTTGCACATATATATTTATGTCCAACAAATTTGTTAATAAATTCTTTAATAAAAAAAATTGAATAATAAAACATTTATTTTTACATGTAATTTCACAACTAGTTTTTAAAATTTTCTTAAAATCTTCTTTAAAGTGATATACACTTTTGAAAGTGTTCATCTCTAGAATGAACCCTATCTTCCAAGAATACATGTTCATAGAACATGTAGATTGTGTAGAATGAGACTTACTCTCCGTGTTCATAGAATGTGTAGAATGACTCTTACCCTCTGTGTTCATAGAATGTGTTCATCTCTAGAATGAGACCTTTTTTTCAAGAATGAGACTTATCCTCCTTTTCATAGATTGTGTTCATCTCTAATATGAGACTTACCCTCCATGTTCATAGAATGTGTGTATGCACTCTTTGCTGTTTTTGTCCCAAATTTTGACTGTCTTATCATCACTGCCAGACACAATTAAACGACCATCTGGGGAAAACCTGAAATATCAACACAAAATTCTTTGAAACTTTTTAAAATACACTGTTTGTATGTTGTCATTAAAAATATTTTTTGTACCAATTAAAAATGTTTATACATGTATCAAAAATAACCAAAAATATCAAAAAGCTCATCTAATGGCATTATAGATCTCCTCCCATGTATCAAAATCTTGACTTGTAAATTTCAATTAATAAATTATCTTATCCATGTAAATTCATTATATAATATTGGGCTGTGGTCTACATGTCAGAGTTTAACCCTCTTCAAAATGTTAGTAGACCACATACTAAAAGTTGCACTTTAATTCCTAAATCAGTAATTTGATTCTCATTGAGATGCTAGGAAAAAGTCTTGCAATGTTCTAAAATTTTCCTAAGGCTTATCCATATGCCAAAGTGAGGACCCCTGGCCTAGAGAGCTACACTAAAGTCAAATTTTAGGATGATTAGGATCGTTTCTTGCTACATTTCTATATTAATTACAGCTTATAGCAGGGTAGATTTTAAAAGGTTCCTGTCAAGAAAACTGGCTCAACCCTACAGAATATACTTTAGAGGTACTTTTTTCCATGTGATATTAGTTTTAGTAATATGTAATTTTTTGTAGAAATTTGTCTTAGCATACATTTAGTACATTTTAGACACTTTTTGAGAATGTATAGTGAAAAACGGCACATCAAATTAACCAATTGTGGTGCCAAGGAGCATTCAATTTTTATCAATGTTTGTTAAAATTATTTTGTGAACAGCTTTCCCATATGTAAAAAAAACCCCTATTTCCTGTTAAAAGTTATGGTGACCTTGGTTTTGATTGGATCAAAATAAAAAGTGCTTCATTTGTAGAGAACATTCTACTTTTTAAAGTTTTGAAAAAATCTTCTGATGTAAAAATCTACATATAACTATTTACTTACTTAGCACTTCGGACCCAGTTACTGTGTTGGTTTAATGAATAAAGGAACTTTTGTCTATGACACGTCCACAACTGAAAACAAAAACAAAACATCAACAGAATTTGCTTAGAATTTTTAATCTTCCAAGATATCAGCTACATTTTCTTTTATGCCTCCTTAATGTTTTTCCTTGCTAATGACATTCAATGATCAATAAAATATTCATTGATTTATATGTTATGATAAATTTTTATCTTTAGTCATTATTTTCCCATTGAAAGATATGAAAATCACTGCTTTCTTTCAAACTTAACAATGCATAGGTCATGATAATGTGGTTTGACTGATCAGCTTGATTATAAAAGATAAATGCATGTCTTATATAGGAATCATGACTATATAAAATCCTCAGGGTAAATTACTTGTTATACATTAACATGGTTAACATTATATACATGTATATCAATAATCCTCTTCAAACAATAAGGTTTGACTAATTTATCATGTTTATATTATAAAGATTAGTTTAGGAGACTGTCATTTGATATCTTTACCTTTATAGTTTTGTCATCAGATGCTGTTACTAATGTCTGCCCATCGTATGTAAAGTCCACACTTCTGACAGTGGCAGTATGTGCCTTAAACACAGTAGACTCCCCTTTTCTGAAAAATCATGTGTTTTCCATTTCAATATCATATCAATGCTTAAATCACAGTTAACTTAATCTTAACACTGTAACAATACACATATTTATGTATCAAAATGTGATGCACTCTTTATCATGTTTATACACAGTGCAGGACAAATATCTGATATACTGACCATTTTTAAAACTAGAACTGTCCATTAGGGACAAATACCCCCCACTGGGTTTTTCAGAGAAGGTGCCAATTCAAAAATACTTTATGGATCTAGAGGTGTTCACAATTTACTTACAAAAATTTGCAGTGAAATACAATTGCTCATCATGTTTCTTAATGAATGAAACAAAGGTGCAACCAAATGAAACATCAAAACTAATACATTGTAATTCAATTGTAACATTTTGTTTAAATTTTTTCATTTTATTTTTTTTTTTATTACTGCATTAAAAAATATATTGCAATTATGTGTTATGTCACTCTGCAAACTGATTGTTGAAAAAAAAACCATTATACAAAATCAAATTAATCATATATCAATTTGAATTGCATTTTGAAAATAAAGAGCTGGTCATCCAGTGATGAAGTGCTTTGACAGACAATAAATTACAATTAAGAGAAAAGAGAAGAGAGATCTTTATGTGTTATTCCCTGGAGATAGATAACACACACACTTGATAAGAGACTTCCAAGACCAAACTCATTAATTTATCTTTAACTGGAGGCATGTCCAGTCATTATTCCCAAGAGACAAATGAAATTACATTATCTTCTGTGCAATGTAAAAACTGTTTTTAACACTTTATGATGTTTCTTTTTTTAAGTTTTTATGAGTATAGTTTTAAGCTGTAGTATTTTTGAACAGATATTCTAGATTCTATATCTCAAACCTTATACATGAACCCAAAATGAACAAGTCAATTAAAATAAAAAATAAAACCTGTAAAATGCAAAAAAATTAACAAAAAGATACACACCTATATGGTGAATAATAAGTGTACAAATTTTCAGATTAATCCTTGCAATGTTTCTGATGACAAAACCACAAAATAAAAATGAAAAAACACTGTAAAATTCAAAATAATAATCCAATCAAGTTATATCACACAACTTCATATGGTGAATAATATGTGTACAAATTTTCAGAAAAATCCTTCCAATAGTTTCTGAGTAATACAAAATCTTGTCTACAGACATTTTTAAAATTCGTTTGCGGGGGGTATAATAATCTGAGGACGCTGGATGAATTATTTTTTAATCTTAAACAGACATGCCAACTATAATTTCTGTGATCTATATTTAGCTTGTAAACAAACATACACAGTGGGAATCCACAAGCGAACAGTTTTGTCCCTAGAAGCTGATGCCACTAAATGTCCAGAGGGTGAGAACTTCACATCCATTACAGCATCCTAAAAAAGGTGGAATATTAAAGGTTATAAACTAGATATTTATACAGACAAAGGGGTGTTTTAATAATAAAATAAAAAATAGTGCTTATGTCACTGAAAGATTACACTGGCAATTCATGACAGGAATTCCATGGCCAAAGCAAAATCTTTTTTATTTACTTTTATTTCTTAAAAGATAAACTTGAAGAATGCGTACCTTGTGTCCCACAAATCTGTAGGCTCTCATCTGAGGTTTGAAGTTCCACACCATGAGACAGGAGTCCATAGACACAGAAGCTAGAAAATTTTAAAACATAAATATGGGTGTTTATAAATTACAGGGAAAACTTACCAAACTTGTCTATACACATGTAGACAAGTAGTTGTGTTCTGCATGTTCAGAGTGGGTAATCATGGTAATAGGCAAAATAATAAACCGTCAAAGTGACAAGTTAAATACTCTTAAATATATAGCTCTGACAGCTCTGACAGTAACACCTATCAATACCAACACAATTTGATCAAAATAAGCTCAGTTACTGAACACAAAACAAAGACAGAAAAGTTACTATAAACCAATTGTTTTGCTCAACTTTGTATGAGATCATGATGGGGTGAGCAAAGTTGTATATATCTATTCACTTTTTATTTAGGTCCCTCTAGCTCTTCCAATCAAACAAAAGAGCAGATTGCAATTATTGAGAAAAATGCTACTTACGGTACATAGTGAGAATATGTATTATAAGAAACAGAACTGTGGCTCTCTGCTTGAATTAATTTGGACAGATAAAGCAGAGAGGTACAGATACAAGTGTTGTAAATACCTTGGATTTACGCCTTCGCTTTTTCATCGCTCATGCTTTGGGTATTATTTGTTCATATGCTTTCCCATACTTAAAAATGGCATCCTTAAATAAATTATACATTTAACTCCAATATCTGATCATGCTAATATTTTATTTCTTTTCAAGAGTTCCAAGAGGTTGTTTATTGTTACAGACATTGAAATGGGAATCTTTTAATCCAATATATTGCGATACAAGGACAAAAAATATCCATAAAGATTTTGACGATATATTGGCAATATGCTTAGATTAAGGAATTTTGTCATTAAATATAAAAATGGACTTATGAAAGTTTGTTAATAAGCCAAACAGTAAGAAAGAAGTTGTTTTGTGGGAACATTTCAGAGCATTAAACTTAAATGAAATCAACAAGATTTTTTTCAGTGTTGGTTACTTATCATAGTTATGTACATTCTGCATGTAAATTAAAGTAAATATAGTAAGAAAATGTCATTTAAATTGCATTGAAAATATTGCAATACATATCGCAATACAATTAAAAATATCGCAATATATCGCAATACGAAATCTTGGGCCAATACCCAGCCCTACTTTTAATCCAAAATTCCAAAACCATAAAGGACTTTTTCGGACCACTGAAAGGTAAATTAGTGATAGGAGTAAAGATTATAATAAATTATTGAATAGCATTCTAAAAGCAAGGGGAAAGCATAACATACAAGAAATAATATCCGAAGTGAGCAACAAAACAGTGACAGCGTGTATCGAAAATTTTACAACGCTTGGATTAGTAGTTCTCTGCTTTATCTGTCTGAATTTTCTCAAGCAGAGAGCTACAGTTCTGCAGCTAATAGTGAGTACAGAGGTTTACTGCTGAAAAGTTCTACAGGATAAATATTCAGCAGTCTTAATTTTCTCTCACTGAAGATTGGCGCTTTAGTGATATGAAGCATCACTCAATGCACTCCATATCAATCATATTTCTTTTTAACAAATGAATAATTTGTTTACCAAGCTGCTTCATGTTTGGGTTGAAATCCAAACTGCATACTGTGTCTCTGTGTCCTTTAAAATGCCGCTCCAGAGACGGGTCCTCCTGTATATAAAAAAGTCAAGTATAATGAATACAAAACAATTATTGTTACAACAGAATGATTTTTTTTTCTAGAATTTGTATTTTAAAATTAATTATACCTGATACAAAATGTTACCATTTATTGAAATTCAATGTCAAATCAACATGTATTCAATTATGAACATGATGAAGCTATTGAATTCTCTACAGAGAAGTGGACAGGCTTTTGCCTACATCTATCACGTCTATGACCTGTCCACTTCTCTAAAGTATAGAGAATATTAAATGATTAACATCATGATATTGAAGTTCCAAAAGAAATTTGATTTTAACTACGGTCAAATAAAGCTTTAAAACAAAATTAATCATAGCTTCCCTCTTAATGTATTTTATATAGAGAGGGGAAGGAATTTTCGTTCATGCATTTATTTTGCTTCTTATTGAAAGAAAAATCAGATGTCTGTGAATGTTCCAATTGCATTGCATTGTCAGCATTAATTTTCAAAGTCGACAGCAAAATTCAACAATTTTATGCAAACAAAACAAATCATATCGAACTAACTTACCAAAACAGTTGCCATTTTAATCCTGAACTAAGAACCGATCGATTCAGGTCTAATCATGCACAATAAATTCGAAATATGGCGGGTAATATTTAAGGGAGTTAACTTGGTCTGTGTTACATTATCGGAACTTCAACATTGTATTCTGCCTTAGAATTCAATCTTCGGTTGAATTACTGGTCACACAAAGCTAAAAATCCCTGTTTCTTTCAATTTTGTTGAAAATATGTAAAAATTTAAAGTTTCTGGTATTTACTTCCGGTGCAAAATCGTAACAGCAGAACTTATATGGTGATGAAAAATATTTCCGGAATATTCAAAAGATTTGTTCTATACGACGCTCTGCTATAAATTTCACTTTAGAAAATTTAAAATTTGTAATATTGATTTTCATAAACAACAATAACATTAGAGTCACATGGAAAATAGTTTGAAGTATGAAGCGCTGCTTATTTTTTCAGAAATGATTTTTATGTAACATCATAATATATGAAGAAATCGAACAAAGAGAACAGAAGGAGTAACGATTTATTATCACAGCATTAAATTTAAAATATGAGGTGCATATGAAAATAATACTTAGTATCATACCTATTAAAATCATGTTAGAAAACATCACGAAGCGATGCTTCCTAAGTCAGAAAATCACAATGTTGTATGTGGTTGTAAGAAAAAAATACATCTTTGAGAAGGATTTATCTTTCTTCTAAATATTTCTTCATATGAAAAAAAAATTCATACAAAAAAAAAAATTAAAAAAATGCTGTACATGTATTGACTACTTGAAACATTTTAAAATGGTCCATATAAAGATATAACTTATTCAATTTATAAGGCTTTCGAAGTAGGATTTAAAATGTTTTATTGTAAAATATAATTAAACAATAGTTACAAAGAAATTGGCAAAAGAAATAGAAAGTAATGTTTCCATCATATTTTAGATTTCATCGAATTGACTCCTCAGAGGTCTCAATTAGGAAACTCTGATTAAGAAAACTGTGAGTAGTATTCATATTTTGTACTTTGAAAGTTATATCTGTCTTATCAGAGGGTCGGTACCCCTTAATTTTATGACCCCGTAAACGAAGTTTTGGGGGGTATATAGTTTTTGTCGTACCCGTCCGTCTGTCTGTCTCTCTCTCTCTGTTTGTCTGTTAATTTGTCCGCAAAAACTTTAACCTTGCCCATAACTTTTGATTTAGTGGAGTCATGACTTTTATATTTCACATGTGTATTTCTTGTGACAAGACCTTTCTTTAGTACCACCAAATTTGATCTTTTGACCTTGGAGTTTGACCCACATTTACACAAAAATTCCAAATTTTTACTTTGGCCATATCTTTTGAACAGTAGATACCAGGACATTTATACTTAACATATGTATTATTTGTGGCAAGACCTTTTATTAAACACCAACAGCTTTGCCCCTTTTGACCTTGACCTTGGAGATTTCCGTACTCATGAAAAAAATAACCTTGGCCATAACTTTTAAACGGTAAGGCATAGGGCTTTCATACTTCACATATGTAATCCTTGTGAAAAGATCCTTTAATAGATACCAAGAACTTTGACCCTTTGACTTTGGAGTTTGACCTACTTTTAAAAAGCAAACATTGACCATAACTTTTAAAGGGTTAGGGCTAGTGCTTTCATACTTTACATATATCTTATCCTTGTGACAAGACCAAGACCTTTCATTTGATAGCAAGGCCGTTTACCCTCTGACCTTGACCTTGGAGTTTGACCTACTTTTTAAAATTTTTAACCTTGGCCTTAACTTCTGAACGACTTGGACTAGGGCTTCCATATGTTACATACGTATTCTTTGTGGCAAGACCTTTCATTGGATACCAATTACCTTGACCTTGAACTTTAACCTTGGTCATTACTTTTGAACGCTAAGGGCTAGTGATCTAATACTATACACTTGTAATCCCTGTGAAAAGACCCTTCGTTGGATACCAAGAATTTTGACCCTTTGACCTTGGAGTTTGACCTACTTTAAAAAAGCAAACTTTGACCATAACTTTTGAAGGGTTAGGGCTAATGATTTCATACTTAACATATTTAATAGTTGTGTGTATATAGTCCTATGAACGCAAAAGACCTTTCATTTGATAGCAAGACCTTTAACCCTTTGACCTTGACCTTGGATTTTGACATACATGTACTTTCTAAAATTTTTAAGCTTGGCCATAACTTTTGAAGGGTTAGGGCTAGGGCTTCCATACTTCATATATGTATTTTTTTGTGGCAAGACCTTTCATTGGATACCAATTACCTTGATCTTTTAAACGTGCTTTAGCACTATTAATAACACTTATTTATACCTCACATATTGGTCTCTCTTGGTCTTTAAAGACAATTTATTGCACAAAGATAAGGTATTTTGTATCAGTTTTTATGCCCCCGTAAACGAAGATTCAAGGTATATAGTTTTTGTCGTGTCCGTCTGTCTAGCTGTCTGTTTGTCCGCAAAAAACATTAACCTTGCTCATAACTTTTGATTTAGTGGAGCTATGACTTTTATATTTCACATGTGTATTCCTTGTGATAAGACCTTTCTTTTGGTACCACCAAATTTGACCTTTTGACAATGACCTCGGAGTTTGCAACACTTTTACACAAAAAAATCAAATTTTTACTTGGGCCATAACTTTTGAACGGTAGATATTACGACTTTCATACTTCGCATATGTATTTTTTGTGAGAAGAACTTTCATTGGATACCAATATCTTGACCTTGGAGGTTTATGTACTTTAAAAACCTTTAACCTTGGCCATAACTTTAAAAGGTAAGGGCTAGGGCTTTCATACTTCATATATGAAATCCTCATGAGAAGACCTTTGATTGGATACCAACATCTTTTATCCTTGACCTTGGAGTTTGACCTACTTTTTAAAAAACAAACCTTGACGATAACTTTTGAAGGTTTATGGCTAGGGCTTTCATACTTCACATATTTAATCCATATAACAAGACCTTTCATTAGATACCAAGAACTTTGAGCTTGGAGTTTGACCTACTTTTTAAAAACTTTAACCTTGGACATAATTTTTGAACGGGTAGGGCTATGGTTTTCATACTTCACATATATAATCATTGTGACAAGACCTTTATCTATAAACCAACAACTTTAACCCTTTGAACTTGACCCTGGAGTTTGACCTATCTTTCAAAAGCTTATCTTTGGCCATAATATTTGCAGGTGGTGTTAGGGTTTTCACATCTCAAAAATGTATTTCTTGTGAGAAGACTTACTTTGGGTACCAACATATTTAGTTTGCATTTGAGATAAGTTTAATCTTCACTATGTTGCCATACGGGGGCATTAGTGTTTCACAAACACATCTTGTTCTCGTTACACATCTACCAGACCATTAAAAAATATGAATTTTGTTATATATAATTATATATCATAAAAATTCTTTGGTATTAAACATGTTAAATTCATAATGATAGAAATTAATTATATATATGTGCAACTTTTCCTCATACAAATTAATAAAGCTCTGCCCAGAAACAGAATACTTGACCAAGTGATCCAGAACTTTAAAAAATCTGGTAAGTATGAATTTCTTTATTCTTACTAAAATTATTAGTAGCACAAATTTTTATTCCATTTGTTCCCCAGTTGCTCAGAAAATATAATTCAGATCTGGCATCTGAAGCAAGCCTGGTAATGTGCATCCTTAAAATCTAATGTATCATCCATGCAACGTTGGTCAAAGGGCTTTCATTATCAAAATGAAATTAGATTGAGTCGAAAATTAGTTTAACACAAAAATGAAAAATTTTAAAGTCAAATATATGATTTACAGAATATTGAGCAGTCAATTTATTTAGAGCCTTATAAAGAAGTAGGCTGTAAATTAGAATCTTAACTCTAATTCTTCATACATTCAATGCAAATGTATGTTTTGCTCAGACGCGCTCCCCATGTAATTCTGTAAATGACGAAAGATAAGTATGGGTCTACCCCTCTTTACTATAAAATCAAGTTGTAGTATAGAGGGGTATGTAGACCTATATACACTGTATACTTATCTTTCGTCATTTACAGAAGTAGAAAACTGACCAGTCAGCAAGGGCCCCGCCATGGGGTGGAATTATAAGGATGCAGCTTATGGAATGATTAAAAAATATATGAAGAAATAAGCAACAGCAACTGTATTCTTAAAATTTTCAACATAATTCCTGAATATCCAAAAACCTGTAAATAATATCCTTGTATATTTACATTAGGCAGTAAAGAACAACCTAACATTGAATGTATATATAAACAATAATGAAGTGTGTGTTAGTGTTACCGGTATATAAACTGCCAGTCTTCAATGAATGCAAATACATGTATCATGAAGGCTTGACCTTAACTTCAAAACAAACAGCAGCTGCAGACAAAGTTTTTCATTAATCTTAAAATGACAGATAAAGATAGGCCTACTAAATTTTCTTCAGCAGGCTACATAATTAATCCCAAGGGACTAATTGTACCTCTCTCATCATTTTCTTCTAAAGTACAATAAGAAATTTTTCAGTATTAATGTTAGAATGTTTTTTTTAATCCAACTACCTTAAAAATTAATATTATTCTTGAATTTACATAAACATGATAAAGGGGAAAAAAGTAAAAATAAAAGATATGTCTTCTTTAGTCTACTTCTTGTTTTTAGAATTCAATGAAATCATAACTCATTGTGTAGGTATTTTAACCAAAATAAAGTATAAACATTTATATCTAAATCCACAGAGTGTTCATAGCATTCCAAATTGACTGAACTTCAAAACAAACTTCATTTGCAGACAGAGGTGATAATTAATCCCAATGTGACAAATAAAGATAATGCTTTGGATTTTCTTTAGGAGGATAGCTTAATTTTTAATCCCAAGGGACTCATAGCAGCATTCAGTTTACAATGGAAACATCTTCTGATCAGCAGTTATCTCTCTTTGCCAAAGCATTCTTATATAAAGTTAAGGAATATACCCCAACACAAAAGCTCCAAAATTTTAAGGGACATATATGAAACAAACTTAGCATCAAAATATGTCTTTCTGCCTATTAAACTACCATACCAAATTTGATCTTAATTGGGCAACCATAAAAAAAAGTTATTAAGAAAAAACAGGAAATTTGTACGGAAAATCAACGGACAGACAGAGTGATTACTATAGGGCACCCGCAAATCCTTGCGGGGCCCTAATTACATGGGGAGCACCTATAGTTTTGCTATTCCCTTGTAAGAAAAAAAAATTGACAAATTTATATGAAAAGAAAAACATTTGTGTAAAATAAAATTATTTTATTCCATACATCATGGATACTCTGGGAAACTACATAAAGGGTGTTACATAAAATTTAGTCGTAATAAAAACATATTCTTCACATAGCAATCATTCATAAATCCATGAAATATATAATACACAAAAACAAACACACAGCGTTCAACTTGTCCTTCAAATATCAAATGATGCAAATCATATAACATCTATACTAGGATTTATAAACTAAATGATTCATCTGAACACTGTGCAACACATAAAAGAAAAAACAATATTTGATCAGAAACACAATTCATAAACAAACAAATTTTAAAACACTCCACAATTTCAACATAATTTCCTTGTTTTTATGATGGATATAAATACATGAGAATCATGAATATAAATTTGACTGATATACAACAGGACAATTTTATAAATAGAGCAATACACTCTTTAATAACTGAGTCATTTAAAATAAATTGAATAATTCAATTATCGCCCCTGAAAAATGTTCTCCTCATAGCCAGCAGTTATCTATAATCAAAGATGATGATTTCAAGGAGTCAGATTTGAGATATATCATGAATCTTTAAATTTTAAACTTTTTTCTCAGTGACTTTTATGGAGGGGAGGGGGCTAAAATCCCAATGATTTACAATAGGAGTCTTCTGTGTAAAAAAACCATATGAGGGTCATTTATAAAATACAGACTGACTTCTGTCTGAGAGGAAGCTGAAGGGCAACATGGAGCAGGGAGTAATTATCTAGTTTTGTTCGACACAAAACATGTTGGTTTTAAAATAAGTAACATGAAATTATCAAAATGAAATAAAATGAAACATCACACATGTCACACTTTGGAAAAATTTCCAAAAAAAATTACATTTGAAGATTAATTGATCTTAACTCTTTGTAAAGTTAATATTATTATAAAGATGGAAACTGTCTCTAGATAAGTTTTGAACGACCCTTGTACATGTTGTACACGTATCAAGAAGATATAAAACTGAATACCATTCACATACTTAAATAAAACTATACATATATGTACTTCTTGAAGAAAAATTAAAATTCATTTATTTGTCAGAGTAAAAACAGTGCATAATTCACTGTAAATGAGAAAAGCTATTTCAAACTCAACCTTTATGAAGTACATTTATGAATATTTATCAATTATGTTGTCAATCAGAAACATACACAATGATAACATAGTGTGTCTCAAACACGTCAAATCAATATGGGTTTTCAACAGGTCACAGTCTTTATCATGTTTATAAAATATTCTACTTCATAACAATGAAAAAATTCAACAAAACAAAATAAAATCCAATGTAAATAGTGAATAAAACTGATTTATAGAATGGTTTTGATCAGTGGAAATTAATTTTTATGATAATGAGAAAAAATGTAATAAGCCTAACAAATACATGTATATATATATATATATTAACATATGCATACTCCATCGATCAACAAATATAAGTTAAATAAGGATTTTAAGACATTTCCAACACATTTTTATTGCCCCATTAACAGGATTAAGCATCAATGTCTCTTATAATGGTCACTTGTATTTTTAACCTGTATGACCCTTGGATTACTAGTCCCACTGATCTATGTATCATAACAAATAAACTTAATTGTACCATGTGTACACTTGGTTTTACATTTCATCCAAGGAGACCTTGATGCATAATTTTTTTTAACAGTAATTCTCAGCTGTCATACCGGCACTGAACAGATTGTCAAGAATAAACTACAGACAGAAACTACTCGACTCAAAGCGTAAGAGATATTACTTTGCTTTAGCAATAATGAACCCATCTTTCTTTACATCCTCACTCCGGCCATCCCACGCATAATCAAAGTTCAACTTCATAAAATCCACAGCTTTCTGGAACACAGCATCATTAGGTTTACCCAGGGACCCCTTCCGTACACTGATAGACCCCTTAGACTTTATAACTCGTTCTACCTCCTTTTTTACATGAGGGGAGGAGAAACAGCTCCATAATGCATCAATGGCATAAAAAACAGGGTACCGCTTGGTGCTTTCGGGTGGAGACACAGCGATTTCATAAACAGCCTGTGAAGTCTCATTACTGTATACCTTGTCATTACAGAATCCTGGACATACGCTGGACTTCTTTTTCCAGTCTTCACTCTTCACGTCTGGTTTGTTGTGGCTGATTAACGGCAGCCAATTGTCCCAAGACAACACACTGAGTGGTCCCATGACAAACTTTGTTACTGGTGCAGATTCCCGCGGTAACTTCTTTACTGGTTTGGAAACCTAACAAAACAGAATGGGAGAAGTTAGTACCTTGGTCAAATTTACTTTAGATCTTAAGGTGATTCGAACCTGTCTTGAAAGTTATTGGTAAATGAAAAGATAGGTACCTTCAAAAAAAGGACAAGTATGTGGTTTAAGAATCACCAATTTTTTTATGTTAATGAGTTTGTTTCCATGGCAACAACCTTGAAACTGAGCTAAATCAGTAATATAAAATCAAGAAACATCATGACATAAGGTCAAGCTCATACATTATGGACACAGTCAATGGATTCTCAGCAATAAGTACCAGTATATATAGGTTGTGTAGGTAAAAAATATCTTGAATAGTTAGTTTGAAACTAAGCTTATGCAAAATAAAATAGTTCAATCAAGGTCATAGGGAAGGTTAGGGTAAAACTTTCTGATGCATTTGAATAGCTCTTAACAGTATACAGTGAAATATCAGTATCTCGAAGTTGAGGGGACCTACATCTTGAATATTTTTTTCTAGATATCCAAAGTTACTCTCAAAGTCGAATCAATAATTTCCCGTTTTTTTGTATATATCTTCATGCGTAATACTATCCTGTATTACCAAACATGTAGTCTTTATGGTTAAGACTCAAGCACATTCACAATAAATATTAACAATGTTGTTGTTTTCTTTATCGTGTATAACTGTAAAACAATTTAATATACATGCCTTATTGCATATACAGCGATTTTACATTTTCCAGGCCATGCTTACGTGATCAAACGGGATGTATCATTAGCGTTATAGTAGAAGAACCTTTTCCGTAAGAAAAGAAAAAGATGAATTTTTCAAAAACATTATTTGATGAAATTTAGTGTTATTTAGAGCACTTAAAAAATAATCAGTATTTAAACTGTGTACTTGAATATTATTAATAGCTTACATGTTTTACATTACGAAGTACTACTAAGGAACATATAGTTTACGAAACTAACAATGCAAATGGCGGTCAAGGTTATCTATTTATACACAGATAAGCATGGATATGATCAATCACTGCACTGTGCATTACGCGCTGCAACTTAACAGTTTAAGTTAATCGTGAAGAATTTTTTAGTTTTATGAATTTACGATTTAATTATACAGAGCATATTATTAAATGCAATATCGGTAATACTGTCTGTTTTTATTTTCTGCTGCGAAGTGGTTTGTTTTATCGGTCGCAGACTACACTAAACACCCAAGCTGTCATACCAATTAACTTGTCACAGATACCCAACATGAGCTTGGGATTAATTAAGATTCCCCCGGTTTGAAGGGGTTAATTAATAGCCACTGGCGAGAATGTGTGAAGTCACGACGCCAGGTGTGTTCAGTAGACCGAAAAATTCACTGCACTTCGAGATAAACCAGGTAAAAAAGGGCTTCGGACTTTGAATACACTTCGACATAAGCGGGGTATTCGAGATTACCGTGTTCGAGATATCAGGTGTTTATTAAATCATATATATAGAGAAAACGGCCGGGACCTGCGATCGACTTCGACATAAGCGGGGTATTCGAGATATCCCATGTTCGAGATACTGATATTTACCTGTATATCAGAAGATTTACATATGATGTAGTTTGGTAGATATATCTTGAATGTTTTTTTCTATGATCTAATTGTAAATTTAACAATTTAAAGAGTTTAGTGAGGTCAAGGTCATTAAGGTAACTCTTTGTTTGATAGCACCATAGACCAAGAGGTCATGACGAGAGAAGTGGATCAGAAATTCTTGGTTAGGAAGGATTAAGAAAGTCTAGGAGAATTTTTTGATGCAGTTGAATAGCTCTCTCTATAATGTGCGTTCATAATACTCATGGCAAGGCATAAAAAATGTACCAAATAATCAAATTTTGAAATGATTATAATTTCCATGTCCTCAATACCAACTCTAATTGTGTCTAAAATTCCTAAAATTATCTTGAAAATCATACTCTTAATACACACCTTTGGTGATGCTTTCTGTGTCTTTGGAGTCACCTTCTTGGAACTTTCTTTACTTTCACTCACTTTGGTTTTTGCTGGAGTTTTGGATTTCTCTGTTTTCTTTGACACCTTGGTCTCTTTTTCCTGTTTCTTGGTGACTTTTTCCTTGGTCTTTTGAGTGTCTTTTACTGCTTTTTTGATGAGATCTGCCTTTTTATTGCTCACTTTTGGTGGCACCTTGGTTTTAGTGATTTTCCCTGACGATTTTTTAGCTGCTGGTGAAGATTTCAGTGTTTTGGGGGATTGCACTGGCTTCTTTTTTCTGTCTTGCTGTCCTTTAGCTTTGACTTTAGTTTTGACCTCTTCCTTTGCACTGTTGGCTTTCTCTTTGGTTTCTGATTTCGTCTCTTTAGTGGGTATAGACTTGGTATCTTTAGGTGGTCTTCCTGGTTTCTTCTTCTCACTGTCTTTGAGTGTCTTGGTTGTGTTTTTAGGAGGTCTACCAGGCTTTGCCTTTCCTCCATCTTTCTGCATTTTCTTCCCACTTTTATCACTTTCTGCTTTCACAGTTTTCTTAGCAGTCTTTAATGAGGTCTTTGGTGAGTTAATTTTCTTTTCTGTTTGCTTTTTCACTTTCACTTTCTCTTTTGACTTGGATTTCAAAAGTTCTTTTTCTGTACCATCTTCTTTTCCTTGCACTTTTTCTTCCTTTTTAATCTTTGTCACTTTGTTCAATGGTGAAGTCTTAGCAAGAGTTTTCTTTGCTTTGGACAAAATTTTAGCAGACGGAGAATTCTTTAACTTGTTAGAAATTTTAAGTGGGGATTTCTTTTCAGTTTTTGCTTTTTTCGCAGGTGACCCATCTTCACCACTTTCGGCTGGACCCTTTTCTTGTTTAGTCTCCAACTCTAGAGCTCTTTTTGCCTTCTTTTCCTCTTTTAAGGCCAGTTTTTGTTCCTTGAGCATTGTTTTAGTAGATTTGTTGTCCTCCACACTTTTTAGTGAACTAAATAACCTTTCTAATTCCAAGTCTAACACGCCCCCTTCTTCTGAATTCTTCTTGGCTTTCCGTACTTCATTTTCATAACTCTGCAAAAGTCAATAAATTAAATTGTACTTTCCATTTTGCATAATAAACTTAAAACATCTTTTATAATTGTATCAATAGTTTCACAATGGTTTTTGCTATAACGTGATGAAGTAAAATAGAGTGGAGTCCTATATATAAGAACAGTGTAAAACATTGGTTGTGAAGTACTAAACATGAGATAAAAAGAATATCCTACGATTTTTAGTTGGATATGACTTCTATCCAATTTGTGTGTTCTTATCCCCCAGCCTTAAACACACAACCTTTTGGATAAAAATCATATCCAGCTACACATCATGGGAGATCCTATATCAACAAGAGATGTTTGTAAAACACTTATGCCCCCCTCCCCCCAATTGAAATTTTTCCACGTCCAAAAGGGCATAACTCTGTCAAAAATGGCATGATTGTACCCAAAACAGAACTTGACCTAGATATTTATCTGATAAATCAGTATACCAAATTTCATTTCAGTATGTGCAACGGTTGCAAAGAATATGAATGGAAATTGCAAATAATTGGAATTTTTTAAGTCCAAGGGGCATAACTTTATCAAAAATGGTGTGATCCTATCCAAAATAAAACCTGGCCTAGATATTTACGTGATATATGATATCTGTATACCAAATTTCATTTCAGTATGTGCAATGGTTGTGAAGAAAATGAACAGAAACTAAATGGACCAACAGAAAGCAGCAAAGCAATATGCCCTCGCTGCTTCGAAGGGGGGCATAATAATGTACATGTATAGAAACCTTCATGCTTTTGGAATGTTTCATGCTTTGGAACCATAAAACTCTGATGAACTCACTTTTCATCTCAATCTAACATTTACCAAAGGAGTAAATAAATGTAGTGAAAAAGTGAGACTGAGATCACAAGTAAGCTTGTCAAAGTTTTATGCCTCAGGGCCAGATCTTCACACAAAATTTAATTCCTCTCAATTACTCAGGCATTTTTTACCAAGTGCACAGTTCATTTAATCATTTTATACTCAAAGATAAAGTCATTCCAGTGGAACTTGTAACATGCAATGACATTAGTTGTTTGGTACCTTTAATAACTTTAAGCTGCCTTCTCGTAGACAAATAGACATGAGCGTGTCGTAGGTAAAGCTGGCGTTGTCTATACGCAGATGAGCACCTCCCGTTATCTGTGAGATCTGTTTGTAGAAGTCAGACCTGTATCCTACCTGTAGACCGTATATCCTCACCCCCTACAACACAGCACAACATGATGGATAATTCAAATCTGTTTTTTACTCTGTAATAAATAACTTCATACAAATTACAATATTTCAAAAACAAAGACTCTCTACTCAGTGAAATGTCCCCAGTTGCTATTTTTAACGTTTATTGACTGCTTTAGCTTTGAGAAATAGCAATAAAATACTATTTAAAAGAAGGTATACATGAAACTGTGAATTCAATAAGAGTGAAAATCAAAATTTGTTTAGATAACAGGATGATGCAAAAACACCTGTTTGTATCCAAAATCGTAACTTTATCAAACATGTTATAGAGATTAAAAAATCCCCTGATCTTATGGTGATACTTACCATTTCCTTCAGAAGAGCTGCCTCCTTCTTCCAGTCTATATCATTGACAAACTGCTCATACTTATAGCCCGGCTCATGGGGATCAGAGTCTCCAATGACAACCAGACTTCTCTGACTTCCTGGCGTCCAAGACAACGACTCGCGAGTCTTCCTTAAAACTAGTTCATAACACTCATCATCGTCTCCACCATGTGTGATGGACAAGTTCTCAAAGAATTTCACCACTTCCTCGATACTGGCACCAAAGTCAATCCATTTAATAAGATATCTATCATGGCTGAGGTCATAATAGTCACCATGTGCCATGAAGGCGAGACGTATGCCTGGCATGTCGGTCTGTAAGCGATTGACTAGATCACGAATTCTCTCTCCTGCCTCCTCCATGTAGCTATACATAGACCCCGTCGTGTCAAAGGAGAACACAATCTCCCTCAGTCCCCCAGGGACTTTTCTTGGAGTTTTCATTGGCGATGAGCCTCCATTTGTGCTAGACTCTGGTTTACTTTCGGTCTGATTTTCTGTCTTTTCCTCACCATTGTCCTCTTTATCTACACATTCATTGGTTTCTGGATTTGTATCACTTTTTTCATTTTCCGTTGGCTCCTCTGGATCCTCCTCAATTCTTGTTAATGGCTGGTCAGTCTTTTCATAGCTATCTGTTGTGTCTAATGAAGTCAAATATTCAGCAACTTCAAAAGCAGAAGCTCGCGGCTGTAGACTCCCTGTCGTGATTTTAGAAGCCCCATATGTTTGAGAAGAGCTCTCATCAGAGAATTCATACATTACCTCTGAGGCATCTAATGGCAAAATTAAATCATCAAATTCCAAATTTGTTATTTTTCCCACAATTGAACCAGATGGGAGTTTCTGCATTTTCTTTTCTATCTCTGAAGCCCTTGTGCAGCTTGGGTCGACCTCAATTTCTAGAGTTGGGGGGAGAATTTCAGTCACCTCTGTAGCCAGAGTCTGGGGTATTTCTTTGTCATTCTTCGATTTAGAAGTTGATTCTTTTTCACTTAATTTTAGGGTGGGGTCTTTTTTCAGTTTTGTAAAATTAGTTGAAGGTGAAGATTTAGAATAAAAAGAAGGGGCAGAAAATGAGAAATCATTGTCCTCTGATGCTGGTTTAGTAGGTTTTAATGTCGGAAATCTGGGCATTTTATACTTCTTTTCGGGTGACTTTTTGCCTGGTATGGCTTTCTTCCTTGGTAAGTCCATACATGTTTCACATGATATTTTCTCCAGTGTGGGTGGCAAGTCTGATGAATCTACTTCAGCTGTATTCTTCTTTTTCTTCTCTATTTTTCCTTTAGCATTCTGTACAGTAGTGCTTGTGCTTTGCTTCTTTAGTTTTGGGGGTTTATCTGCGACAGGCACTTGAGAACCTCTTCTTTTTATCCCCGGCATCTTGACTTGTTCTCTAGAAAGAAAAAAGTATTCAAAATATCAACATTATGTCATGAAATGGTTAACAAAACTGCCTGATTATATACATTTATGTGATCAAGATAATGATAAATGTATGCACATAATATTAATCCAGACAAGCTATAAAAAAGGGGGTCCTTCATTTGTACAAACTTTGATTCCCTTAAAGGAAGTTGAGATTGAGATTGGTCCAATGGTTGAAGTTCTGGTGAAGAACTCAAAAATGTTAGAAGTCTTTACATGGTTTAATTAGAATTATCTGTGTCTTTAAGTATTGTCACCACTCTTATCATGCTTATAAGCTGCAGATCTACAGCTTGTAGATTTGAAAAATTCGGAATGGATGACCAAAAAGCTACAGAGCCATCCAATGAAAAAAAAATGTACAATTAGTTTGCACATAAAAATTTTGGTTTACACACTGCACAGTATCATGAATATTGGATACGTGAATATATTGAATAAAGCTAGGCCTGAGTACTGCAAGCTACCTATAGGTAAGGATACAATACATATCACGATATGGTCATGCGATACAAAAGGTATCATGATACAGACAATTATTTGATGTCTTAACGTATTCTTGCTTGCTAACCTGTACTGTTAAGTTTTTCCATAGTTCTAAAATAAAAGTTCTTTCCGTTCTATATTACCAAAATTCATTTCTTTTTCCTCCTTAAAAATTGAGTAACTATATTATAATACATCGGCACAGTTTTATTCCGTACAATAAGTTAGTTATAGGGATATTGCAGAAGTTGATCAACAAAAATATTAACTTTCCATTCTTTAGTACAATTCTCAGGTAAGCTTGGACTTTCAGTGAGGTGTGGCATTCTTGGCACAACGTAATTAGCATCTGTCAAATGGGGAGTAGATTCTAATTGGTTAAGAAATTAATAACATCAGGAACTTTAAATTGTTGTTGACAACGTTAAGACGAATTAAGCCCCTCTCTGTGCCGTGCAAGAAGTTTTAATTGGCTATTTGCCACACTAGTTGATATTCGGCCAAATTTCTATCCTATGTATATTTAAACAGTGAAGGAAAGCTGTGTACATGGTGTAAATTTCAGAAGCTAATTATGTAACGTCGAGAATTCCACGCCTTACTGAAAGTCCAAGCTTAACTGGGAATTGTACTTCTTGGTATTTTAGGCATTGGTCATTTATATTTAGTGATTAAACAGATAAAGCTTCCCCCATTTAAATCAAACTTTCGCTAAATGAAGTTTCATGAATATTGTAGCAACATATGAAATATCATAAATCTTTATGCACTAGAAGTGTGCAATTTTTAGTTTCAAAGAATTGTTTACGTAATGTTACACTGTAAAAATGTATAAAGCTCAGATGAGAGTTCTAACCGTTCATGGAGTTCATTGACAAGCTCTATTGTGAAGATGCTACCTGCATGAATGCAGTGGAACTTTGCAGTTATAAGCTTATTTTCCAGCAACTTTTGGGTGAAATTTGATGTAAAAGCAATTGTTTAATATACATCATTCAATTATTTAATTATCAGCAAAAACTTCAACAAACATCAATTTGCCTCTCAAAGGAAAAGTACCACAGTTATCATGAGAAGGCTTATTCTACAACTTTTTAAAGGAATACTACATATAACCGCATTCGATCAGTATTTTTGTAGATATAGTACCATTAGGCCCTTGGTTTCAGGATGGTGTATTTTGTGTATTAAGTGTTTTTCTAGGTGTGTCTGAATACCCTCATCAAAATAAAAATTTGCTGAAATTTGCACATCATGACGTTTTAAAAATGTCATGTTTATTACTGTATATAAAAAGAGTGAAGGTATGACAGTAGACACTTGCATCCTGGGTTACGAGGATGTCTCAGTTCAGACTTGATTTTAATCAATATCTACACTTTTCCTACCGCTGTCGGGTAAGATCTAGCTTTAAAAATGATTGAAAAACACAATTTAATACACAAAATAACCATCATTTCTGAAACCAAGCGCCTATGGATAGTACATGAATATAATACACTGATTACACTCTACTCAAACCAGGCATGGTCAAAATTTCAAACAGCTTTTTATTCATTTTCCAAAAAGATTAAGGATTTTTTTTTTTTGGTATAAATTATGAAAACTTAAATATTGTGTAAAGGCTATGATTAACCTATCCTGTTCACCTGATTTTTTTTCTCCAGAAAATACAGTTCCTGATCTTAAGCATACAGACCTGTGATTAGAATACACTTTAAAAAAGCGTAATAACTGATAAAATAAATAAAGAAGACTTTAATTAAATTTTATTTCATATTAACCTATTTGTAACTACATTTATTTCTTTCAAAATGTACCATATTCGTGTGAATTATTGATGATCTAAGCTGTCCTGTCTGCTGCAAAGCATTTTTTTCAAGTGCATTAATTTAAGTTGAAAGTGTTTGGAGTGCACAAATAAAATATTTCCTATACTTACAACAGTTTCCTCAGCTGTTCATAATAATAAAAATTATCTTAATAATTATACGCTAGGTATTTGTTCTCTCTTGTTCGGGCACATGCCGGACCGACGCTTGCACGAAAGTAACACGCAATCTGATTGGTTGAAAATGGAATCGTCCTGTTTCTTCACAGTACGACAACACATTTGGGGAAAAAATAACATTTGGAGAAATCGACGTTTAGGGACCAGGCAAAATTTATCACAATAATGGGACCAGTACAAAACAAAATTCTCATTTAAAAAAAGTACGTGTCCCATGGCATTCCTAGTTAAAAAAATATTCTGTCCCATGTTCAGTTCAGTTCAGTTCAGTTATGGAGTTCCCTCCTATGTATAAGGAGCACCCGAGAAGGTGGTTTCATAAAAGACATAAAAATTAAAAATAAAAGAAATAAAGTGATGAAAAGACAGTTAGTAAAACCTATTCTATGTAGTGCTGTAAAAAATAAAGTTAGAGGTGATAGACAAACTCAAAATAAAAACAATAATTTACAGACTGTACAGGAGCTTAGGTTGAAATGTAAAATTGTTTAGGCCTTAAAAGTACTAAAAAATTTAACACTTGTACCGTGACTGTTTCTATTTTAAAAGTTATTTCCATGCCTTAGGACTTATAGAAAGGTTACTGTCCAATGGTTACATATCTTAGTGTTCGTGAAATAATTTGAACAAAACTAATTTAAGGAGTCTTTCAGATTTAAATATCGATGAAATTTTTTTTTGTTTTTTCATCTTCATACTTTGTAATATTTTCCATAAATTTGAAGATTTATCTTGCCATTTGTATCTTTAGTTTGAGTTTCAAAGATATGACTTTTTCGAAAGAAAAAATAAACAAAGTCGATCATAATGAATATTTCTTTTGGGTTAGGTCCCATGTGTACTTAATGCTAAAAATGTTTTAGCCCCACGTTTTTTTTAGATGAAAAAACTCATAGTCCCATGCCTGTTTTTACCGGTCCCATCATTGTGATTAATTTTGCCTGGTCCCTTAGACGTGAAAAGACCCAGTGTAAATCCCAACGAATGTTTATGGAAACGTTATATAACTAAAAATTTTCATGATTTTGTTTTAATCATGTTAAATATGAAAACCGAAGATATTGGATGTCTTGTTGATTTTTTTTTTTAAAATACAACTTCAGATTTAAAAGAGGAAAGGTGAAATAAATAAATAAATAAATAAATAAATAAATAAATAAATAAATAAATAAATAAATAAATAAAATAAAATATTAAAATAAAATAAAATAAAATAAAATAAAATAAAATAAAATAAAATAAAATAAAATAAAATAAAATAAAATAAAATAAAATAAAATAAATAAATAAATGAGAAGAAAGAAAGAAAGAAAGAATAAAAAGAAAGAAAGGTAAATTGAATAAACAAATCAATCAATCAATAAATAAATGATTAACAAAGAGGTACAATGCGCACTGAGCTCACTATAGATGATACACCCGCCTGATTAAAATGGCATTATCGCAAAATGCATAATTTGCGATCCACGTTTTCGAGGAGGGGGTCAGCGTTCTGTAAGGGGGTTCAATGTTACTTTTACTTGGTTTACTTGTATAGAAATAAATCTGACAAATCCAAGGGAGGTGGCGGGGTCCGGACCTCCCCCCTCCGACCGGTAACCCCCCCCCCCCCTACAGTCTTTCCCCCGGCGGAAAACTGGCTCTATAGAGTAGGACCCCCCCTCCGAAAACTGGCTCTTATGTAGGATTTCCCCAACGGAAAACTGGCTCAAGAGCAGAATTTCCCCTACGTAAATCCCACACCAGAGTAAATTTTCCGGGGGAAATCCTACTATGTGTAGTAGTTATATATTTCATATCTTCATATGAAATTTTGCAAATTTATCATAGGGTCTGGGAAAAGAAGTACCAATATTGCAGTTCTCTCTGAACTGGGTAGACAACCAATATTTTATTCTATTATTATAGCAATTATATCTTACTGGCACAGACTGGAAAACATGCCTGAAAACTCTTTGTTATACAGTGCATACAAAGAAAGCATTATCTTGGACAGTTGTAATGTAAATAGTTGGTTTTCAAATGTAACATATTTCTGTAACAGAATGGGCATAGATTTGTCAAGATGTAAATCAATGAAACTAATAACTTTAAAGAAACATCTGAAAAAAATTATTAGAGAAGATTTCCTTCAATATTGGTTTAAACAAAGAGATGATGGTTGTCTATCGGGTAAACTTACAACATATTTCTATATAAAAAGAAATTTTGAAATTGAAAAGTATTTATTATTAAAAAATTTTGAACAAAGAAAAATTATATGCAAATTTAGAGTGAGTTCACATAACCTCAGAATAGAAAGTGGAAGGTACGAAAAAAAACTAAACTCTGCTGGAGAGCAAACCACCCTTGCAAGAAATGAAAGAATTTGTAGAATGTGCGACATGAACTGTGTGGAAGATGAGATACACTCACTGATTGAATGTCCATTATATAAGCATGATAGAGATGACTTTTTTAATATTATTGCTAAAAGTAATAAAAATTTCTATACTTTAACAAATAAAGAAAATTTTTTATGGATTATGTCTAATGAAGATGACATGTTGCTTATCAAGCTGGGTAATTTTTTAATCAATATCTTTAAAATAAGAAATAGCAAATTATGCAATGTTAAACAAAGAAACAAATAAATACAAAAGAGTAATATATAGAAATACTTTAAACAAACTTTTATTTACAGTATATTGATTATGTATGTTGTAATCCCCAACTGCTGTAACATCATTTATCTTTTGTTAGTTACTGCTATCAATTTTGAATTTCTGCTTGTATGTTTTTTTTTTTCCTTATTACTTGTATGCCCTGATGGGCCCCAAATTGGTATTAATAAATCTTATCTTATCTTATCTTATCTTATCTTATCTTATCTTATCTTATAGAGTGGGGGGGGGGGGGTCTGGCGATGGGGGAAATCCCACTCTACAACATCGGTATAGGTCGATCATTTTGTGTCAGTGTAAATATATTGTATCAAAAGAATTTGATGTATTGGTAATGCAATCAGTCAAACAAACAGAAATATACGGAAAGAGGGGGGGGGGTCATCGTTGTTGCAGTATGTGCTTGCACGAAAAACACCCCTCACTGCTCAGTGGCCGTAAGTGCCGAGTACTCAGTATAGGACAAAAATTGCAGCTCTCCAGTGGCAAGTGGTGGCGTCTCCACAAGAGGGAAGAAATAAATAAGTAAACAACATACAATTGTTTAATCAATCAATCTTAGTATATAAACGGTCAGACTATATGACTACTTGATTTACCATGTGTGACATTGATAAAATTTAATTATAAGAAGCATATCAAAATAATTAACTGTCTAATATATCCTAAAAAAATTGAGGAAAAAAATGAAGAACATTTGGATCAGCCAATATCAATTTTAGTTCAATTTTTTAAATGTCAATTTGGAATCATATGATAGACACTATAATGTAATATCTTTTTATGCAAAAAGAAATAAAAAAAACCCACTTTTTTTTATCTTTTGAAATAAAAGTATGGGCATCGCATGGCAACTATAATTTTCTTATTCTTAATGAGACCACAATGGATTGACCTTGACTTAACATTGCTTCTTATATGAAAATCAAATGGTCAAATGTAATCTAAATTGAAATTATTTTCTTCTACTTTTAAAAAAGTCATATTCATTCATGTCGTTGACTGAATTTACTTGAGCAATAAATATACTCATTATTGTTATCATAATTTACTCATAATTTGCTCACGCAAACATGGGTATTCCGTTATTATCCGAATTGCAATTTTGTGCGTTGTTTCAAATGGGTCTTAATCTATACTAATTTTTTATTTAGCGGGATCAAATATTGCAATTGAATTCTGATTGAATTAAAGCTTACACAATGTAGAAATCTTATCAAAACCATTGGTACACAAAAAGAAATTACAATTTTTTAAAATGTTATGAGCGACCTTGGAAAAAAACGAGGCAACCATCCATCCGGGCATTGCAAATTTTAACATGGCAGCCGTCTGGAGGTTGGTCATCATTTTTTACAATACGCACTTTAGTCCTTTTGTGAATAAACCTGTTTGTTTGAACAACCACAGAACATGAAATTTATATCAATATATGGAGAAATTGTTTACCTTATAGTTAGGGTATTGTAGAAACGCAGGTACAAGAGAGAATAAGTATCCGCCATTTTCAGTGAAATTGTGTCCGTTGAAAAAAAAGGTGCCAAAGATGGAATCGAAAGATACATCGGTGCATTAATGATAGAGGGCGAACATTTACCATTATTTGAGTTTGTATTTTTATTTTACGAATGAAAAACTCTTGGAATTTGTCATGTTTTGAATTTAAAAAAAAAATCCATTCAAGCGACCACGTGCACTTGACTGGAAAGAGGTGGACCCATGAGTGACCTTATTTTAAATTATTGATTGTGGTAATAAAGTAAATGATTCTTACATGTAGTGCATAAATGATTTAAGATTGTTGTTATATCTGAAGTGTCGTTAGCAGGGTAATTTTTATTGACATAAGCACTCAGTCATCAATTTACTAATTTCTGAAAATTTGATGCACCCTGATTTAAAGTTGAAAACTGGGATGGATGACCAGAGAGCAATAGTGACACTCATAGAAAAGACTGCACAAAACGTTGTGCTCGGTTCTGGATGGATTTCCCCAAACTCTTGCCTCAACTGAAGCTTGATTTAAAAAATTCTTATACCTATATCAACTACTCTCGTAAAGTTGAGGTCTGCATGAGTTAGATAGTCAAGACTCAATTCTTATAATAACACAAACCAGCTTGTACACAATCTCTATTTATGAGATACTCCATGCTCAGGGGATGACAAATCCCATTGACCGACGCCCATAGCTAGTGAATTTTAAGGGTGGGCACTGGGCAAGTGAAATTTTATCAAACTCCTTGTTAACGACTAGCTTTGTGTAAGAGTCAGGTTGTGTATGACTTGACTGGACAACCTGCATGACCATAAGAAAAAATATCTTGCCAACAAAATTAGTAATAAAAGATAGCTGAAATCTTTCATGGTTTTAGTTTCAGTCCCAGGAGAGTTATTAACAATGATTATAAGGAATATAGTTCAGAAATATGTTAGAAACACGTGATTAAATGTTTTTAGATGGCATTTTTTACAACGAGAAGTAAATTGAGAAATGGCACACTTTTATATGCAATAAGTATAGGCTATTTTCTATAAGTGGCACCAGCTCTCTGGTCTGTCAATATATATAGAAACTGGGTTGGTGTCTTTTGGGGTAAAGACCTTTTAAAGAGGGAGAATGTGATAATGAGGCAAGGTTGGTTGACTTGCTAATGTGCAGACAACATTAATGTACCTGACCAGTGAATATTGGTGACTAGATGACCAGATTTGAATCCTGGTATTATCTGTTGTATTTTCTCCTCACCAATTACAAAATTATGAATAAGGGAAATGGCAACTTTTTAAGGGATTTGTAATACTGCAATAAAGTTACCACTCAAAAAATAGTATTGTTTTAAACTGTTCTAGAGCATTTTGAAGTTGGGAAAATTCAGTATATCAGTATGCATTCTCTGAATTATGTGCAACTTTTATTTTGTTAGCTAACCATGATGAAGAGTAAAAGAGATCACAGAAAATAAAAATGAAGATTGATAGAAATAAATTAAAGAAATCAACAACAGAGGTGGTAAGTGGACCTAACCATTACCTTTAAAGTTTGAAAAAATGTAAAAGTGAGGAATAAGATGAATATACACAGAAGTCAGCAGTGATTGGGAAGGGTTTGCGCCACGTGCCATAGTCGCATTGAAGTGAAAAATGGCGTATTAAATCAATCAATCATGGCGCCAAGGTGCGTATTTAATTTTTCGCGATGTTATTTGGGAATATTTTGCATACAACTTTCTTACTTGTTTTACTTTCGCTTTAAATGCAGTCAGTTTAAAACAACAAATCTCATTGGTTGAACCCTGTCAAAAACTACTTCCGGTAAAACGAAGCACTTACATTAGGTACATTACTTCATTTATTTGTATGGTAGGGTTGTTCCCTTTCCAAAACTATTGTAATTTCAACACAAAATATGGGTCAATTATATTCTATGCGAGTTCCTTTGAATTTGCTGCATTGAATAAGTTAAAAATTAGATTTGGTGAATTAAAAACGTTTTTTCTCTCCTATTTCATATTTGTTTGTGTCACTTTGTTATTTCTTAAGATGGCCCTTCAGATTATATTGATGGCCCATTCATTTTCAAAATGGCCCATCCAAAATGTTGACAGTTGCGCCGTAGTCCCATTGACCATTTTGGCCTTCCCAATCACTGAAGTCAGTCCATACTAAGTTTGAAACCATATCCCTCAGGGCTAGCAATTTTTTCTTGGACTCTGTCGTGAAGTACTTGTCCAGTAGTCAAAGGCTATTGGAGAAGTTGAGATTCAACAAGGAGTGTCAGCATAAAAGAGGGTTTTCCCATACAACTGGTTTGGGGCACCCTGAAAATATTTTAAGGGACTTTAAAAATGTAAGGAAAGAATTTTTCCTTATTGAAATTTTCCACTTTTCAAGGTGAATTTACAGTCTCTCAGTATCTGATGATTTAAACATTCTTTAACCTTCACTAACAAAATTTGATTTTAAAATTTATCTTAACAGTTATTTTAAGTGAGTTTGTAGTATTATGAATTTTAGTATCCATGCAAAACAAGCTTTATGACTTATTTAGTAGACAGACATTAATTTTCAGCTGTCATTGGTTAGCTAGCTTCAGTAAGTGTTAAACCCTGATTTAAATGATCACGTTAAAGTCTTTTACTTGTGGGTCAGGTTTTATTAGAAAAGAACATTAAGACGTGTTATTTGATATTTAACACATTAAATGTTTCAGCCTGCTGATTGTCGGGTCCTGATTGAGAAGCTGAGAAATGCTACAGAGGATGATTTATACAAGGAGCTACAGGCCATCACCACGGTCACATCCTGGACTTACGGAAAGGTACAAATCCTAAGATTTTACCAACCATGGGAAATCTCAAACCCAAAATGCACTGAGATGGAAAACATTTAGCACCTCTTAATATTATCAAAACCAGCTAATTATGAGGGATTCTTACAGTAATGGAAATGATCATGTTGATTGAACCGAATTCTGCCAAATTAGATAAAATTTGTGTGGTTAAAATATGAATATATGAATTCAACAGAAAGAACAAAGCAATTTTGCAGCAGTATAAATGATATATATCGTAAGTAACAAATAGAGAATGCTAAGTGCATTGTATCTCTGTTTTATGATAACTACATTTGTATTTTGTTTTCAGTGTGAACTATACCACTGGTCAGATATATTGGACAAGTTTGATGAAATCTTGGAGAAAGCATGTAAGAAAGAGGCCGACAAATGGACTCTGGCCTGTGACCTGCCATCCAATGAAAGGGTAAACAGTTCCTCACCAAATTAATAATTAAAATGCTATCTGTTTATGCTGCATAATGTACTACTGTATTGCAGACGTTTGCATTGTTTAAGATGCATGTAAATTGTATATACTAAACTGTATAAATGTTCAAAAATAAAATGAGAACTGTTGGAAATCTTTATGAATCTTTTCAAATTGTTAAGCAGACAGATAACTTAACTCCAAATGACCAATGTTCTTTTATCTATAGCTGAAGGAGTTACTGTTGTACATCCTGGACTTTACCTCCCTGCTGATTGAGCACAGCTTCTCCAGACACCTGTACAACTCCATGGAGCACCTGACCACCCTGTTGTCTTCCTGTGACATGACAGTGGTCCTGGGGGTCCTTAATCTTCTCTATGTCTTCAGGTCAGTAGTAGAAATACAGGTAACATAACCCCTGTAAAATATATCCTCCGTATTCTTGAAATATATGTTTAGAGTTAATTTTTAAAAAATCTACCATAGTCTTGTTTTATCAATCTTCATACAGTATTTGAAGGAAATTTTAATTTTCTTAAAAACTGAATCTTTGGGTGGAAAAAAAAATATGTTAAAATCTTTGGAATTGAATTCTCTGAGGGACAGAATGAATCTGAATGATTATTTGTGGATGATGAGAAATAAGTAGGTTTTGGTTTTATTGTGCCCCAAATATTTGATGTTTATAAAAGTGTTTTGAAATTGCCATAAATATAAGCTGAGTATACGAGTTTGATAAGTCAAGAAAGAAAATGGTGTGAAGGAGGACAATTCTGTAAAGATAACGATATTAATTTGTTATTGAAACCAAACTATGTTCTTTCACACGTCTTATGACCCACCCGTTCTCCTTTGTAGCAAGAGATCCAATTTCATCACAAGATTAAGCAATGACAAGAAACAGGGACTTCTTGTCAGATTGACACATTTAGCAGAGGTAAGTACCAAACATACACAGAAGTGAACACAGCAATGGCAAGTTGTTTAAGAGCTCAAATAATTGTTTCAAATGTTTGATTGTAGAGCTGGGGTGGAAAGGACAACGGTTTTGGTTTAGCAGAGTGTTGTAAGGATGTACCCATATCTGTAAGTCGAAATGAAGTCAAAATGTAGATATAAAGCATAAAAGTAACCAGTCTGATAAAATTAATATACACAAAGATAAAGATGAGCGTGATAAAAAAACCAGTGTGATTAAAAAACTTTCTTACAGTGAAGTTTATTACATTTTATCATGGTTGTTCACCAGTAGTGATACTTGTAAATTTTCAAACCGTTTGTCTTGCTTTATTATCATATTGATATCAGATGCACATTTCTTATTTCAGCAGTTTGAAAAAAATATCTGTTCCCAGAATAATTTTTCTGTTGTATTTCATTTTGCAGAGCTTTCCTTCAAGTGCAACAACCCTTCATTTCGAGTTTTATGTAGAAAACAAAGATGAAAAGGGAAGTAAAAAGGTTAGATTACATGTATATCATTTCCTTCCTATTTCCATTTTAAATTCCTGTTGAAAATACATGATTAAATTATTAGATTTATGCATTATATTAATCCATTCATGTAACATAAATTTTCAATGTGTGTGCAAAACAGTCTAGATTTTTAAAATCACATAAATTTTACAGAATGCTGCAAACAGTATAACTTCTATACATATGGAGAATTTGGATAAATCCACAAAATTACCATCACAAATCATGGAAGATTTGTTAGCTAACTTCAGAATACCAGAAGAGAAACAGGTAAAATTTAAGTACAAGCATTTGAAGTTGTTGAAATATTTCACTAGGCTTATCTTGCTTACGATCGAATCACATATTCTCCATAATGGCAAGATTACCTTGAATTAATTCAAGTTAAATTTCACCTCTTGACAAAAAAAAAAAAATGTTTGTAAGGACAGAAGGAGAATGTTAAATTGATTATTTATGATTACTTTTGTATGACAGATGTTGCTGTATACACACATACGACTGGCCCATTTATTCTCCAATTACCATGCCCGTGTCCAGTGTGTGCAAGCTCGATTACAAGCCCTGGCTATCTTAGGTGAGTTGCTTTTAACATTATCTTATCTCAGGTGAGTTGCTTTTAACATTATCTCAAGTCTTAATTCAGCTTTGGTGGCCTACCATGGACTCTAACGACTGAGCTGTTGAGAGTTGGTGTAGTGACTGATGCTTATACAACTGTTAACCCTGTGATGTATAGACAAACTTTTGAAGAACATGTAGGATTTAATGTCAAAAAAGAATTTAACTCTGATGAATATGAGAATTTTTTCTACATGTAAAAGATGGTTCTGAACACAGTATTAGATTTTGATTTGGCATGTTTTGATTTTCTTCTAACATATTGTTTGTATGTTTATTTTCAGTGTATTCCAATGCTATACAGGAGAACATGAACTCCTTACTTTACCCGGGGCTCATAGAAGAATTAGTTGACATCGTTGAGTTAAAAGACAACACTTTTGTTGTAAGTTTACATATACAATCTGTCATAATTCTAAAAGACAACACTTTTTTTGTAAGTTTACATATACAGTCTGTCATAATTCTTTTCTATTGGAGGTGTTTGTTTGGATATAGTGGATGAAATTAAAATCTTGTTTTGTTTTTAAACAGGAAATCAAAGCTGCTTCACTGAGAACTCTAACTTCCATCATCCACCTGGAAAGAAATCCAAAGTATGTAAACTGCCTTATCCTTTTAGTTATTAGGCCGAAAATGACTTTTATTTTGTTATTTTTACTTAATTCAAATTTTATGTCAATAAGAATATGAAAAATATAGTTTATTTTATTATATTTACTTCATTGAAATTTTAAGTCAACAAGAATATGAAAATTGTAGTTGAAATACAGGTTAAATGAGCCCCTGTTTTGTGTTTTAGGTTGAACAACATCATTGATGCCACTGGAGCCTCATCTTACCACGGTTTTCTTCCTGTACTTGTACGCTCCTGTATCCAACACATGACAGGTAAATTGTAACGTGTACAGGTGTATCTAGTATTTTATTTTTGTAATGTTATTCACATGTATAAGCTATGTAAACCATTCTATTTATATCTTACAGATCCCCAGTTGACCCCATTTCCACAGAAGTATGCCACGGCCTTGTTTTCCTTTCTGTATCATCTGGCCAGTTATGAAAATGGTAGTACGGCTGCTTGTGTAGAGCATCATATTTGATGACTAATCTGCGATTTCCATGAAAACATGTCCTGACAATCCTGAGCCTCATCTTAGATGATTCATTTATTTGATTTCTGTGAACATAAAATTATTTTGATTTCTGTGAGCATTCCCTGATAGTTTGTTTATTCTGTTATTAGGTGTAGAAGCTCTGGTATCCTGTGGAATGATGGAGTGTCTACTGAAGGTGATCAATTGGTATGGAGATGGACAAGAACATATAACAGTAAGTGACCTTGGAACTTATGTAATCCTCATCAACTTTGTTATCTGAGTATTATTCTTACATTCAGTCATCACACTCAAGTGAGGGGACAAAACATAAATAAACTACAATTAGTTGTCAAATTAAAAGAAATATGTTTTCCTTAAGCATAAATACAAAATGGTTTAAAATCATTGTCATATTGAAATGATGTTTCCACCTTCAAATTTGTAAATTGATTTTTCCAGCAATTTGTAACCAGGGCTGTTCGAGTGGTAGACCTGATCACAAATCTGGACATGGCTGCATTTCAAGCCCAAGGAGGACTATCAACATTTATAAACAGATTAGAGGTTGGTTACTGCAAGTGCTTCATTTTGGTAGTTGTAGTTTGTAATTGAAGGCCACATCTATATGTTGTAGAGTTATGAACCTATATATTTTGTTTAATTACTCCCAGAGGTTTATACTTGTAATTGAAGGCCACAGTCAAGTGTAGAATTATGAACTTAAATATTTTATTTAATTACTCGCAGCATGAAGTGGATCTGTGCAGAAAAGAGCAGCCGTTTGAGATCCGTGTGAGGAGGGAGTCGATTCTGGAGGAGAGCCCGGTGTCCCCGGTCTCTGACATGGAGACCGAGTCAGGGGAGGTTACCCAGGCCCGACAATCAGCCCCAGCCGACCCCGACCAGCCCTCAACTTCTACCGGCGTCACCAACGACAAACTCATTCCACAGAATCCCACCAAAACGGGTAAATTTTGTCTTATTTGTAGCATTAAGTCAGAAAAGGCTGTATTCAGAATGAAACTTTAAAGCAAGAAGTCGGAAAAGAAAGGCAGACTGTATTCAGAATTGAAGTTGGAAACAAGGAAAGAAAATACAAATATTTAAATTAGAAACTTTGGAAGAAGTACATGTAGCTTTGCTCTGATCTAACCACTGGTCGATTGAATTACATTGCATTGTGTATCTCTGTCCATGTCCTTTATGGCATGTGCGGTCGTTTTCAATGCAATATTAAGGAAGTGATTAGCATCGTTGGATCATGTCTTTAATAGACGTGTGTCTTGGTATTCGTAGCTTCTACAGTTAATATAAAATATGCATACATCTGCTGATTGTTTCATCCCAAGTTGCCTGGGCTTGTTCTGTATTTTAAATTCTTTCACTGCAGGTGTCCAGTGTTATCCACAAAGAGCTGCCTTACTGAAATCAATGCTCAACTTCCTGAAGAAAGCTATTCCAGACCCATCATTTTCAGACAGTATTAGACATTGTAAGTATTTGTTAGTTTGTGACATGAGAAACACCTGCTTGTACTATTTTACTTGGGTATTTTGATCTTATTCAGCAATTATATACAAGTAAAGAATAGATTCACAAGAATTAAGTTTTATTTGCAAGTTTCGTATTTTTCTGATGCAAAACGCACCATGATAATTCTCATACAGTAGTGTATACCAAGTGATCAATAAAATGAAATCTTTTTGGGCTTGGAGGCTTAAACTTTTGATTCTTTACAGTGATGGATGGTTCATTACCAAAGTCTCTGAGACACATCATCAGTAATGCTGAATACTATGGACCTTCTCTCTTTCTGTTGGGTAAGCAGAAATAATAATTCGGATGCATTGTGTATCTCTGGTCATGCTTTCTATGGCATGCTCAGTCGTTTTCAATGCTACAATAAAGTGAAGTGACTTGCATCGTTGGGTCATGGCCTTGTGGTCTTAGATCTTGGATTTTATAGCTTCTACACTTGTTATCTACCAGATATTGTAAGCATTGTGATTGATATTTTTGTTTGAGAATTAAGGGCCCTCAGAAGGCATTTATGATAATATCAGTATGATCACATTAAGATATCATAACATTGTAACGTTATGTACATGAAGGAATGTAGTAGAGATATACTCAATAATATAATAGGGATATCTAATTAAAGTAGTTGAGCAACATGTACATATCTATAGAGATGGAGGTAGTTGAATAGCCTGTTTTCTTTTGTAGCCACAGATGTAGTAACGGTGTACGTCTTCCAGGAGCCTTCCCTGCTGTCTTCCCTACAGGACAGTGGCCTCACTGATGTGGTTCTCCATGCCTTACTGATCAAAGACGTAAGTACAACATTCACAGGCTCATAGGCCAGAACTTAGCAGATTTCATAGGAACTAACCCAGTTGGTTAGTCTAGTTGTCACAAAAGAAAAGAAGCTAACCAAGAGTCCAGGAAAAATATAAATGTGTTTATTACACCTCTACTGATTTTTTCCTATATAAAAGTAAGGCAGTAAAATGTAAATACTGTATACAGGGTTATTTTCGCCCTTTCACTCTTGCAAACAATTTTGCCCCGTTTTAAATTCGCCCAGTTATAGTTTTGTTTAAGAAATTATATTGTATTCTTTGATTTCGCCCCGTTTTAAATTCGCCCAAATGAGGGTAGGGTGAAAGGGGCGAAAATAAAACGGGGGCGAAAATTTCCCTGTATACAGTAATTCCCTACAAATCTCAGTGAATGGACTCATTCCCCATGCGTTAGTTAAATGAGCTAATCCCTGCTTCGGAAGCTAATTCTTCGGTCATTCGTAATCCTCTAGATTTTACTTTTGTATCGGTCTAATATGTATTAATGGACTAATTCCCCGTGCGTTAGTCTTGAAGCTAATTCCCTGCCATTCGTAATCCTCTATTTGTATCAGTATAATAAAACAGTTAAAAAGTATATCATTGAGGGAGTTAGCAAGATCCCAATTCCCCTCATTCAGGACTATTTCCTTCGGCGCACTGCGCCTCGGGAAATAGTCCTGGTCTTTGGGAACTGGAATCTTGCTAACTCCCTAAATGATATACTTTAACTGTATGGTCTTTGAAATGTTTTGATGCTGTCTGATGAGATTATTTTCACACAAACTCACTGACTTTTGCAGGTTCCAGCAACGAGAGAAGTGCTAGCTTCCTTACCCAATGTCTTCAGTGCCCTGTGTCTCAATGCCAGGGGTTTGCAGTCATTTGTCAGTTGTAAGCCGTTTGATAGACTGTTCAAAGTCCTCCTCTCCCCTGACTATCTCCCAGCCATGAGACGAAGAAGGGGGTCAGATCCATTCGGTAAGAATGGTATGCTGCTTCTTTTTATCTTATGATTGGTTCTGCTATTGGATGTGCATTTGTCATTTAGCTGCCAAAGTTTAGGAACAAGTGATAAATAGTGAGTATTATTTTTACAGGTGACACGGCCAGTAACTTGGGGAATGCTATGGATGAACTAATGAGACACCAACCGTCCCTCAGAACTGATGCCACTAAAGCTATTATCAAAGTAGGATATCAAAACTTTGTAGAATTTCTTGGAAGACTAATTTACTGGAATATTATAAAACAAAGGGGCTGTCAAATTAATTAATTTAAAAAAGCATTGTATTTGATCTCCTGGTAGACTGCTGTATTTGCTGGGAATAAGGCAATGCAAAAACAACAGGTTACAGGAACTATTTCTTTGTGATTTTATCATTCAGAATGTTACTGAAATCTGACATACTATGTTTATATATTTCAAGTTTTTTTCCATCCTCTTTTTATGTTTCCATATAAAATTTAAAACCCCTTTTTATCTCACAAAATGTGCATATATATAAAGGTGGCCTATGTCTTTATTACCTATGCAATCCTTTGCCAAACTTTTAAGAATGACTCCTATGTAAATAAATAAAATTTCTGTTATAGTTGCTGGAGGAGGTATGTTCTATGGGGAGGGATCAGAAGTATGTTTGTGTAAAACCCACCCCTAAGACGGAGCCCCAGAACATGTCAGTCCAGTCGCCCCAGCCCCCAGATAACAACTCGTCTGATGAAGAGGAGGAGGAAGACGAAATCCCTAACACACAGGACATAGACGGCAACAAACCTGAGGCCCAGAGAGAGGCCGCCAGGTAGGAAACTCTGATCATCTTGACAGTGTTGTCTTTATACAGTAAAACTCATTTAGTACAAACACAGATATTGCAAATTCACGGATATAAGGAAGTTTTTCGGGATCCTGAACTATATAAATTTTACGAATTCCTTATATATTCCGGATATAACGAATTACGGATATAGCAAAGTAATTTCAGAGGTCCCAGTGATTTCGTTATAACCAAGTTTTACTGTATTTACAATAAATATTATTCAGTGTTATTGCCGCCTATACATGCAAGTCTGAAAAAATTTCAAATGATTTTTTAAACAATTTTTTAATAAAGATTTAAATATATTTTTAGAATAAACAAAAAAAAAAAAAAAAATTGATACAATTTAATCTCTATGTTAATCTACACTCCTTTATATTTTTATTCAGATTACTAGTATCTGTGATATTTGTATATTCTACATATCTATGTTGATAACAATTGTTTTTATAACACAGAAAAATAATTGTAAATTCCTTTGATAATTTAGAGCCACTGCAGCCCCAAGTGCTCAAGAGAAGCAACAAATTCCTCTGATGGACTATGTCTTGAATGTGGTAAGGATTTACTGCACATGCAGAATGCAGAGATGTGTGTTAAATACTTGTACATGTATAATTTTAATGAGTCTATCACAAAAATGTCATTCTAAATAATATCTCAAAAAACAAAATGAATTTTCCCTGGAAATCGTGTTAAATCTCCTCATATCTTTACAGATGAAGTTTGTGGAGGCTATCTTGACCAACAACTCGACGGATGACCACTGTCGGGAGTTTGTCTCCCAGAAAGGCCTGGAGCCCCTGATGAGTATCCTAGGGTTACCTAACCTCCCCATCGACTTCCCCACCTCACCGGCCTGTCAGACTGTGTCCATTGTCTGTAAATCTATCCTGGTAAGTTTTACAGTGGGTGCATTGTCTGTAAATCTATCTTGCTAAGTTTTAAAGTGGGTCCATTGTTTGGTAAGTTTTAAAGTGGGTCCATTGTCTGTAAATCTATCTTGGTAAGTTTTAAAGTGGGTCCATTGTCTGTAAATCTATCTTGGTTAGTTTTAACTGTAAATCTATCTTGGTAAGTTTTAACTGTAAATCTATCCTGGTAAGTTTTAACTTTAAATCTATCTAGGTAAGTTTTACAGTGGGTCCATTGTCTGTAAATCTATCTTGGTAAGTTTTATTGTGGGAAAGTAAGGTTCCCTGTATTTACAAGGGAAAAATAATTTAGAGAGAGTAAATGTGTAGGTTAAAAAAAAAAATAAATTCCTCTAATTAAAAATTTCAGATTAAAAATATATTTTGTTCTTTTTAACTCACCTGAGCCGAAGGCACAAGTGAGCTTTTCTGATCAAAATTTGTCCGTTGTCTGTCGTCGTTGTTGTCGTTGTTAGCTCACCTGCGCGAAATCTTCGCTATGAATTATGGGTAATTTGATATAAACATCCTGTAACAAATATGGCGGACCACATGGCAAAAATCACGGGAAAAAAAGGAAAATTAGACGAATTTTAAAGGAAACAAAGAAACTTGCAAAATGGCGGTAAACATCGAAATGTCCGATGTTTTTGGCGACGAAATCTCAAGTAAAAACGGGGATTTGGACATTATAAACGTTCATAGACATTAAAGATATGCGTAATAAACATTGTTGTGAAAGGTAGTCGGAGAAACTTGACTTGGAATCGGACTACGAAGGCTCCAAGACGTACAATGTTTACGAAACCCGGACTTCTCTCAATATACAAGAACACCATGTTTTTATTTATTTATTTTTTGGACATATTTTTTCAAAGAATAATGACATGTTACACATCATTTTAATCGGGAATAATTTCTCTTTTAAACGATGGTAAGAATATATGTGATTTTGAAACTTCATAGCAGCAAATTTATCAAAATATTACATAAGATCTTTAAAATACGAAATATCTTTTTTTATTGGCGCTTTTGACTTGTTAAATAATTTTACATGCATATAAATTTCATATCATCTAAAAGAAAAATATCTTACCTTTCTTATGATGTGTCTTTTATTAAAATATTTTAATAAATAAAGAAGTTATTGTATTTTTTCATACGTTAGGTGAATTTTCTAACGATGGCTCAAGTTACTCAGTGTACTGGGGTTGCTTGATAAAAGTTACTCAGTGTTGAAAGAGTTAAGGTAGTGTAGATTCAAGTTTGTTCAAATCATGATCCTCAGGGCTAGGGTGGGGCCAAAATGGCCAACCCAAATTTTACATAGGAATATATAGGAAAAATCTTTCAAAATCTTCTTCTCAAGAACCATTGAGACAGGAAAGATGAAACTCATGTAAAATTATCTTCAAGAAGTGTAGATTCAAGTTTGTTCAAAGCATGACCCCCCGGGCTAGGGTGGGGCCAAAATGGCTGACCCAAGTTTTACATAGGAATATATAGGAAAACTCTTTATAAATCTTCTTCTCAAGAACCACTGGGCCAGGAAAGATGAAACTCATGTGGAATCATCCTCAGGTAGTGCAGATTCAAATTTGTTCAAATCATGACCCCCAGGGCTAGGATGGGGCCAGCCAAAATGGCCGATCAAAGTTTTACATAGGAATATTTAGGAAAAATCTTTAAAAATCTTCTCAAGAACTATTGAGACAGGAAAGATGAAACTCATGTAAAATTATCCTCATGTAGTGTAGATTCAAGTTTGTTCAAATCATGACCTCCGAGACGAGGGTGGGGCCAAAATGGCTGACCCAGATTTTACATAGGGATATATAGGGAATATAGCCATGATTAATGATATTTATATGGAATCATCCTCAGGTAGTGTAGATTCTAGTTTGTTCAAATAATGAACCCCAGGGGGGTTAAAATTCAAGCCCCCCCCCCCCCCTCAGGCCATCCTTAAAAAAATGTTTGTTTGGAATTGCCGTCTGAAGGATTTCAGACACAGGAGGGAGGGAGGAAATTATCATTATCTTTTTTTAATTGAAGATAAATCTTAAATTTTTAATAAAAATCTCAGTAAATAGTAAATACATTTTCTGATTTTAAAAAAAGTACTGTATCTATCATCAACAAAAAGCCCTAATTTTACGTAGATCTGACACTATATTTCAGTGTTTTGTATGGTGCATGTGATACATGTAATGGGCAAAAAAATTGATGAAATAAAAAAAAAATCTTCCTAGTTGTGGTCAATAAAAATTTTTCAGGAGGGGGCATTTCAATGAGGCGGGAGGCAATTCCAAACAAACTATAATTTTATTTTGGCCTCAGTAAACTTTTAGTTCTGATCTGATATGTGCTTTTTCCTAACCAATTGCTCAGGTGAGCGCTGTGGCCCCTGGGCCTCTTGTTCTGTTTTATTTGTTGTTGGTTTGGAGAATATTCACTGTAATTGTAGAAATGGCCATTTTGTTCCAATTTTGCAGAACTTATCTAGAGAGCCACAGATTTTGAAGCAGGGCCTAATGAAATTGGATGAAGTTTTAGAGAAATTAAGCCCCCTTCACCAACCCCTGGATCCACCAGGGGGCTCTGTGTTGCTGAGGGAGCTTGCCAGTGTGGCATCCCCTTCTGATGCCACTCTGTCCCCGCAGGCCACACCCTTGCTTCACGCCCTGTCCTCATGCCACGCCTACATCATGATGTTTGTTCACGTATGCAGAATGGGACAGGTTAGTATAGAATAGTGCAGTAGTCATTGAGGAGATTTTTTGAGATTTCAGATGTCTTGTTTTAAATGAAGAGGAAATGTATACATTAATGATGAATGCATAAAGACAAGCATATGTCAGAATAGACAAAACTGCCTGTTGATACTGCTTATCTGAGAAAAGTTGCAGTTTGTCAATTTACTGAAATTTAAAAAAAAAAGATTTTGTCTTAATTTTTAGCTCACCTCAACGAAGTTGGGGGGAGCTTATGTGATACCCTTGGCGTCGGTGTCGGCGTCGGCGTCCCGGGTTAAGGTTAAGTTTTTTGGAGCAGTTTTCTTTTTAAGTACTTCTATGTTCTATATTGATTAGACATGCATGGAAGATGTTTCTAATGTGTTTCATTGTACCAGTCAAAGTTTCAGATGCTGCAATTTCAGCAAAGGAATGACCAGGTTAATGTTTTTGGTGCAGGTTAACATTTTTGGTGCAGTTTTTGGTGTAGGTCTCATTTCCTAAGCCCTATGTTGACCAAACTTACATGGATGGTACATCTTAGGATGCATACTACCAGACTTGCTTCGGATGCTGAATCTGACCTACATTTTCCGGTTGAGTGAACAGGTTAAAGTTTTTGGTGCAGGTTTCATTTCCAAGTTACTATGAGACATATAATGACCAAACTTGCATGGATGGTACATCTTAGGATGCATATTACAAGACTTGCTTCGGATGCTGAATCTGACCTACATTTTCCGGTTGAGTTGACAGGTTAAAATTTTTGGTGCAGGTTTCATTTCCAAGGTACTATGAACCCTATAATGACTAAACTTGCCTGACTTGCCTGGATGGTACATCTTAGGATGCATACTACCAGACTTGCTTCGGATGCTGAATCTGACCTACATTTTCTGGATGAGTAAACAGGATAAAGTTTATAGTGCAGGATTCATTTCCAAGTAACTTTGAGCCCTATAATGACCAAACTTGCATGGATGGTACATCTAAGGGTGCATTCTACTAGGCTGGCTTCAGAAGCTGAATCTGACCTACATTTTCCGGATTAGTGAAAAGATTAGTTTTTTATACAGGTTTCATTTCCAAGTAAGTTTGAGCTCTATGTTGAACAAACTTGCATGGATGATACATCTTAGGATGCACACTAATGGACTTGCTTCAGATGCTGAATTCGACATACATTTTCCAGATAATATACCTCGTAAAAGTTATGGGTGCAGGTCTATCACCAAGAAACTATAAGGCTTATATAAACCAAAGTTGCACGGATGATACATCTTAGGATGCACACTAATGGACTTGCTTCAGATGCTGAATTCGACATACATTTTCCAGATAATATACCTCGTAAAAGTTATGGGTGCAGGTCTATCACCAAGAAACTATAAGGCTTATATAAACCAAAGTTGCACAAATGATCGAGGGATGAAAACTCTCAATCTTGCTTCAGATGCTGGATTTTAATTACATTTTCATGATGAAGAACTAGTTTTAAGTTTTTAATATATAGGTCTATTCCAAAGTATCAAAATTGCATAAATTTTGCATTTCTGGATGTACACTTTTTGTTGGTTAATTGTGTGACTTAATTTGCCTTACTTAAAGACAACATTCGTTGAGGTGAGCTCTGTAATCTCTGATTACCTATGTTTAGAAAAGTTATATCATTCAAGAAAAAAAGACAGTTGATGAAAATTGACAATGGATGTACATCTCTTTTCAGACTGATCTCAGAACAATATCTGTTAGCCACTGGGGATCAGAGCTGGGGTTAAAAGTTCTAAGTGGTCTGAGTAAGCTGTATACCTCCTTAGTGTGGGAGAGTACAGTCCTCCTGGCTCTATGTAGTGAGGATATACTTCCCCCTGGCTGTACATTCGGTAAGGCCGACATGGACAAGCTATTACCCAAAGATTTCAAAGTAGAGAAGGAAGACCTCTCCCCAGGATCCACAAAAGAAATGGGAAGCAACGGTGTCAGTGCGGCAATGGAATCCCTGTCAACATCAGAAAATAATGAGACTCCCATGGAGGTAAATGAGGGGGCTAGCTCGTCCAAAGAGGAGGGAGATGGAAAGAAATCCAAAATGCCTCCAGCTCTACAAGCGCAGGTGAAGCAGCTGAAGCCTTTGTTATCTGTGTCATCCAGACTTTGTCGTACGCTGGCTGAGTTGTTCAGTTTGTTGGTGAAGCTGTGTGTGGGGAGCCCTGTCAGGCAGAGACGGTCTCAGCAGATCCCCCTACCCCCCACAGTCCCCTCTCCCTACGCCCAGGCTGTGGCCAAGTCCCTCACTAAGCTCCTGACCAATGGGTTTCAGTGGGAGCCTCCACCATACTCACCTGTGCCAAAATTAAGGTACAGAAATATTTATTTTTTTTTTTTTTTACATCTTTATACATGAACTCTATATACATGAATATATTACATATTTGTGTGTTTGAATCTTAAGGTTGACACCGTTTAGCTTAAGATAGAAATGTTATATCAAATTTCTCTTTGAAAACTTATTGGAGCTGAATATTGATGCAGGGAAGATTGATTTTGTATGTACATGTTACTTGTTAAGATGATGTATTCTAATTTGCTCTTTCTTTGTGCAGACTGACATTTCTGGTGTGTTTTGTGGGATTCATGTCCATGTTGTTTGACGAGAAGAAGCAGCCATTCCATTTAATGTTACAGAAGTTTGTAGCTTTAGGTGGCCAGGATGCTTTGTTCAAGTAAGAATTTACCGAAATAGTGGTGAAATAAGGAACAAAATTTATAATTTGTACTTATAGATGCAATAAAAAGAAGAGATACAGTTTATTTCTTATCCATAATAGAATGTATATTTGTGTAAGGTGTATTGTATCATCTGAATGTTTTGTTTAAAGTGCATTATTATAGTCATTGTATTTTTCCCTTTTTATCACAGATCATTTGAGTGGGCATTATCACTAGGGAAAGATTCTACAAAAGATGACCAGAAGCCATCAGAATTATCAGGTTTGTAAAGAGGGTTCTGAAGTAGTGAAAATTAAAGTTCAATGTGAAGGCAGAGCTAAAATTGTTCCTAATGATATAAATATAGTTATATGGCAATTGTTTGTATTAATGTACTTGATCCTTCAGAGGAGATTGCAGAATTCCTGGACTCCTGGCTGATGTTGATAGAGAGAATGTCCAACCCAAAGACAGTCCTAGAAACCCCTCACGTGATGCCAGCTAAATCTAGTCAGAGTGGATATGTTCCATTTAGTGCAGTCCAGTATCTGATCAAGGCACAGAAGGTAGGTGTACAAGGAAGATTTGGAAGCTTTAAAATGCTGTTAAGATGTGTACATGTACATGTATGATATACAGTGTAAATTTGAACTACCTTTTAAAAGTTATATATGGGACATCAAGTAATTTTTCTCACATGGTTTAAAAATTGAAAAATTAATATTGTTACAGTACTTTTATTATAATTGAAAGGTAAAGTGTGAAATTTTATATACATTTTGAAGTTCCTCAGTTATGATGTTGAAGGGTTTTAGTCTACTTTGTTACTTGATGTTTTCTGTATGAGTTTGTACTAAGAGTCTGTATGTCAATTCCAGGCAGCATTCAGGGCTGTGATGAGTCTTTGGAATAAGAAGCCGCTGAAGGTGTATGGAGGTCGTATGTCTGAGTCTATGTTAGCAATCCTGTGCAATATTATCAAAGGGGAGAATGTTATCAGAGAGAGACTGGCCAAAGAGAGGGAAGAGTTGGGGAATGCTTCCAATTCCTCAACAGGAGCTGTTCCTTCTACAAGTGGGGCAAGTTCAGCCGGGACTTCCCAAGCAGTTCCCATGGCCCCCTCCCGACCCAGTGATCCTGAGGTCAACGAAGCTCATCTACAACAGGTAGCTAGAGATACTAGTGAAAAAGGCAAAGAAACACTCATTGTGATGAACACTAGAAGTCAGTTGATGGTTGTTTTGAACATATTTTATTGACAATATGTCAAAGGGATCGGACACAAGTTCTAGCAACTTAGATAGTCCTCTCCCATACATAATATCTCAATAGCCATACAACATTTACAAAATTTTACAATAATATATACATTTACATAGAAGAACAAAGACAATTGTTTTATGAATAAGGAAATAATATCAATTATTAATAATGGTGATAATAAATACAGTGTTGATATTATAAAAATAAAATAATTTCAATAGAGATAATACAATTCATTGTTAATTAAAACGACCTGATTCCTGAATAAATTTTTGAACAATACCGAATATTTTTTCATTTTCCTGCGAAGATAAGGAATCATCTCCCCATAGTAATTTATGCACATTAATCATTTTTACATTATTAGTTACTAGTAGTGCATTCATCATTAAGCGTCTAGGTTCAAAATATTTTCTACAAACAAAGAAAAAATGATGACTATCCTCCTTCATACCACAAGAACAATTTGGATTACTTATGATATTACATCTATACAGATCATTATTTAAAATACAATTGTGTCTTAATTTTGTATGTAAAATGTTCGGATACCTTCTACCATATGAAAAATACTTGGGAGGCTTATCTTTATTATTACTCAATTTTCTTTTAAAACTTCCTATTGAGGTTATTTCCCTTGTTTCATTGCTCAGTGAATTCCATTTGCGTACAGTATCGGGGACAAATGATTTGTTGTATAATTCAAGCCTGCATTTAGGTAAAGAATAATCAAATGAATTTCGAGTATTGTAATTTGAAACAGTGTTTCTAACCATCGGTACAATGTTTTTTAGGTAATCAGGAGCTAGGTTATTGTGGATTTTAAACATTGTTAAAAGTTTGGCTTTGTCTCTTCTTATTATAAGAGGTTCCCAACCTGTTTCAATATACAACGAATTTCTTGATGCTAATACTGAAAGACCAGTCACTATTCTTGCGGCTGTCAGTTGAAGCTTTTCAAGTTTATCAATATCTGCCAGCGAACAGCCTGACCAAACTTCAGATGCATACTCAAGTTGTGGTCGAATAAAGGAAGTGTAAAGTTTGGATAACGTATCTCTAGACACTGAAAATTTAAGTTTTTTGAGAAGTCCTAGTTTTTTGTAGCCTTTACTGACAATACTATCAATGTAATCTGACCAACCTAATTTAGTTGAGAAAATAACACCTAGATGTTTATGTTGTGATACATATTCTAACTGACAGTCTTCAAAAAATAATTCAGGTAACTGGTTTGTATTTTTTAAGCTGAAAAATAATACTTTTGTTTTACTTGGATTAAATTTCAATAACCATTTTTTTGACCATTCATCCAGAATTTTTAAGTCATGATTTAGATGATGTTCAATGAGACGCACGTCACTCGAGCTTTTTTGTAAAGAATTATCGTCTGCAAATAGTCTGCAAACAGTTATCATGTTTTCGGCTACATCATTCACATATATCAAAAATAAAAGAGGGCCAAGGACAGAGCCCTGGGGTACCCCAGCATGCACATTTTTCACAGAAGAAAATAAATTTTTATACATAACTTTTTGTTTTCTATTGTACAAGTAACTTTCCAACCATTCTAACATATTACCGGAGATACCATACATTTTTAATTTATAAATCAAACCCCTATGCCAAACCCTATCAAAAGCTTTTGATAAATCACAAAAAACCATACAACAATGTTGCCCTTCATCAATACTTTTTACAATAGTATGATATGTTTCTAAAAGTTGGTACACAGTTGAGTGACCAGGCAGAAAACCTGCCTGATATTTGTAGAACAAATTATTTGTGTGAAAAAAATTATATACATGTTTGAATACAACTCTCTCAAATATTTTACTTACACAACTCAAAAGAGATACAGGTCTATAATTTGAAGTGACTGATGGGTCATCTTTTTTAAATAATGGAAGGACATGTGCTAGTTTCCAACTTTCAGGATAAACTTTGAGTCTAAGAGATTTATTAAATAACAGACAAAGTGGCTTAGCTATGGATTCTTTACAAGATTTTAACATTTTGTGGCTGATACAATCAGGGCCCACAGCTTTATTTACGGGCAGGATAGAAATAATATCAATAATCTCGCATTCTTGGATATTTACGTCACAAAATTTTTCTTCATTTTTGGACTCAAAATCAGGTAGCTCATATTCTTCATCTTTTATATCAGAGATGGATGTAAAAAAGTTATTCAGTAATTCAATTTTCTCTTTATCGGAAATTGCGTATACAGGATCACCATTCTCATTCAACTGTTTAATAGGGGGTATTTCGGATGAAGTTTTAGTGTGAAAGACATCTTTTAGTAATTTCCAGTACAACTTGTTATTATTTTTATTTGCGTCGTTTAAATGAGAATCAATGTTGTCGTAGTAATTTGCTCTGGCGTATTTTTTCATATTATTTACTTTATTTCTAGCTTTCCGAAATTCTTCTTTATCTGATTCTTTCTTGGTTTTCTGTGCTTTATTTCTTAATCTATTCCTAAGTCGTATAGCTGTTCTTAATAATGAATCCATCCATGGTTTGTCGTTTGGTCTTATTGTAACAGTTTTTTCGGGTATACATTTGTGTATAATTAGCATAAATTGTTGTGTAAAGTTTGTTGTTGCGGTTTCAATATCAGTTGATTTTGAAATAATGCTTTCCCAATCAAAGTTGTTTATTAAAATATTAAGTTCTTCTAAATTTGCTTCTTTATAGCTCCATACTTTACGTTTGTACGAAGAATTGTTACAGTAATTTTGTTTCACATATATATACGTAGCTTTGTGGTCACTGATATTTGTGTCAACCATTAATGTACCTGAATCGAACATAAATATTTCACGACTAATAATAATAGGGTCTATCAGAGTTTTTGTAACTTGTGTTACTCTCGTAGGTTCGTTTATTACGTTTAAAAGCCCAGCCATGTTCATGATATTATAAATTTCATGGTTTGGATTTATTTGAAGAAAATCTACATTAAGATCCCCAAGTATTATAATTTTGTTTGACATATCACTTATTCTTTCAATGGACCATGAAAATTTCCCCCAAAAAATCATTGCTCGAGTTTGGTGGACGATAAACACAACAAATGAATAAATTATTGTTTGGTTGTTCAATTTCGATCCAAATACTCTCTATGCTTCGTGGTTCTAAATCTTCCCGTCGAGTAACTTTTAGAGAGTTAGAGACATATATCATGATTCCCCCTCCATATGAATTCCTATCCTTTCTAAAAATATTTCCAAATCCCTCAATATGAAGATCATCATTGCTTAAGTTTGAATTTAAATGGGTTTCTGTAAAGCATAATATATCAAAATCCTGTACTAAGTAAATCAACGAGTCTATTTTATTTCTGATACTTCTTATATTCAGATGTGTTATATCAAGGGAGTTCTCAAAAGATGGACCAGGATTAATCTCAATATCCCCAGATAAGAGGATTTTCAAAAATAGGAAAAGCTGAGAAAGATAATTTATAATAATTAAATATGAACCCATTTTTTTAAGATGAATTCGAAATAATGTATTCAGTTTATGCAGAAAGTAAAATAAATCAGCAATGTTGAAAACCTTGAATGAGGACCTTTTCAGTATTCCTCTACATTTCATATAGAAAACCCCGATAGCGGAACGATATTGTTCTACAGTATTACCCATTATCAAAAAAATACAGAATGAACAAAATATAATAAAGCGCCGCAAACGGGGTGTCGAAGTCAGATGTAGACGTATGGCTAGTATGTGTTGTAAATTCAATATGTAAATAAACATGAAACATATAAAAACAATAGTGAAAAAAGTTAAAAATGAAAAAATAGTCAAAGATCATGCATGCTGTCACCACATAATAAAGGTGGCGGACTACAATGAAAAAACTCAAAATGGTGTAAACAAAGAAAACACAAACAAATGTCAAAAAGTGGCGACAGAAACTGATATAGTAGTAAACCTGGTATTTACAAAAAACGGCACTTTCATTGTAAGAAAGTGTAGCAAAACATTTAAATGTATTTGGTCTGTTAAGACAGACTGCTATAACATATAGTTGATGGTTAAATACTGCCCTGATATAGAAATTTACATACATGTACATGTAGTAAAGATAATAACATATTTTTATTCTACCTGTGCACGTGTTTAATTCAGAGTATTGATTTTATATAGAATATATGATGATTACATTAAGACAAGCATATGTCAGATGACAGTGTGTTGAAAATGTACATATCTGATTATTCTTATTTGAACATTTAAAAATGACATCATTTTTACACTAAGGATATGGTATACATGTATATTTGAGAGGTGTTCCTCATGTCAGTAAGTGGTACATGTTCTGTTTCATTTGAAAGGAGAGTACACTTATTCCTAAGCTTGTTTCCTGTAATGGCTGATATTTAATGTTTTGTTTCAGTTGACAGACATGGGTTTCAGTAGAGAACATGGCATAGAGGCCCTGACACTGACTTCCTCACTAGAACAGGCTACAGAGTTTATTCTGACTCATCCGTTCTCTGGGACAACTCGACAAGGAGCGGCTACCACAGGGGCTCAGAATGTAAGTACTGACAAAAAAGACCAAACAAGAGCAGCAGTGAAGAACATACTGTAGTAAATGTGTTAGTTATCATTTAATATATGTACAGAAATCGATGTAATCAATGCATTCCTTGTACAACATTTAATCAAGGGATGGAACTCTTGACTATGATGATTGCATTAAAGACAAGCATATGCCTGAATGGACAGAGCTGTCTGTTGACACTGCATATCTGAGGACTGATGTACACTAACTGTCAGATTAATCTTATTATCAAACTTTGTCACAATGAGCCTGTTTGGTTATGGGATGTTATGCGGGGTATTAATGATTTATTTGTATTACAGCCCCTGGGTATGGTGATGGAGATGTCGGAGGAGGATCAGATGATGCAGGCTATTGCTCTGTCTCTGGGAGAAAATGTGGTCATGTCTACAGAAGAGGTAAATATCAGGGCATAGCTATATCATGTACATGTACATGTATATCAATCTTATTAAATGTAGTAAAAATAATATGTTCAAATCTAAGTTATTTCTACTGGAAAAAAATTCAAAATTGTAAATAAAATTGCGATGCAAGTGAAGCTTGTTGCTGTGCTTTACCCAAAACCAGGATAAATCTTGATACAGTTAACCTTGTTTCTCTCAATTAAAATAAAGTTGGATGATGATGGCATAAAGACAAGCATATGTCAGGAACACTTCTTGTTGACAGTTGCCTATCTGACTATATTATCAAAATGTTTTAACATTTTTCATGTAATAAATCCATGTTAAAATTTTAAAACCAAGGCTTTTTGTAATTAACATAAAGTTGTTGATGTGCATGCAGCTACACCTTGAGATTGCATTCATGAAGTTGAAATTCTTTTCAGAGTAACGCCCCCTCGGGTTCTGGTACCAAGACAACAGAGAGCAGTGCCTCCAAGGCTGAGGAGGAAAAACCCGAGGAATTAAACGAAAAACAGGAGGAAGAGGAGCCCCTGGAGACAGCTGTCCTGGATAACTTCACAGAGCAGGTCTTACCTGGTGAGAATAGGGGCTTCTTTATGTACACAATATTGATGGGGGAGGGGGAGGGTACATATGTATTTCTCTACGGAGTTCTATGTGTATCAGTTACTAACAACCTTAACCCTTGTTGTAAGTTATACTCTGCTATAGGAGCAGTTTACAGTGAGGGTTGTATTGCAAGAATAATTAATGTCAGAATAAAAAAATTATTTGTTAAGGGAATTTTTTTTTCCACAAGTGGATTTTGCTTTTGAATAAGAAAAGCATTTGCAAAAGGAGAACTCTACATCTACAAAGACATCTGTTTTGCAACATGACCCTCGTGTATGTTTGTGTAGACAATATGATGAATGCATAAAGACAAGCATATGTCAGAATAGACAAGCTGCCTGTTGATACTGCTTATCTGAGAAAAAAATGTTCTTCTCTTAACTTATATTTTAAATGATAGCCCTCCTTTAAACATACACATACATGTACATGAAAGAAAACTAGATTTTGCAGTTCTCAAATTAGAGTTAAATGTATTATTTTGTATATGTAAACTTTAATGCTAAATTGTCAAGAACACGTCGAAAAGAATGTTTTTTGGAGGAGGTAGACAATTGTTAGGTGACATGAGTCACTTATTTGACCCATTGCTTTCATTTTTAACATGAAGTACTTGTTATATCTAGTTCATTATGTACATCTGTGTACTATTACATTGCACTCATAAAGATCTCACCTGAGCCAATATTTTGAAATTAAAAAAGAGTTTCAGGACCAACAAGCTAAAGATAATCAGATTTCTAACCCAAGATTGTCTTGTAGATTCAAAATAATTTTCCTTGTGGTTCTCTAAAGGATGAACCATATAAGAGAACGAGAGTTTGACTTGATAGTGTAATTTTGTAGGTTGTTTGAGGCTTCTTGATACTCTACCAGAGACAGTGTACAGAGTGTGTGATCTCCTCATCGTGGTGACCGGTAGAAATGGGACAGGCTGGCAGAAAACGGTGCTATCAAATCTTGTCAAAGAGGTATAGTGTATATACATCACACAGAATTACAAAGGCCTTGATATGACTTGTTTTGATTTGGTTTTTTAATCTTGTATGTTTGCATGTATCTTTATGAGAAATAGTCTGAAATAATTGTATTTGTTTTTTTTTCATTCATTTAAAAACCTTGTTTGAAATCTATTTAAATAGCAGTTTTTCTATTCAGATTAGAAAGCTATATGAACAATGAATGATGAATGCATACAGACAAGCATATGTCAGAATAGACAAAACTGCCTGTTGATACTGCTTATCTGAGAGAATTTATGCTTTCCACACTTGTAATGGTTGTAGATTGATGAATAATGTACAGTCCAAATGGTATTGTCTATGTCAAGCAAGGTTTAAAGATAAATTCCAGAGATTTTTTATGCCCCCCTTCGAAGAAGGGAGGGCATATTGCTTTGCTGCTGTCTGTCGGTCCGTCGGTCTGTCGGTCCATTCAGTTTCCGTTCATTTTCTTCATAACCGTTGCCCATACTGAAATGAAATTTGGTATACAGATATATCACATGAATATCTAGGCCAAGTTCTGTTTTGGGTACGATCGCACCATTTTTGACAGAGTTATGCCCCTTGGACTTGGAAAAATTTCAATTATTTGCAGTTTCCGCTCATTTTCTTTGCAACCGTTGCACATACTGAATTCAAATTTGGTATACAGATATATCACATGAATATCTAGGCCAAGTTCTGTTTTAGGTACGATCGCACCATTTTTGACAGAGTTATGCCCCTTGGACTTGGAAAAATTTCAATTATTTGCAGTTTCCGCTCATTTTCTTTGCAACCGTTGCACATACTGAATTCAAATTTGGTATACAGATATATCACATGAATATCTAGGCCAAGTTCTGTTTTAGGTACGATTGCACTATTTTTGACAGAGTTATGCCCCTTGGACTTGGAAAAATTTCAATTATTTGCAGTTTCCGCTCATTTTCTTTGCAACCGTTGCACATACTGAAATCAAATTTGGTATACAGATATATCACATGAATATCTAGTTTAAGTTATGTTTTGGGTATGATCGCACCATTCTTGACAGAGTGATGCCCCTTGGAGTTTGAAAAAATTTCAATTATTTGCAGTTTCCGTTCATTTTCTTTGCAACTGTTGCACATACTGAGATGAAATTTAAAATACAGATTAATCAGATGAATATCTAGGTCAAGTTCTGCTTTGGGTACAATCGTGCCATTTTTGATAGAGTTGTGCCCCCTTGGACTTGCAAAAAAATTCCAATTGGGGGGAGGGGGGCATAAGTGTTTTACAAACATCTCTTGTTAAAGTTTGAAATATGTGTAATGCAGTAGGAAGTATGTTTTGATAAATTATCCCAACTTTGATTTTGGGTTGTTTGTTTACAGTATGATTTTGAGTTGTTTTTGTTTACAGATATATGGTTTTTGGGTTGTTTTTGTTTACAGATTCAGTCGATGGGACAGCAGATCCTTAAGGAGGGTCATGAACTGGAATCTGCTACAGACACAAACAAAGATCATCTCCAGTCCAAGGCCTCCAAGTTTGCTGCCAGACTCCATCTGTTTAGTTTATTATTTGAGGTAATCTACATGTATTTTACATTTTATGTAAAGTCAAGTGTGTAATATTTATTGAAGCTTTTCTGTTAGAGAAAATCTGTATATGCAGACTCTGAGTTTGAATATATATATAGGATTTAAATGCACATTCAGAATAGAATTGCAAGGGAAAATATTTTAATAAATGAAACAGTTGTAACTATTATGGGACATTCATTTAACAATTGCAGGAAATGATGATACCGTGTGCGGAGAGTGTAGAAAGTGTCTGGCTGACTGATATATTGGTGCAGGTGTTGAACAGTGGACAGGAATTCCTTACAGCAAACAAAGATTCGGTAACTCCAAAGTAAGTTATACAACAGCATTTCTATAAATATATGTACAGTAAAACAAACCTTTAAGGAAGAACCAGGAACAGACAATTTTACTGTTATAAAAGTAATTCCTAATATACATTAAGTTCGCAATATATTTTAAAGCCATGGGGAATTAAAATCACTGAAAATGCTGTAAACATTAATTTATGAAAAACATGTCTGCTGTAAGTGTTTTACTGGATCTACTTTCATGATCTATAGGAAAAAGTGAAACTAATCTGACTATGTTTTCTGAATAGGTGGTTATCTCCCTTACTGCTTTTGTTGGATTTGTATGAGAAGGTATCTGTGATATCAAAACGAAAAGCTGAAGCCAACAAATTACTGGTATGTGTCCTGATAATGTATCAGAATTTCAGAAATTAAAGAATTTTGAATGGTACGTTCAGTTACAGAGAAATAGCTATTCCATGCTCTGTGAAGTCCTGATATTTTGCTAAGTAGGTACATTATTGATAAATGTAAAAGAAAAATTATACTATGAGATATGTTTCTTCCTAGCGAACAAGTATCCCTTAGATTGTATTAGACAGGTATTGTCAACAAATAGAATGGTATTTTGTTGATTTAGAGTTCTGATTGTATTTTTAGTGTCATAGCCACACATGGAAATGGTTTGACGACAGTAGCGGTAGATGGTGTAAATACTCAGCGGTGAACAATAAAACCATTGATGATGCTTATCAGGCCGGGGAGACTAGTATCAGGTATAGGCCACGAAATGCTCACATAGTAATGTACTGTAGTGATACACCAGTGGTCAAGTTCTAACGTTTCCTGATGAATGCATAAAGACAAGCATATGTCAGAATAGACAAAACTGCCTGTTGATACTGCGTATCTGATATTTTCTGTCAAACTGATCACTGCATCATATAATTCTTAGTTTGAAAATTAAATTTTATTATATCGTGACTTCTGGAAAGTACATCGGAAGTGTTTGATATTGTAAGTAGACTATGGAGTCATTTCATGATTATAGAAAACTCTGAAATATTTAACAGGTTTCAGGCAGGAAGAAGAAGGTATACTGTCAACTTCAATTCCATGGTGCAGGTAGGCTAATGCTTAAATGTCATTTTATTAATGTACCTGTACAAAGTACACAAAGATCAGCTTTTGTGATAAGATTTATCTTTTCTAATGAAAATTATACATGTATACTGTTAACCTCTAAGTGAAAAGTTGATCTATCTGTTTATTCTTATATGTTTACAATGTGCAGATTAATGAAGAGACAGGAAATCGTCGTCCTATCATGTTGGCCTTCCCTTCTCCAGAGGAACTTTCAGATAATGGTTCTAAAGAGGAATCTAAGGACCTTCCTGCCGAGTTGGCACAGTCAGGTAAAGTTCAGATAAAGTTGCACAAATACATGTAGATTACTAGAAAGGAAAGACATTCGAGCTGAAGTGGTATAGTACAGAAATTACAAACACATCAGCTTACAATGACCTGAAAGAAAAAGATTCTGGAACTTATATATGTTTCTTATTGCAAAGTAGTGTGAAAAATAATAAATTGTTTTTGTCTTTTATTTACATGTAGCTGTAAGTAAAATGGAAACGGAAAGTCCCCTAAAGGCTGAAGAGAAGATGAAAGAGTCTGTGATAGTATCAGGAATAAATTCTGATCAAATTACCCAAATTATTAGGTAAGGAAGATAAAAGGTATTCATGGAAGAAAAGCATTTAATTTCATATGTAGTGTGTTGAGAGCATTCAGTCCAAGTGGTTGAAATTTCATAATTTCTTCACAAGGATAAACATGGAGACTTTTTCCCTAGTAGTTTGATGAAAATTCTTTTTTTGTATTTCAGGTGTATAGTGTCTTTAATGAACATTCCGGTTGAGGCTGATTGTTTACATGCTGCTTTGCGGCTGATTTTACGGTTAACAAGAAATCACCAGAACGCTGTATTGTTTGCGGAACTTGGTGGACCTCGCATTTTATTGACTCTGACCCAGAGTTCCTCTTTCCCTGGATTTATCTCCCTTGCGTCCCTAATTTTCCGACATATCATTGAAGAGCCTGCATCATTACGATACTGTATGGAAAAGGTGAGGCATAGATGTTCTTAAAGTGGTTATCACGTAGGTGTAAATGGACGGTACAGGCCCTAAAAATACTCAAGACTTTGATTACAAGTTGGTATAAATATGTAATGATTACAAGTTAATATAAATATTTAATTATATAAACTCATATACTTTGGAATATCAGAAGTTGGAGAGATGCTAATGTTTATTTGCATTAGCAATGTTGTTTTACATCCATTTCACCCTTGTTTTTTTTTGTGTCTGAAAGATACATGTTATTACATTATTTTTTTCTGTACTTGTGACCAGGTTGTAAAAAAGGCCACCGGAGGAACGGGCTCCAGTTCCAATGGGGTCAAACCGGGCAGTATGGGCTCCAAAGAGGTGAATTATGTGTTTCGAGTGCTGGGACCTGCAGCGTGCCGAGACCCCGAACTGTTCTCTGATGTCATTAAAACAACGTGTAGATTTGCCATTCCACCAGCCTCAAGTAGAAGAGGTACTTATTCCTGTATTTAAGATTTATATCCCATGTTATGTCTTCGCTGGTTGAATGGAGTTGGAAGGGGTTTCCCTTGAGATGTTTGTTTAAAGATCTACATATATTGATCAGCAAGTTGTTAACTATTGCTCACTCTCGTTAATATAAAAAAATTGAATTTTACAAAAGAATTATTTTGTTCAGATGAAGATGCTCGCTACAATGGTCCACAGATTTTAAAGAGTGTGTCCACCACCAAATGTGTGTCCCTGACAGTAGAATCTCCAATCAAAGAGGTCCTACAGGACCTACTGAACTGTCTGATAGCAGAGTACAACAACCAGGAGGACGGTAAGGCATTTAAATATCGGAATGTTGGCATCTCAAACTCAAGGCCAATTATCAGTTGATTATTTTTAATTCATCTCAAATGCCAAATTATTGAAAAAAGTTGCTTTGAATGCAGCCAGTAATATCTTTCACATGTAATAATGGCATTGCTTTCTGATGGTCCATAATAACTGCACTTTCATGACTATGTTTATCCTCTTAGGTGTATCTGGAGGGTTCGAGGTGCAGCCCCCCATTACGTTGGCTGAAGCCATCGCCAGTGAGATGAGGCCCCCCGCCATTCCCAGACAGGGCAGCTCAGCTGATATTGTAAACGAGGAGGAACAAACGGTATGATAGAACCTTATGTATTGATCAAGTTGAATTTCACTAGAGTAATAACTGATATACTGAGATGATGTTGAAACATTATTCATAAGTACATGTAAGAAGAGAGATAGGTAAAAATTACATATGAATACAACCTTTATCTAAAAAATGACTGACTTTTAAGGGAGAGTCCGAGAGCACTAAAGATCAAACCAAAGACAAGGAGGTCAAGGTCAGTGAGGACCAGCAGAAGAAGCGACCTTTGATGCCTAAGTCCAGTGTTCTGAGACTGCTGTCCGAGGTGGTCAAGTCCTACAGTAGCTGTACACAGCTGATTACCCAGTACACTTACCAGGCAGCACAAACCCCTCTCGTTCATGAGGTCAGTCTCCTTTTAACTCTGTGTTCTGTGTACCATTTAAGTTTTCCATCAGCTGAGTTACTTTGAAAACTTTTGAATGAAATGAAATTGTTATTCAGTAAAACATGGTTATAGCAAACACTCTTAAAATGAATTCATGCTTACAACGAAGTGATTTTCATTCCATGTGACTTAGAAATATTTATGATAAACTTAATGGATAGAATAAATTACACTTATAACTAAGCAAAATCATCCCTCCCTTGCACTTCGTTATAAGTGTGTTCTACTGTACCCAGTAGAGTGCATGCTTTCAGTAATTGAATCATCATGAAACAATTTTAGATTAATAATTTGTTACTCTTACAGGAGTGTACAGTCTTGGCATTTGTTCTGGATAACCTTCTACCTCAGTGCCAGATATTTGGGGATCGCGATTGCCCGGCTCTCTCACGAGTCTTCATTGCTAGCATAGCCTCCTGTAACCATAGCCCTGATGCCCAGATGAGCCTCGTAACAGAAATCAAGGGGGCCCTCCAGCGAGCTCTACTCCTGCCAGAGAGTGCCCTGAAACACACCAAAATCCGAGCCCTGACCAATCTTATCAGTATTATCATTGACTCGTGTCCTAGTCCAGGGGGGCCAGTCCCTAATCAGATGTTCAAAGGCCAACAAACAGTGATGAACAATATTGTGAAATCTCTCCTGAAGAAAGGTTTAGTGACGGATCTGGCTCGTCTGCCACACAGTCTCGACTTGTCCAGTCCGTACATGGCAAACACGATTAACGCGGCCCTCAAGCCACTGGAGACTCTGTCTAGAAGCGTCAACCAACCAGCTCAGAGTGTGGTGTCAAAGGTCAAAAAGTCTGAGACAGAGACTTCGTTACAACAGACCACCGAGTCTCATGAAGGAAACACAACAGGTAAGGACTGTGTGTGCTCATGTTGTCGAGTTTGATAAATATATGGGAGCATTTATTGTCATTTGAGGATGAAGCCTCATTTAGTATCAAAGTATTTATAAAGTAAAAACAGATTTGGTGGTGAACAAAGTACTGTATTACGTGGATTAGATTTTGATACAAAATCAGTATTGATAGTTCTCACTCTGTCATTACTATGTTGTTTTTTGTTATACTGACCTGTGATAATGTTTAACAGTGCCAGCTCCTACTGCTACTCCTGCTGAACCGTCCCATGTAGGGGAGATAACAATAGAAGACATCTCCGATCACACAGACACGGGAACTATGGAGGAGACGGAACCAATAAGTGCTGTCGAGCCGGAGAATGATGGAGAAAGGGTGAGATTTAAATCGTAGTTTTATCATACGAAGTTGCTGTTTTTGCATATTGCTTGAAAAATATTATGATTTTGATTTTAAAGACAAAAAAATGGATTGTTAATATTTAGGTGTTGTTTTTTATTTTTTCAATGACAGGGTGAGTCTGAGTTGGACAATGTATTGGATGTGTTACTGAACAGAGATGGAAATATGAACCCAAGTAACGAAGTCATAGGAGACATTGTTATGGATTCAGGTGTGTAGCTTGTACTTTCAAGATTTAATTTTACTTACAGAATTTCCTACAAGACATTGATTTTTTATTTGTTTATTGTTGTAGAAGACTTGACCTTGCACGACTCCCAGATGGTCAGTCAGGAGATCTCCATTGATGATGAGGACGCAGAAGAGAATGTTCACGGTAAGAATCAAATCTGTATTGTGGTGTTTATCATTTATACTGCTAGGTATCACAGTAAAACTTGTTTAGTACGAACACGGATATAGCGAATTCACGGAAATAGCAAAGTTTTTCTGGGTCCCCGGCAACTTCTTAACAAATCTTTGTAAAATTTTATGGTTATAACGAACTCTGATATAACAAATTTACAGAAATAGCGAACTGATTTTGAGTCCCGTTGAGGTTAAATATAATAAAATTTACATCTTTTAGAACGAACTTTCAAAGATTATAAAAAATTGATAAATTGAACTGACTTTATTTCCTTTTAGCATTTGTATATAAAATACAATTCATAATAAAACCTAAGTTATTGAAGGTATGTTTTGTAATTCTGTAGAAGTACTTTTTTTCCGCGTGCTATTAATTTACGCGATGTACGCGGTCTCGAATTTTCCGCGGAAATTTATCCAAACGTACTTGATATAAATGTAAGGCATATAGTGACAGTCTAGGAAATCCACATAATTTTCTACTCGCGGATTCAATAGAAATTGAGATTCCGCGGAATTATGACCCCGTGGAGAAAAGTATGTCTACAGTATTTGCTTCCCTAACATATTTGGTAGTAATACTTGAATGAAAAAATGCATATTGCGAATTCGCTATTATGGTTGTACGAATTCATTATACAGATATAATGAATTACGGTTATAGTGAATTAAATTCACAGGTCCCAAGGACTTCGCTATAACCGAGTTTTACTGTATTGACATGTAATACTGCCAAGAGAAAGTACGTGTCAGGGGCTAATGTAGATACCAAACTCTACACATCTTTACATTCATGACTGTGGACTTGGTGATACCATTCATAATATCATAATTCTGATCAACAAAATTAAATTTGATAACACTAGTAGTAGTCAGTAAAACCAGAATCATATGGGAGATACAATATCAGTACTCTAGCATTTAAGCAGTATATTTATGAAGATTTACCCAAGGAACTACGTATCTACTTGACTGTAAAAATGTTTGTATTAAGGTGATGAGAGCTGTATTCCCAATGAAGATGACAGTGCCTCTGATGTTGATGATGACGATGATGATGACGATGATGATGGTGATGATGGAGAGGGAGATGACGGTGATGATGAGGATGATGAAGATGACGAGGAAGAAGATGAAGACGATGAGGTAAAGTCTTGGTTTGGTTTCATCTATTATTAGTTCTTCTGAGCCAAAGGCTCAAAGAGCTAATGCTATGGCCATTTGTGCGGTGTGCGTTAACTTTTTAGAATATGGGCCATAACTCAAGAACGAACCTTGGCCAATCAGTGTCAAATTTGGCACAGGGTATCCTTGGTAAGGGCTACCATTTATACTAAAATAAGGGTTGGGACCCTGAATAAGGGGAGATAATCAGAAAACAAAACAAAAAGTACTGGTTGCTAAAAAATCTTCTTCTCCAGAACCACCAGGCAGATTTTCAAAAACTTACATACAAGGATCTTTGTTATAAGATAAAAAAATGTTCAAGGCATGACCCTGTAAAGGGCAACGTGGTCACTTTAAAGTTGACCTAAATTTAAATTAATAAAAACGTTTATGTTTTGCTTACTATAAGGACTAGGACCATCAAATCTTGTAAGTTGATGCATCTTAGGACTTCACATCCTGTAAAATAAAAAGTAGGTCACGATGACCTACTTTTTAAATTTTGCGGGCATTTGTTTTCAAATTGAATTAAAGGGTTATTTTCGACACTTTAAGGCCTATGATCATCAAACTTAGTCAGTTGATGCCTCTTGGGTCCTTGAACAACGTCAACTTAAAAGTAGGTCACTGGGACCTACTTTTTGAACTTTATGACTTATCCTTTTCAAAACATTTAATCCCATTATTTCAGGCACTGAGAGGGTTAGAATCATCAAATCTTGTAAGTTGCTTCATCATGGGACCCTAAAACATATTTAAGAAAAAGTAGGTCACTGTGACCTACTTTTAGAATTTTGCAGGCATTTGTTTTCAAATTGTTTAAAAGGCATATTTTGATTACCTTTAAACCTATGATCATCAAACTTGGTCAGGAGATGCATCTTGAGGAATGATGAAAAATGTCGAGTTGTAGGTGCGGTGACCTACTTTCGACATTTTATGGCTATATTTAAGTATCTTAGGTATTTATTGGCTTAGAATCATCAAACTTTGTGAGTTGATGCATCTTCAGTTTCGGAAAGTGACGACCAAAAATTAGGTCACAGTGACCTACTTTCGACATTTTATGGCTATATTTAAGTTTCCCGGTACTTATTTTTAAATCATCAAACTTTGTCAGTTGATGCATCTTGGGATTTATTCATCAGATAAACACAAGAAATAAAAGTAGGTCACAGTGACCTTTTTTTAACATTTTATGGCTATATTTAAGTATCTCTAGTAATTTTTGAGAATCATCATACTTTGTCAATTGATGCATCTTTGGTTTTATAGAATTTCGAACATAAAGTAGGTCATGGTGACCTACTTTTGAAGTATCTCAGGTATTTATTGGCTTAGAATTATCAAACTTGGTCAGCAGATGCATCTTGCAGGTAATCAAACAAAATGTCAACCAAAATGTAGGTCACAATGACCTACTTTCGACATTTTATGGCTATATTTAACACTCTGGTACTTATTAGTTAAGAATCATCATACTTGGTCAGTTGATGCATCTTGGGTTTTCTGAGAATGTTGACCAAAGAGTAGGTCACAGTGACCTACTTTTGAATATCTCAGGTATTTATTGGCTTAGAATTATCAAACTTTGTCACTTGATGCATTTTGTGATTTCCAAGAATGTAGACCAAAAAGGAATTCTAATTGGCTAAAAATCATCAAACTTTGTACGTTTTAAAACAGATTGTTTAATAGGATAAATAGGGTTAGAGGCTTCAAATACAAGTGATAGGTTGTACAATTTATCAGAAGAGCGATTCAAGGCCCTTGGGCCTCTTGTATAAATACAGCATGTAGTGGAGGGTAAACGTTGAAATTTATCACCTCAAGAAAATCTATATGATTTGTTAATTGACGTAGTGTCATAAAACCTAAGGTTTTATTGTAGGGTTTGATCTGTAAATTGATGCTTGGTTATAATTCTGTTGTAGTTGAGTCTAACTTTCTGTTGTAGGGTTCTGATATGGAGGCAGAGGATGAAGATGATTATCCAGACATTGATCCCACACTGAACCCCATGAGTGAATTTGATGACAACCTAATGCACATGGAGGAACTGTTCCCTACTGGTTTGTATTGAATTTAACTATTAAAAGAACAGTTTGTCCTATCTCATATCTATCTTTAAAGTAGTGTTGACTTTGTCATGCACATATGTTCAGAAGGATACATTAATTTTACAGTTTGTTAATAGGAAAAGATTAGATATAATTTATTTCTTTAAAGTATTAGTGGCTGTTTATAATCTAAGAAGTCATATACATGTATCAGGTAATGTACCATACAGCTCCATATTAGTCCATATGATATTATTGTTTCTTGGAAATTAACAAAAATGTCAGAGAATGAGTAAACTTTTGAATGTGTACAATTGTTGTAGGAGGGGGGAGGAGTCAGGGCCTGCTGTTTAATGATAACACTGGATTGAGGAACATTGGGCTCCAGATCCCCATCAGCTTACACGACAACGACAATGGCAATGACGACTCAGGTAGAGCAATTAACTTACCCTGTGTTCTCTGTGGTTTGTCAGCTGTTGTGTAAAGAATAGCTTCTGAATAGTCCTTAGCATTCAAAATCTGTGCTGGTTAATTCCTTGTTTAGAACAACTTAAACATGGATACATGTATAAAGAATATATATTATGCATTACAGTGTATTGATTCAGTATCTAGCATTCATTTTGCTACTCCTACATTTTGTGTAAATCTTTAAATTTTTCCTCTCTTTGGAGGTTAAAATTAAACAGTGTTCTGAATTGAAAGGAAAAAAAATATTAGAAATTTTTATTTGCCTCATTCACTTAATGTATAAAACATTTTGTATTGTACATTGTTATATTTTAGCGCCTGCCATTCCCCCAGCTCCTGTCAATGTGATGTCATCTCACCCCCTCCTGGTCAGACAGCCCGAGGGCCACACAGTGATGGGGGTACAGCGCCTCCACCGCGGGAGAGGGAGGAGGGAGGCGTCATGTAGGTACAACCCCACCACCCAGACTCTACACGTCAATCTACAGAGACAGCCCAACCCCCCAGTCATCTTACAGAGGTTAGTAAGGCTCTAAAACTTCTCTACATGTACATCTAGGTGTAAAAATAAGGCATAGAATCTCATCTTTTCAAGCTGTCTACAAATAAGGTGAAGAATCTTTGCTTTCTTTTATAAATTCAACATTTATTTGGAAATAATTATGCAAACTAATTTGCTTCTTTTCTGTAGGAAGACTTCATTTTATATATGATGGTCATTGTACAATGTCAAAGAGTACTTTTATTTCACACATCAGTCACATCAAAATATTGGGAATTTTTTTCTTGTGATGAATGAAGTTGTCTACGTCATGACATTGTACAAAATTTGGCTTACAGAACAAAATATTAGAATATTGATGTCAAGTGATTTTCATAGGTTACTGGGTCCAACCACCGCAGCAGATGTCCTTCAGTTGACCTCTACTTTGACCTCTGTGGCTGGCCCCACCCCCGGAAGATTAATGGTAGGAAATGATGACCTTCGCATCATATCTCGACCTGATGATGATTTTCTGGAGGAGATATTACATGTACGTTATTACTGTAGCGAACAAATGCTTAATGTTTAATTGGAGTATGTGTCTTGTATGTCAGTATGTCAAATTTAGTTCAGAGATGATCTTTTAGAAAATGTGGCTCAAATCTTAATTTCAACCTCCAGCATTGTGAAAATATTATTCTCTATGGTTGAAAAAATGTGTAACTCTGTTGTGAGAGAAATATGACAGCAGATTTTTACTATATATATAAATGTAACTGTACAATACCAGTATTGATGATATAAGATACTGAGCTTTATAAAAGGCCCTTGATTACTGTTTTATAGGACTCTTATGGAGATGGGGGACAAGGCGGTTCTGGGGTCTTGACGTACATCCCCTCAACACTGACCAGATGGACAGAAGAGGCCAAGGTCCTGGACGGCGACAGTATCCATGACTGTGTGACTGGTAGGTTACTAGACTAGAGGTTCCACTGTATGAATGCCAAGTACAACTCTGTTCGATAGTAAAATTTTGTTTGTCGTACAGTAAGGCATGACTGTCAAGCACAAATCCAGGTTTACTTGTGCAGTATGTATGGATTTACATAATTGAGGAAAAGGATGATGTGACATTTGGCCTCCAGTAACTGACAAAAAGTAAAAGTCCAAATTTTACTATAATTTTTTGCATGCAGCTAATCACTGATATGCGTACCCTAATGAAATACTATTCTTACCAAAAACGTAGAAACGTAATTTGGAAGATACAGATCTTTACTTTGGGTAGGGGTGCCATTTTTACATCCAATTTTGGTCCCGCCCCACTCTTTGAAGCCCTAAAAGCTGAACACGACTCGTAAATATGCATATGCCATTTTATATATCATTAAACAACAAATACATCAACACTAGGGTATACTGGTCGCATTCATTACATCTGGCTTTATTGTCAGGGTATTGACGTTGAATGGCAGCATGTGTTAGTGCTGATTATCTTACAGTATGTTTCTTTACTGCGCTGACCTGTGAAACTTTTGTAAGTTCTTTGGTATTTTACTTTCCTGCACTAGAAGAAGCAGCTATTTTTGACGCTAATGAGTATTGTATAGCATATGTCATGCACACCAGTGACAATTTATTGCACATTTTATTAACGGTGACAAAGTGATTGGCTCTATTTATAGCAGTGTTTGAAATAACCATGTGACCGACCACCCGAGGCGCACAAATTTTGTCAGGTGCGAACAGATTTGCATGTATTGACGCCTGGCTGGACGTGTAAAATTTTTCGATAAATTAAAATTGAGATATTTGATAAACCTCTCTCAAACCAACTAAAAATATTACTGACTTCAAAGAGTTACAAGCAGTAATATCGCGAGTATACCTTGCAGTTATCTAACTTATTACTGCTCTTTAACGTGGGAGTCAAGAAAGCCCTAAATCTCGTGAGATCACGTGGGCACATGGTATTGTTTACAGTAGTGACAATCAAAGCATTCGAACAATTTTATGCCGAAAGTTCAATAAATTGCCAAGAACTGAACTCCAAATAGTAGATTGTCAAAAATTGAAAGTTACGAAAAATTAATCAGCTTCACAATGGGACGATTTTCAATATATATTTAATGAGAAGATCCCACTTAGTTTAAACATATCGTTAAAAATGTAAAAGTTTAAGATTAGCTCCTCTAAAAAATAATTAGGCTGGTTCAGCGAATATTTAGTAATTAACGTATTCCACCAGGATTTTTTTACTTTTCTGCATGTCCCTATAAATTCTACAATGATCGATCAGTCAGCGAAAGAGTTGTTAAGTAATCCAATGTATAGTGAGCTGGCCCCATTCACATTACTGTTAAAATGAACTTTTAAAAGACTATAGATCGATTTTTCAGGCTAGTACATTTTTAACAGGCTAGTACATTTTTGACAGGACTGACAACTTCCACTGGCAAACAGCCCTGCATGTCTAGCTAATTTTACAGCGAGTTTCAAACACTGTTTATAGGGGCCTGAAGATATAGCGAGAGCTTAAACAATCATGGCGAACAAATTCTTTTTAAGAATCGTATTAAGCTTTAAAATATAGGAGATTAAGTAGGTACATTTTTCTCCTTTGGATTGTCACTATTTTATTGAAATCTATCTCTATGTGAAAGGAGAAAAATGTATCTAACTGGGGCGCACATGTTGTTTTTAATAAAAAAATGTAAAGTCTAACTGGCCTCTCCCATTATAAATAGATTTACAAAACTTTTTTTCTGACGTAAGAATAAATTCATATGCTAATCGATACCTGCTTTCCCTGGAAATTTGTGAAGCAGTATGCTTGGTGTATCATTTTTACCGATATTTAAAATGAATTAAATTAATGTTGAGAGATGTATGAACAAAATTCAATACATGTATTTTGGGGGAAAAAATCAATAGTCTCTCAGAAAAACTTGCTTCTGACAATTTGAATATAAATGTCACAACAAAAATCGTTCAAATCAAAGTATATTTAATAGACAATTAAGACAAGGTATTCCAAGCACTGATTTATGGTTGAGGATTTCAAATTATGGACAAAAACCATTTAAATGAATGATAGCTTCTGATGAAATAATTTTCCTATTGTGTTATACCAATCATGCTCTTGAAGTCAGTTATAGATAAATAATGGATAAAATTATACCTCTACTTGCAACTTAACTGTACAATGTGAACTAATTCTTTATTTTAGACTTTCATTGTAATGGAACCCTAACTTGAAGAATTATCTACAAAATATAAAGCTATTAGTGGGCAAGGAATCTGTCTCAGTTTTCTTTTGTGGGGGTAAATTTCCCAGTTTTCTGATTTTTGGTAGAGCCCTCAGTTTTCTGTTTTGGAGTAAAGCTCCCAGTTTTCTGCTTTGGGATAAAGCTCTGTTGATCATGGCGTATTGGCCACTCCCTTCATCCCTTAGATAGAAAACTGGACCTTAGCAAAAATGTACAGTTTTGACAAATAGATTCAAAATTTGCTTTATTTTGCTAAAATCGGGGCTCATGTGTATTTGTGATATGATGTAATGAATACCAACAGAGACTATTGATCAACAGAATAAACACAGGAACAAGGAAAATAGAGGAGTTTCATTTATTTATAGAAATAAAGATTGAGGCAAAAGATTTTCAGTTTACATAGTAACTGTGAACATTCAGATTGCTAATGATCTGGGAATACATCTGCCATTCCTTTCGAAACAGAGGCGTTCACTATTACAGTTAGCAGCAGAAACAGCACTGCAGTAGTCAATCTCTGATCTCAAATCTCTAATTTTTGCAGCCTGTGCTTTTGCTATTGCATCTATCTTGATCTGATTTGCTTCTTCTAGGGCCTTTGGTCTAACCTGTTGAAGGTCGCACTTGCCAATTTCTTTTTTCATTCTCTGTGGACAAACCCGTCTCGTATAGTCATCACGAGCTGACTTTTTTGCTTCTGATCTTGATGTGTCAAACTCTTCCTCATAGCCCTGCTTAAAGGCTCGGTCACGAATGATAGCTGCCAAAGAACATGAGAGTTAAGTTAAATAATAGGGAATCATTTGTTAGGAATTCCTCACAATAAGGAATGATTTGTATGTGACCCATGACTACATATATTACAATATACAAATTAGATAAACACACGGGGCAGAGTAACATACTGTTTCACAGTCTGATTTTACGTAATCACTATGAGTTCAAATAGGAAAAGGGAACCAACGTCTGTCAGAATTTACACAGGTTAGTCTAAAAAATACTTCTTTCTGTTAGAAAATACCTTATAACCAATATAAAATTACAAATTGAATCATACTAGAATAATATTTTGTTAATAAAAATGTATTATCCCTCTTTTATGTATCATTTTAGTTGGGTTTTCTAACTCGATATCCCATGAATGTCCACTTCAACAAGTCAAAATTAGCTCAACCCACTAGTTATGAAGTCTTTCTGAAGCTGGAAAATGGAAACTATATATTCAGACTTCATGAAAACTGTCTTTCTCTTTTGATATTTGCAATTTAAACATACCATATCTCTGATTTAAAGAATTAGGGTGTTTTTTTTCCTGGTACACATTGAGGTCGGAGTTGTTGGATTTTACCTAGTACATTTTCCAGATGAATGATTAGGTTTAAGTTTTTGGTGCAGGTCAATCACCAAGAAAAAACTATAAGGCCTAACTAAACTTGCTTAGATGGATTGCATCAAGGGATGAATACTCTTAAACTTGCTTCAGATTCTGGATTTGAAATAAGCTTTCTTCATTAGCAACTAGTTTGAAGTTTTTGGATAGGTTTATTCCCAAGTTAGTACAAGCCCTATTTAATACATTGAAATACATGTATTGCATAAATGTTGCATCTCAGGATGTACACTACTAGATTATTAGTTTTTAGCTCTACTGGTCAGAGACCAGAAGAGCTTATGCGATAGTAATGCGTCCGGCGTCCGTCCGTCTGTCCGTCTGTCTGTCCGTCTGTCTGTAAGCTACTCCTCCTACAGTTTTGGTCTAATTTCAATATAACACACAAGTTTGTTAATTCTGTGTATCGGTTTTTGAGGTGTTGCCGTGGTTATGAAATTTCTGTGAATTCTTTCAAAATGCTACTCCTCGTACAGTTTTGGTCTGACCTTGGCACACAAGTAGACTACACTAAGATACATAATTCTGTGTATCGGTTTTTGATACGGTGTTGCCGTGGTTATGTAAAATTGTTTCAAAATGCTACTCCTCCTAGGTTTTGGTCTGATTTCAATATAACTTGGCACACAAGTAGACTACACTAAGATACATAATTCTGTGTATCGTTTTTATGAATGGTGTTGCCGTGGTTACTAAAAATAGAAATTTCTGTGAAATTCTTTCAAAATGCTACTCCTCCTACAGTTTTGGTCTTTTCAATATAACTTGGCACACAAGTAGTTTTTAATTCTGTGTATCGCTGAATGGTGTTGCCATGGTTACTAAAAATAGAAATTTCTGTAAAATTGTTTCAAAATGCTACTCCTCCTACAGTTTTGGTCTGATTTCAGTATAACTTGGCACACAAGTAGACTACACTAAGATACATAACTTTGTGCATCGGTTTTTGATTTCGATGAACGGTGTTGCCGTGGTTACTAAAAATAGAAATTTCTGTGAAATTCTTTCAAAATGCTACTCCTCGTACAGTTTTGGTCTGATTTCAGTATAACTTGGCACACAAGTAGACTACACTAAGATACATAATTCTGTGTATCGGTTTTTGATTTCGATGAATGGTGTTGCCGTGGTTACTAAAAATAGAAATTTCTGTGAAATTCTTTCAAAATGCTACTCCTCCTACAATTTTGGTCTGATTTCAGTATAACTTGGCACACAAGTAGACTACACTAAGATACATAATTCTGTGTATCGTTTTTGTACTATGGATATTGCGGTATTAACCAACATTTGCCCCCCAAAAACAAACTTTGTGGAGTTATTTAATTAAGTCCTTAAACAAGTATATGCGACAAAGCACTGAATAATTTCATAAGTAATGACGTCATATGTACGTAATGACGTCACAAATATGACGTAAATTTCAGTTTTTTATCAATTTTGCACAAAAATGTACATATTTCGTCGATATTTTAAATAAAAGTCACCGAGCGCATGTGTGTTCAGGATTAATATTTTGATATAATGTGTAGAATGATAATATCAATGAAATATGTCAATATTGTTCCTGAACACACATGCGCTCTATAAATTCTAAAGCTTAAATTGTTGAAATTTTGTCCATGAAAAAGGATATAAAATCGTTTGACATCAGAAATTGTGAATACACTGCTCTGGAACTGTAATATTTTCTGTTAACATATTTCTCGTACAATTTATTGAATTCAGATTTCTTTTCAAAATTTGACTTTTGTGGGGGCAATTTTACCGCATTTAGTTCTTTCTGTGAAATTCTTTCAAAATGCTACTCCTCCTACAGTTTTGGTCTGATTTCAGTATAACTTGGCACACAAGTAGACTACACTAAGATACATAATTCTGTGTATCGGTTTTTGATTTCGATGAATGGTGTTGCGGTGGTTACTAAAAATAGAAATTTCTGTGAAATTCTTTCAAAATGCTACTCCTCCTACAATTTTGGTCTGATTTCAGTATAACTTGGCACACAAGTAGACTACACTAAGATACATAATTCTGTGTATCGGTTTTTGATTTCGATGAACGGTGTTGCCCAGGTTACTATAAATAGAAATTTCTGTGAAATTCTTTCAAAATGCTTCTCCTCCTACAGTTTTGATCTGATTTCAGTATAAGTTGGCAAACAAGTAGAATACACTAAGATACATAATTCTGTGTAACGGTTTTTGATTTCGATGAACGGTGTTGCTGTGGTTGCTAAAAATAGAAATTTCTGTGAAATTCTTTCAAAATGCTACTCCTCCTACAGTTTTGGTCTGATTTCAGTATAACTTGGCAAACAAGTAGAATACACCAAGATACATAATTCTGTATATCGGTTTTTGATATGATGAATGATGTTGTCGTGGTTACTAAAAATAGAAATATCTGTAAAATTATTTCAAAATGCTACTCCTCCTATAGTTTTGGTCTGATTTCAATATAACTTGGCACACAAGTAGACTACACTAAGATACATAATTCTGTTTATCGAATTTTAATTTTGATGAACAGTGTTGCCGTGGTTACTAAAAATAGAAATGTCTGTAAAATTGTTTCAAAATGCTACTCCTCCTACAGTTTTGGTCTGATTTCAGTATAACTTGGCACACAAGTAGACTACACTAAGAACATAAAGAGACTTTATCAACGATCATTATTCTATTTAATGCTGTTTATAAAGTTTCAAATTGCTTAAGTACTTTCTCTTCCTTTGCTATAAGTTCAAACCAGTAGAGCTTCAGTCTCGACAGAGACTTCTGGTTATTTGGGACTTTGCTTCACTTAAGGACAACATTTGTTGAGGTGAGGTATGTAATCTCTGAATACCTTTGCATACATGTTAACTCCAACGATTTAGGCGGGAGTCTACCGCTTTTTTACTCCATCTCCAGTCTAGCGTTTTTATTTGTGAATCTACTGCTTTTCTACAAAATGTTTTTTTGGTTCGCTTGGGTATCCATTTTGAAGCCACTCATCATAAAATCTCATTAGATATCGTGTGATTTGACCCAGAAGCATAAAAACTCTTTTTAGTACCGATGTGTACATGGATTTCAAGCAAGTATTTGACAACGACAACAGCATAAGATTACCAGTGATTACATTTGTTACAAAAAATTTCGTCAACATTTCGGCCATGAAAAAGGATAAATAGCATTAATACAAATCTGCTGAAAACGTTTGACATCATCTATAAGCACAGGATCTCACAATTTTGTTAATAAAGTCAACAGAAATTTCTCAACATCGCATCTCTTCTTTTGTTTTCGACCTGACATCACGAGAAATCTGATTTATATAACGAAGATAGGGACAAGTTTTAAATCTAAATTAATCTTTGTCATCAAAAAAACATAAAATTGTTCTAGGCTATATCAGAAACTTCTCTAATTGGCGCAAAAAAAAAAGGTACACCAAAACACAAAATATTGCTTAATCGCAAAAAAAACCAAAACACATTTGCAAATGAAAGTGAAACTGAATGACTATTTTAGTAGTTCGCGCCAAATGCATTCGTAAACTGGTTAGGGTTTTTACAAAAATGTACCAACTTGAGTGCAGAGTATCTTGTCATGTATTTTCGACAAAAAACATCATTTTGGTTTCAAAAATAGATATTTCATTTAAACATTAGTAAGCTGCACCTAGAAACATACCCACGCTTCGGCATGTTCAGTCTCGCGCTGTATTGGTAAGCAAAGTTGTCCATGTGATCGAGGAAATTCGGGACTATGTGACTAGCGACTGTCACTCAGAAAGACAGATAACCGCAATATCAACACTCAAAAGATAGTAATAGCAAAGCTTATGTACTTTAATAAATAGCCTACATAGCCATGTTTGTTCTGTTTAACTGTCTATTCAAAACTAGAGTTAAATTGATGACAAAATACTGGAAAAGCAAACTTTGAGGATTTTTTTTAATGAATGTTGGTTTTCCAACTTTTCCCAAAATGACGATAATTTTCCCAATTTGAACGGCCCCGGCCCCAGTCCCAAAAAGTGGTGCGAGAGCACTGATCAGCAAAGATCACTCTTCAAAAGGCTAAAATAAGCAGCCAATCAAAGCAAAATGAGTGTAAAAAATATTTGAATTTGTACAATTTAAGTCAAACATAATTTAGGTTTTTCTGAAGTACGTGTCTTCTTCTAAGCAGTTGATATATTTAAGATTAATCAATTATTGTAGTTTTCATTTAAGGCCATACATGTATATTACATGAAATGTATCTTCAGAAATCGTAGCATAAAACAACGCACCTGCAATGCTACCGCTTTTGAGGTCTGAATCTCCCTATTTTTCATCACAATAGGTTAACATGTATGACCTTTGTATATATATAGTGATTACATATAATCGAGCAAAGTATGTTAATTTGCACCCTGTGGATCAACATTGATTTTATTTTAACAAAATTTTTAAGTAATGTCACATTCATATTTGTAAACAATTGTTTAAAAAAAAATTTGAAAATTATTAAAAGTTGTATACTGACACGCAAAAGAAACACAACAAGCAGTAATCTACAAATGTTTGATTTTTTTATCTTATGATTTTCAAAAGAGAATAAATTAAGGCTAAACTCACTTTTCAGAACATCAGAGATTTGAAAAAAATGTTAAATGTTAATCTGTTTACTTTATTAAGTAAAAATATAACTGTTAAAACACCCCCCTCCCAGCCTTTCAAGTAAAACGTGCAAGACTGCCCTAAACAACAATTGCAGCTTAATTTCTACGATACAATAGGTTCATCAATATCGAAATCTGAGCGAAGGAATAATTCTTTGGCATTTTTAAATGCCCGTTTTTCAGATCATTAGGTCGAATTTTCTCTAACTTATAGCAGTGTAGCCACCCTGGGACTTCCGGTACAAGGACTGTCCTTAATGCATATGATACGTAAGACTCTGTTTAGGCGTAATGTAGTGAAATTTTGCATCAGCAACTCTCCATCACCTTTACATTGAAATTATCCAGCTAGAGCAATGGAAATGCGTACATAAGCCCCTTTCAAGCAGCCTTAGCATTGTTACGGGAAACGAAAGGAGAGTTTATTTTCTGAAATATTGCTGCATTGCGTATGATGAACAGTAAAAACCCTTTAAACTCCATGAAATTTCCAAATGTTTTGTTAAACATGCAATTTTCGATTTCTGTTAAGCAGACTCAAACTTGACTTCCGGTTATGGAACTGAAATCGTTCAACCGTTAAATTACCGATTTTTACCAAATTGAAGATATTCATAATTTTAAGATACAAAATTCTTTACTTTACATAATTATTTCCCCCTAAAGTAGGGTGTTGCGTTTCTTTTGCGTGTCAGTATATATTTCAAATATAATTAATTTATCAATTTTTATTGTATGCAAAGCAAAGATATTTAAAAAGGAAGAAAAAAAAAAACAATGACACAAGTTTGTATGTAGGTTTTCTGTTGAGAGTATTAGTGTTTTATCACAGAATCTAGTATTTTAAGTCTTAAAGAGGTTGGGAAATAAATGGAATAAATAAATTACTACTGGCTCTTCGGTTAGCTGTTGCACAGGTTGGAAAGAAGGAAGCTGCATAATTTGTTTGGCTACAGACAATGAAGGATAGAAACCAAACTCCAGTTATAATCCAGGGTGTAGGACTCATACTGCGATCTGTTAAAAAAAATCAGCACAATAATCAAGGGGAAACAGCACAATAATCAAGGGGAAAACAGCACAATAATCAAGGGGGAAATAGCACTATAATCAAGGAAAAACAGCACAATTATCAAAGGGAAACAACACTATATTCAAGGAGGAAACAGCACAATAATAAATAGGGAATAATCAAGGGGAACATAACACAATTATAGATAGGGAAAGCACAATAATCAGAAGGACACAGCACAGTAATCATGGAAGGAGGAAACAGCACAATAGTCAAGGAGGATAACACATATTAATTATAGGAAAACAGCACAATAATCAAGGGGGAAACAGCACAATAATCAAAGGGGAAACAGCACACTAAGCAAGGGGGAAACAGCACATTGTAAATCAGGAAGGGAGAAAGAGCACAATATTCAATGGATACATAGCATAATTATAAATAGGAAAAGCACAATAATCAGTAAGGGCACAGCACAGTAATGGAGTATGGGAGAAATAGCAGAATAATTAATAGGGAAACAGCAGAATAATCAAGGAAAGACAGCACAATAATCCATGGGGAAAGCACAGTTCTCAAAGTGGAAATAGCACAATCATCAAAGAGGAGAGAACACATTGTTCATTTTGTTTCATTGAGATTTTTTTAGGTGAAGTAAAAAGTAAATCCCTTTCCTACCTGTTAGATGACTGTGTATTTTCTGTATGATATTGGTTCTTAATTAATTAGGGATTATATAACACCCAGAAGGTAAATTCCTCCAGCCTGTTTTATCTTGAATGACTAATTGTCAACTCTTTTTACATTGGTTTATATACCCATGTTGTTTTCATTTACCTGTAGTGAGCATACCTTTACTACAGATAGAAATGTTTTTTTTTCTGTATGATATATCCATCTATTATTCATTTATTTATATTTAATCATTGAAAAATTGATGAATTTAAATGTATAGCAGCTGATTATATGAAAAAGAAACAGTGGCACATTTACCTTATATTTACCTAAGCTAATCTATTAAATCAGCAAGAAGAGCATCTTTCCAGGTTTCATAGAACCGGTTCATGGTCAAAACACCTGTCGAAGGATCAGAGCACCTGGATGTAAATCGGTCTTGGCACCTCTTCATTTATATTTTCCTCTCTTGTTATTAAGGCTTAGTTTTGCTCTATGGGCAAACCAACTTCACAAACAAGTCTGACTATTACAAGATAGTCAGACTTGTAATTTTTCATCCAACTCATGTTTTTGAAACTCCTCACCAGGGCTTAGGAAGAGAGGACACAAATGATTGGATGAAAACATCCAACACAAACCATTGGAGATGTGCATGTATCTTAACCTGTTAACCTTGCATTATACCGCAGCCTGAAGGAGTGGGGTTATACTGCTTTACCTTTGTGTGTCTGTCTCTCTTTCCATAACAAATCTTTGTCAGTTTCTCAGCAACTACTCGTCGCATATGCTTGAAATTTAAGCATGTCATATGGTGGTTTTCATTTTTGTACATATTCAATGTCAACTTCTTTTTATCTCTGTCTGTACCAAATCTCTATCGCAGTTTTCTCACTAGCTTCTTGTTTGTCTTGTTGATGATTTATGAATGCTAACATATTTTCTCCTTTTTAGCTCTACTGGTCAGAGACCAGAAGAGCTTATGCGATAGTAATGCGTCCGGCGTCCGTCCGTCTGTCCGTCTGTCTGTCTGTCTGTCCGTCTGTCCGTCTGTCTGTAAACAATTTTTCAAAATGCTACTCCTCCTACAGTTTTGGTCTAATTTCAATATAACTTGGCACACAAGTAGACTACACTAAGATACATAATTCTGTGTATCGGTTTTTGATTTCGATGAACGGTGTTGCCGTGGTTACTAAAAATAGAAATTTCTGTGAAATTTTTTCAAAACGCTACTCCTCCTACAGTTTTGGTCTGATTTCAGTATAACTTGGCACATAAGTAGAATACACTAAGATACATAATTCTGTATATCGGTTTTTGATTTTGATGAACGGTGTTGCCGTGGTTACTAAAAATAGAAATTTCTGTGAAATTCTTTCAAAATGCTACTCCTCCTACAATTTTGGTTTGATTTCATTATAACTTGGCACACAAGTAGACTACACTAAGATACATAATTCTGTGTATGGGTTTTTGATTTCGATGAACGGTGTTGCCGTGGTTACTAAAAATAGAATTTTCTGTGAAATTCTTTCAAATTGCTACTCCTCGTACAGTTTTGGTCTGATTTCAGTATTACTTGGCAAACAAGTAGAATACACTAAGATACATAATTCTCTTTATCGGTTTTTGATTTCGATGAACGGTGTTGCCGTGGTTACTAAAAATAGAAATATCTGTAAAATTGTTTGAAAATGCTACTCCTCCTACAGTTTTGGTCTGATTTCAATATAACTTGGCACATAAGTAGAATACACTAAGATACATAATTCTGTCTATCGAATTTTAATTTTGATGAACGGTGTTGCCGTGGTTACTAAAACTAGAAATGTCTGTAAAATTGTTTCAAAATGCTACTCCTCCTACAGTTTTGGTCTGATTTCAGTATAACTTGGCACACAAGTAGACTACACTAAGAACATAAAGAGACTTTATCAACAATCATTATTCTATTTAGTTTCAAATCCCAGCTGCTTAAGTACTTTTCTCTTCCTTTGCTATAAGTTCAAACCAGTAGAGCTTCAGTCTCGACAGAGACTTCTGGTTTTGTCTAGCTTTGAAACCAGGCTTAATAGATTATCTGGAGAAGAAGAGAGAGGAAGAAATGGCAGAAAGAAAAGAGAAATCACAGAAGCAATCCGAGGATGTGGAAACGAACAAAGAGAAGACAAGCAACACCTCTATAGAATGGGAGTCTCCCCAGAACATGGAGGTAATCATTGTTGCCTGGAAGGTTGAAAATATGTTATTTTGGAAATGGTCAAGCAGTAAATCGATTTAATGACCTGTTGTTTTGTGAATGTAGGTCACGCAAACACCAGCGACATCGAGTACATCTGTGGTGTCAACAGCCATGACTACGGTTACCATGACGACTCCCTCTGATTCTACAGTTACCAGCACTGCAGGCAGGCAGATCAGTAAGTATGGCCTCCCCCCCAAAAGTCAAGGTCACAGGAAGTGACTTGATTTTGGCTGCAAATAGGAAGACAGTTATTTTTAAGAGCAAGACAGCTGACAAGAGTAGGAAGTTTGATTGTACTTTAGAATGATTATATAATTGAGATATTTGTGTTTCATCATGCTGTATTTGAAAATAAAAAGAGTGCTGCTCAGAAGATGTGCAATCATACGAAAAAAAGTTATACAAGTGATGCTTACAATTCCTGCTGAGATGTTCATCAAATTAACAGTTGTAAAGCTTTATTTGTGTTAGACCTTGTGTATAATTTTTGATTTGTGGTGAGCTCTATTCCTGTCTGTTTACCAGGTGCTTCTGAAGCAGCAGCGGCAGCTGAACTGATTGCCACGGCTGTAGTGGAGGACATCTTATCTAACCCCGCGGGACAGTCAGTCCCCCCACCTCCCAGTGCCCCCCGGACAGACAGCCTCCCGCTAGTCAGACCCCCAGCAGACACCTTCACCACTCCCGCCATCACCTTGCCATCAGTAGTTCCCAATGCTCCAGTGGTGGATCCAAGATCTATGACTTCATTTTCAGGGGGGTAAGTTATAACTGACTAGGTGGCAAGCACAGCACTTTAATGTTAATTTGTACTTTAGTAGGGGGAACTTCTTGCATAATGCGTAATTAAGTTATCAAACAGTTATTTACAGTTATCAAACAGTGTAATTATTTGAATTCCTATTTTGATGATGTTGAATAAGTGCAATGCAGAAAGTATTAGTATGTTAAATTGTGTGACCATGGTGATGTTGACAAAATCCACAAAAAAATAGAATATTGGTTTTTCCTTGAAAAAAAAATAATTTTTCATACCTGAGTATAAATCCAAAGTATTTAGATAAGAGGCTTGAATCAACATTTTAAGAATGACCTTGAACAGCTAATGAATACTTTATACTTGGAATGTCAATGCTTCTTTTCAGAACCAGCACGCCAAGTGGTCCGTGTAACTTAGCCTCCCTTCTCCTGACAGAAGACTCCAGTCCTGACTCTCCCCTCTCCAGCTCGTCTATAGATGCCCTACACCCGGGGATAGGACAGGGATCTGTGGCCCCTCCCCTACAGGACGGCAGTATCACCCCGGAGGAGGTGTCGGGCATTAGTAGTTCTGATGCAGTCACCGTGCAGTCTTCAGGTTTGTTGTTACTATTGATAAGTTTGGTATTTGTTTTCTTAGTAAAAGATCAAAATCCAAAACCAAAAATCTGAAGATATGAAAATGTAATGTAGGTACTTATTATGAATGTTATGTTTTTAAATGGTACAGAAAGTTCGGAGGAGTTGAATCCTGGAAATGTGGAAGCACCATCCACAAATTCCTCATCTGTAACACAGTCCTCGACAGTCCTTGATAACATTGCAAGGTAAGAGAACAATGTAGATGTTTTAGGACGTTTTACATTTTTATACGCCCATCTTAAGACGGGACGTATTATGTTATAGGCTTCGTGTCCGTCCGTCTGTCCGTCTGTTAGCTTTTTTGTTTCCGGCTCATAACTTTAATACTACTAGGTCTAGGATTATCAAACTTTGTCATCTGATGCATCTTGGGTAGAAGGTGTGTCGCGCACAAAAAGTAGGTCGCTCTGACCTTTAATTAAGAAGTTATAGCCAAATATGGAAAAATCCTTTCCGGCCCATAACTAGAAAACTATAAGACTTACAATCATCAAACTTGGCCAGTTTATGCATCTTAGGTAGAAGGTGTGTCGCGACCTATTTCAAGGTCACTGTGACCTTTAATTTAAGTGAAATTTAAAAGAAAGATGTGTTTTTTAACTATTCATTTACACATCCCAAATAATGTAAGAGTATTGCACTGTCCCTATTAAAGAAGTGTTAAATCAAGAAAATACTTATTTTTTTAAGCATATACTTGACAGCAATCTATAACAAATATAATGTATGTTAGAGAAATTCTACCTCTCCCATGAGAGTAATTATCAAGCACTGGTAAAGAAGAATTTTGATAACAGAAAATTGCATGTCAAATTAGAGAGAAATTAATGGGTTTTGAGTGTGAGGAGCTAACTGACAGGGCATTGATGTTATCTGTATCCCTTGAGTATTGGGCAAATGGGTAAGCCTGTTTGATTAAAAATAGCTCTTGTTGGCTAGCTTAAGTTTTAAAATGAATTTGATGAAAAGTAATTAAAACTAATTTGATTTTGCATAAGGCCATATAAAATTGAAATCTTGGTTCTCAGGCCCGCGCGCATCAGTTTTGAGGTAGCCGCATTGCCGATTTTATTGTATTTTTGATAAAATAAAAAGTTGGTATTGCGGAGACCAATCCGGGAAAAACATTTCCGACCTCAATTGTTTCGTAGTTTATTATTCAAATATCACTTCCGGTAGCCATTTACAATGAGATTTTGGCTACTTCGTTTGAAAATACATTCTAGGACATTACCTACGATGTTTACACGCTGTTAAGTAATGGATAAAGCAGAAATTTTGACAGGAAATGGAAAGTATATCGGTGATTAAAAAAATTATCTTTATATCAAAGAAAATTCGGAATTTAAAATTAAAAAAAATACCTCCCTCATCTACTTTATTGCCAATAAAATGAAAAATAAAATGCCGTCCTCCCGCATCTGTTTTGGAGAAAATTGGCCTGAGAACCAGTGAATTAAATTTAGATAGCCTAATAGACTAATCTGATATTATGTAATATTATTAATTTAAAAACTAATTTTATGGGGTGGGGTGGAATCAGCATGTCCATATAAATTATATTAAAACCTGTTGGACATTAAATCTCAACCAAAAAAAAAATATTTGAGTATTTTATGTTTTCAAAAAAAATTATGGTAGATAGTGCAGACCCATTCATCTCTTGGTAGTAATGAGTAGACAAGCATCCAGTTAAGATTAATTAATGAGTTCAATGTAGGAAGGCTACCTGATAAAGCAGTCTTATCTGTACCCTTAGGGGATTAGACAGAAGAACTGCTGGTCAGTTTATAACATGTCATTTGATGGCCAGCCTTTTCTTTTCAAAATTAATTTGGTATAGATTAAGTTGTTAAGGATATACGATCCTCAGCCAGGAAGGATAACTCTTTAATTTATAATTAAATCAAAAAAAGTCTTAAAATAAAGCTTGAAATTGAAATTTTTTCATGCAACAATTTTCATTTTATGCCTCTATGTATGATTCAATGTTCTTTAACGTTTTAACAAACGGTATTAAAAAAGTTGACATTTGTACCTCATAAAATCAAGTAAAACTTGCATATTTAAAAAAAAAAATCAAAATTCTTTAAATCTAGCCTTAGTTACCAATGTTTATCAGCATGATTTGAAATTGGAAGTGATTTAAGGTGTTTTATTTGAAAGGAAACACTTCATACACTATGCATTATGAAACGGTGGAAGTAAGTAGGAGAAAGTAAAGTACCAAATAAGTGTAAAACTCATGCAACTTTCTTTAAAAGCCTGGATACCTATGATTTTTATTCCTAAAATGTATTTCTTGATCAATTATCAATTAAAAAATATGCAGTAGGTAGTTCAAATCGCATTTCCTGAAAAATTATTTGAGATTTACTTATTTTCCCTATATAATATGATTAAATTTAAAGATTAAGTTTAAAGAAACACCGTGGGTAAATACATTTTAATTTGAGAATTTAGAGACATCTTTGTGAGCATTTTCAATTACTTAATACCTGATTTCAGTCTTCACGAAAACTCACTGGTCCGAAGACCGAGGCCAGTGAATTTTGATGTCGGGTCAGTGAAAATCAAAATTCAAGAAGTCCGATGGGCTTGTTGATTATAAAAATCATATACAGTCAAAATTTATTTCAACTGACTTACTTGCGTAATTTCATTGATATGCAAAATAAAAAGAACAAACGTGTTGTTGAATCGTATAACCCTATTATGACATGGATGTATTACCTAACAACCGGAACTAGCTAGTAATTATTAACTAGTACGTAAAATTTGCAAAGTTCCAATGAACAACTTACCGAAACGCGTCAAAGGGTGAAAAATGGCGGCATTACAAAAGTTGAAGTACGTAAACATGTATTAATTTACAGTTATGAAAATTTATTTATTTTATTTTTTAAGTAAGGGGCCAGTAAAAATTTTGGTGGGCTAGTAAATTTTGAAAGTTCACTGGTCCGACTGGCCAGTTAGCTTGAAAAGTTTTCGTGAAGACTGTGATTTTCAGAACCTGAGGATCGGATAACCTTAAGACTAATTTGATATTGTTTAATATGATGGGCATTTGACAAGGTCTAACACAACCAGCACAGAAATCTATCAGTGATGTAATATTTATTATAATTTATGCCTACATCACAGGGGATGCATAAATATTTTAAGGAATGGAAAAATCATCGAAATATTAGAACCAAGGTTGATGTGATTTTCTTGCACCTAAACTGTTCAAGAAAATTTTAAGTTTTTGACGGGCGTATCATGCTGTGGCGCGGCACTTTATTACATCTTAGCAATTGAGCCATTTATTCCCTATGTCAGCTTTTATTTGTACAGTTGTGTCCAAGCCATTGTGTATTATTATAGTAAGATGAATAATGTGTGCATACCATACTGACACTCAATTTGTCCTTTGACCTTTATTGATTTTTAGCAAGCAGGTCTTCCCAAGAAGAGAACCAATCTCTTAGCATAGGTTTATAATATTTTGCATAAAGAAAATCTAATGCATGATCACCGTATAAGAATGGGATTCAAGCCACTTTGATCTTTATATGACTTTGATATTTGACTCACTCAGGATGGAAGACATACAATTTAAGTGTGGGGAGATATATGTTGTCCTGTATTTATTTCTACAGTGCCCTGACGATTGACACAGCAGGAATCGCTACCCCTCCTGCCTACCATGGGTTCTCATCCAGTCTCTTCCCAGACAACCCCCAGAGTAATGACCCGCCTGTAAATTTGTCGGCCCTCACCAGTAGCATGATGGGAGCTCTCACGGCCTCCATCAATGTCCCCTCCAGTATCTTGTCTACTGGGGGTGAGGCGGGAGGATCCACCACTGCTAATGAAGAGGATACCACAGCTACAGCAGGTGCCCCCTCAACACAGTCAGGGTCAGCTCCAGATGTAGGATTTGGAGGTAAACAGAAATATAACTCTTAAACCAATACTATTGGCAAATACTGATTTTAGTCAGTTCAAGACATTGTAGCACATAGGTGAATGTCAAAAGTTTGTAAACATGTTTTTTTTTATCATTTTGCAATAAAGTAAGAAAAGATATAGTAATGCACTTGTGAGTCGATCATTTAAAAAGTAATTACATAGAAAGTGAATATACTAATTACTGTCTGTTCTCCTTCATTGTCATCCTGGTGATTTTCTTAGCATTGAATACATACTGTTATAGCTTTATGTCATTTTTTTGCATGCAGTTTTAAAATATTTATGTATATAATTTTATATGTTATATGAACCTTCCCTACCATTCCACACATGAGTAAAAACATGAAGAATATTCCTACATGTTTATGCTCCATGAGTGATTATGCACAGATTTTCCAGATGGTGTGGATCCATCATTTTTGGAGGCCTTGCCTGAGAACATTCGTCAGGAAGTGATAGCGGAGCAGATGAGGCTACAGAGGATAAGACAGAGTGCCCGGGAGCAGGCCCAGACAGCCCAGTCCACCGGGTCACTGCAGGTCAACCCAGACTTCCTAGCCGCCCTACCACCCAATATCCAGGAAGAGGTAACACAGCCTGGTCTCAGTGTCAAAAAGTCAGGGAAAAAGAAGGGGTGGGGGATTACATTGTAATTGATAAAAGATAGGCAAACAGAGTTTGAGAGTTCTCTTGTCAGTTATGATGATATTTGTTTGCATGATTCCTGAGTTGCAACATCCTCTAAGAAGTACTGAACTGACATATATCTAAAAGAAACAGAAAATAGATGTTTATACATCTATCATTATACCCCCGCAAACTAAGTTTAGGGGGGTATATTGGAATCACCATGTCCGTCTGTCTGTCCAGCTGTCCGTCCGTCTGTAGACAAGATTTTGTCCGGACCGTTTCTCAGAAACTGTTGGATGGATTTGTCTGAAAATTTATACACTTATTATTCACCATATGAAGGTGTGCACCTGGTATTTTCATTATGATTGGATGATTTTTATGCATTTTACAGGCGTTTTTTCTTTTTTATTTTGTGATTTTGTTTGGCCCATAACTAGAAAACTATTAGACTTACAATCATCAAACTTGGACAATTTATGCATCTTGGGTAGAAGGTGTGTCACGACCTATTTCAAGGTCACTGTGACCTTTTATTTAAGTGATTTAAAAAAAAAAAAAAAAAGGTCTTTAAAATTTTAAATTTCATAATCCTAAAAAATGTAAAAATATAGTTGTATCCTTATTAAATAATGCTAAATTAAGTAAAAACTTATTTTTTCATCATATACTTTACAGCAAATTCTGTAACAAATGTTAATGTTTTGAGAGGAATTCAGTTTGTCCCATGGGCATAATTATCAAGCACTGGTCAAGGAGAATTTTGATAGCAGAAATGTGCATGTCAAATTAGAGAGAAATTAATGAGTTTATTGTCAGGAGCTAAAAGCATCTCTAGATCTGATGCAGCTGTTATCTTAATTTATCTCTTGGGAGTTGGGCAAAAAGAAATGACCTTATAGTTGCTTGTGTTAATTAAGAGTTCTTGATGGTATAGTCCAGATAAAGATCTTTCAATTGGTGTAATGTAATTAAAACAAATTGATGTTTTAGTGTATGATTACAGTGGACCCTCAGATATCCGGACGCCAGATATCCGGATGCTTCAATATCTGGACGACTTTCCTTCGGAACAAAATTTTTTATTCTTATTTGTTCTTGTTGAACTGGTAATTCAGATATCCGGACGCTTCACATATCCGGACAAATTGATTGGGAACCAAAGCGTCCGGATAATTGAGGCTCCACTGTAAAACTAATTAGTATTGTATAATATAATTAAAATTAATTATACATGTGTTCATTGAAAAAAAAATTACATTTCAATTTTTATATATTAATTTGCAACAAATTGCAGTCATGTCTCACTTAGAATTTTATAGTCTAAAGAATAATTAGGGCCCTGCAAGGATTTGCGGGTGCCCTATAGTAATCACTCTGTCTGTCCGTCCGTCCGTCCGTCTGTCTGTCTGTCTGTCTGTCCGTCTGTCACTCTTCCGTCCACAAATTTTCTGTTTTTTTCTAATAACTTTTTTTATGGTTGCCCAATCAAGTTTAAATTTGGTATGGTAGTTTAATAGGCAGAAAGACATATTTTGATGCTAAGTTTGATTCTGTATGTCTTCTAGTTTGGAGCTGGGGTGGTGGGGTAGATTCTTAAACTATGCATAAGAATGAACGGGCAACTTTTTTTATGGTTGCCCAATTAAGATCAAATTTGGTACGGTAGTTCAGTAGGCAAAAATACATATTTTGATGCTAAGTTTGGTTCTCTATGTCCCTTGGTTTGGAGCTGGGGTGGTGGGGTAGATTCCTTAACTTTATATAAGAATGCATTGGCAAAGAGAGATAACTGCTGAAGATGTTCCCATTCAGTAAACTGAATGCTACTAGGAGTCCCATGAGATTAATTAGCTTTCCTCCTGAAGAAATTCCAGAGCATTATCTTTATCTGTCACTTTGAGATTAATTACCACCTCTGTCTGCAAATGAAGTTTGTTTTGAAGTTAAATCAATTTGGAATTCTATGAAATACTCTGATATGTGGATTTAAATATAAATTTTTATTATTTATTTTTGTTTGATAGTTATGATTTCATTGAATCCTAAAAAAAGAAATAGATTAAAGAAGATTTTTTGATTTACCAGGGTACTTTTTTTTTCACTTTTTTCCTTTTTTTTAAATATATTAATTCAAGAATGTTTTTCATTTTTAATGTAGTTGTATAAAAACTCCGTTCTATCATTAATACTGAAAAAAGTCCTTATTGTAACTTTAGAAGAAAATGATGAGAGAGGTACAATTAATCCCTTGGGATTAATTATCTAGCCTGCTGCAGAAAATTTAGTAGGCTTCTCTTTATCTGTCACTTTAAGATTAATGAAAACCTTTGTCTGCAACAGCTGTTTGTTTGAAGTTAAGGTCAAGCCTTCATGATATTTGCATTCATTGAAGGCTGGCATTTTATATAACACAAGATTCATAATTGTTTAAATATAAATTCAATGTTAAGTTGTTCTTTACTGCCTAATGTAAATACAAGAATATTATTTTCAGGTTTTTGAATATTCAGGAATTATGTTGAAATTTTAAGAATACAGTTGCTGTTGCTTTTTCTTTGTACATTTATTAATCATTCTGTAAGCTGCACCCTTTTAATTCTACCCCATGGCGGGGCCCTTGCTGACTGGTCAGTTTTCTAGTTAGTTTTTTTATTAGATTTTTATACGCCCGTCTTAAGACGGGACGTATTATGTTATAGGCTTCATGTCCGTCCGTCCGTCTGTCCGTCTGTCCATTCCTGTCCGGCTCGTAACTTGAATACTATTAGGCCTAGGATTATCAAACTTTGTCAACTCATACTTCTTGGGTAGACGGTGTGTCGCGCACAAAAAGTAGGTCGCTCTGACCTTTAATAAAGATGCTATAGCCAAATATGGAAAAATCCTGTCCGGCTCATAACTAGAAAACTATTAGACCTAGAGCTTTCAAACTTGGCAAAAGTATACATCTAAAGTAGAAGGTGTGTCGCGGCCTATTTCAAGGTCACTGTGACCTTTAATTATAGTGAATTTTTTAAAAAAAGTAAGTCTTTTAAATTCTAAATTTCATAATCCTAAAAAATGCAAAAATATAGTTGTATGCTTTTTAAAAAATGTAAAATTAAGTAAAAACTTGTTTTTTCATTATACACTTTACAGCAATCTGTAACAATTTTTAATGTTTATGCTTTGAGAGGAATCCAGTTTGTCCCATGGGCTTAATTATCAAGCACTGGTCAAGAAGAATTTTGATAGCAGAAATTTGCATGTCAAATTAGAGAGAAATTAATGAGTTTATTGTCAGGAGCTAAGAGCACTCTAGATCTGTTGCAGATGTTATCTTAATTTATCCCTTGAGAGTTGGGCAAAAAGAAATGGCCTCATAGTTGCTTGTGCTAATTAACTCTTTCAACACTGAGTAACTTAAGATCTCCAGAGCCTGGTACACTGAGTAACTTTGCTCATCAGTAGCCAAAATGGGTACCGTTAGAAAAATCATCATAAAATCTTTATTTCTTCATCAAATTTATTAAGTTATACATCATTGAAAAGGCAATTAAATTCTCTATGAAGATATGTAAATTTCATGAACATTTATGCACAAATAAAATTAAAAAAATAATGTGATTATAAAAAAAATCATTTGAAAATTTAAATTTTCATAAATTTTGATTAATTTGCTGCTATGAAGTTTTTAAAATATACAAATTCTTACCATCAATTGAAAGACAAATATTTCCTGAATAAAATGATATAAAACATGATATAGTTTGACCAACACAAGTCAAAAAAAAAATTCAAATGAAAAATGTCAACGTTTCAATAAAAATCAGAGATTTTCATCACTATTCACAAGTCCAAGAAATGTGCACACAGCTTTACTTTCCTCAAGTTTTTACTTCACTAGTCTACTGCCAATAATACACTTTGGTGTGATAGTCTTTGAAGCAAGTGCTTCTTGCATTGCAACACAGCGGAACATCGCACTTTTCACACTTCATAGTTGTTTTTGTTCGCTTCATCGGATTTTCGGCTACGGAACATCCAGGATGGCTGTTTTTGTACAACTGATGTTTTTTGTTGCACAAAACACAGACTGTATTGCCACTTCCAGTCCCTGCAGGCCAGTGGGATTTTTCGTCCAGGCGAATCTCTGGTTGAGCATCAAGGGAACGTGGGCGCTTGAATCCTCGGCGTTCCTGGCGGTAGTCTCCTATGAGTTGATGGGCCACATCAAGTCTGTAGCTAAGCATGTCACGCTTCCTTTTATTTCTTGGATTATGGTCCAGAACTGTACCCTCCAAGATGTACGAATTATACAAAGCAATTTCCCGCAGACGAATTTCAATTTTGCGGTACCAGCGTAGGGATTTCTTTGACTTATTCATCTTGGACATCTGGTCAAGCCTGTCAACACCACCCATGTATGCCGCATAACCCTTCACTGTTGGTGTGACAGGAAGCTCCACTTCAGTGCCGTCTTTGTTTCTTCTTGTTGTGACGAGATCATCTTCCTCTGGTCTGTGGTAGGACGACAGATAGTAAACAAGACGATTGTCCTTCCAGTACGAGGCCAATAACGGTCCACACATCAGCCAGTCTGACGTTCCTCGTGGCATTCTCCTGACATCTCGGGCCGTTGGAATCATGGCTTTTGGGTAGCCTTTTCTGTTGGGCCTAACTGTGCCACATAGATATGTTTTGCGTGTATACAAATAATCGGCCAAAGTTGGGCTCGTGTAAAAATTGTCGGTGTAAATGACGTAGCCTTTATTTTCGAGTGGCTTTGTCATTCCAATGACAACTCGTGAGGAAAGTCCTAGATTCTTGTTGATTATGACATCATTATTCTTCCCGACATAGATTTCAAAATTATGACAGTAGGCTGTTACTGCATCTGCTGCCACCCACATTTTGATTCCAAACTTTATCGGCTTGTCTTTCATGTACTGCTTCATGCCAAGTCGTCCTTTGAATGGAATCATAGCCTCATCTACGGATACATGTTGATGTGGGATGTATTCCTGCTGGAATGATGATCTTAGGGTGTCTAAAATCATTCGTACTTTGTGTAGTTTGTCATCATTGTTGTTCCTGTCATCACTAAAGTGAAGGTAACGTTTGATTTGAATGTAGCGGTCTCTGGTCATAATTTCTCCAATTTTGGACCCTATCACCCAGTATTTCTCATTGTTGTACCAATAAAGTTCATCTCTCTCAAATGTCATAACCTCCATCAGTAGTAGAATTCCATAATATGCCTTCATCTCTTCCACGGTTACATCAGTCCAAGACCCCTTGTGATTTTCTGGGTCAGCGGCCCGTTTTGTAGCTGCGCTTAGGTTCGTATATTCTACTATTTTTTCAAATAATTCATGAGTATAAAACATTTGAAAAAAGTCTACAGCCTTACACGAAGCATCCAAAACACGGACGGGGCCTACACGCTCACGAAATGGGTGAATATCCCTTCTGTTTTCTGTCTTCTCCCAGTCAGCAAACTCGGGGGTCCTGTATACGTCCTCGGGTTCAAACCCTTCAAAGTCCGAGTCCTCGTCGCTTTCGCCTACAATATTTCGGAACTGTCTTTCAAGTTCATTTTGTTGACGTCTCGGAAGGTTAACTAAGTCAAAATTCCCCACATCATCAAAGTTTTCGTCGCCAGAAAGGTCTGATTCTTCGCTGTCGCTCGCCATTTTGCTTTCTTCTTTTCTTTCTTCGAGATTCGTCTCATATTTCTCATTTTATCAGCGATTCTCACCATGTGGTCCGCCATATTTGGAAACGGATATTACATATATCTACCCAGAATGCATTGCGAAAGATTTTGCGCAGAGAACACTTCCTATTTCTAAGAATAACTTGTTTACTTTCACCATGTGCCTGAGACCGAAATTTCGGTCTACCGTGTTCAACGACGTTTTTTTTTGACCGAAATTTCGGTCTACCGTGTTGAAAGGGTTAAGAGTTCTTGAAGTCTAGTCCAGATAAAGATCTTTAAATAGTTGTAATGAAATTAAAAACAAATTGATGTTTTAGTGTATGATTAAAACTAAATTAGTATTGTATAATATGATTAAAGCTAATTATATATGTGTTCATTTAAAAAAAAAAAATTATATTTCAATTTTTATATATTTGCAACAAAGATGCTATAGCAAAATATGGAAAAATCCTGTCCGGCTCATAACTAGAAAACTATTAGACCTAGAGCTTTCAAACTTAGCAAAAGTATACATCTAAAGTAGAAAGTGTGTTGCGGCCTATTTCAAGGTCACTGTGACCTTTAATCAAAATGAATTTTTTAAAAAACTATGTCTTTTAAATTCTAAATTTCATAATCCCTAAAAAATGTAAAAATATAGTTGTATCCTTATTAAAAAAACATTAAATTAAGTTAAACCTTATTTTTTCATTATATGTATACTTTACAGCAATCTGTAACAATTGTTTATGCTTTGAGAGGAATCCAGTTTGTCCCATGGGCTTAATTATCAAGCACTGGTCAAGAAGAATTTTGATAGCAGAAATTTGCATGTCAAATTAGAGAGAAATTAATGAGTTTATTGTCAGGAGCTAAGAGCACCTCTAGATCTGGTGCAGCAGTTATCTTAATTTATCTCTTGAGAGTTGGGCAAAAAGAAATGGCCTCATAGTTGTTGTGTTAATTAAGAGTTCTTGATGTCTAGTCCAGATAAAGATCTTTCAATTGGTGTAATTAATTAAAACAAATTGATGTTTTAGTGTATGATTAAAACTAAATTAGCATTTACCAATATGCTTAAAGCTAATTATACATGTGTTAATTGAAAAAAAACCATTACATTTCAATTTTTATATATTTGCTACAAATTGCAGTCATGTCTCACTAGTATTATTTATTATAATCAATCCCTACACTGTAAGTCTCTTAGAGATGTATAATAAGAAATGGAAAATATATACTTGAAATCTGTGTCAATCTGTTAATAAAGGCTACCTGATTTTCTTGCATCCTAACCAATTCATGATTATTGAACAATTTTTGACGGGCGTATCATGCTGTGGCGGGGCACTTTATTATATATTAGACTGTAGCATTTCCATTATTTCATAAAATATGCAATAAACAATTTAAAACTGCAGATGGATATTTGTTAAGGTTTCGTCAAACGTCAACATGTCTAAAAGATTATTTTTACAATAGCTCCAAAACTATGTGTGGTAAACGGTCAAAAAACGTTTACAGTTCATAAATATGTCATTGATTAATAGATAGAAATTATCACTTGATAACAAATATTTTAAAAAAAGATTTTTTTTTGAAAAAAATTGTATCAGAAAATGTGCATATTTTAAAAAAATGCACCTGTTTAATTCTGTCCTTTTTGTGAAAACCATCATTGCAGAAATAATATATGTTTATCATTGAAGGGCAAGTTGAATGTGAATGGTCTTTGAAAGGCTGTTATTGAAAGCATGACATGTATAAAGACAAGACCCCTATAGAATCCGCCATTTGCAATGTACTTTCACTTTCAAGTCTTAACATTTGGACAAAATAAACAGGGAAAACAACTTTCCATAGGCAATTCAAGTCCAACTTGCCCTTCATTGATAAACATATTTTGTTTCTGCAATGATGGTTTTTACGAAGAGCACATAATTAATTAGGTGTATTTTTTGAAAATATATGCATTTTTAAAAAGAATTGTTCTCAATTAATATTTTTTCCAAGTATTTTTTTTATCAAATGATACTTTCTATCTGTTAAGCAATGAAAAATTTATAAACTGTAAAAGTTTTAACTTTATACCTCACGTAGTTTTGGGGCTATTGTAAAAATATTTTTTTGAACATGTTGACCTTTGACGAAACCTTAAGCTCTTACACAGCCAGTTTAGAATTATATGATGTATTATTTTTTATAATTAATCCCTACACTGTAAGTCTCTTAGAGATGTATGTACAATAAACATGATAAGAAATGGAAATTAGATCATTGAAATCTGTGTCAATCTGTTAATCAAGGTTACTTGATTTTCTTGCACCCTAACCAATTTATGATTATTGAACAATATTTGACGGGCGTATCATGCTGTGGCGGGGCACTTTATTTGACAATAGTGAACATCTCTTAGTAGAAATATTTCAGAAATGGCACCTACTCTGAAAAACCCAGCGGGGGTATTTGTCCCTATTGGACAGTTCTAGTTTACTTTATTGTTATCAACATATAAATAGGTCTAATAGATAAATATGTCTGAAACTTTGGTGATGTATTTATATGCTGTATTGTGAACCTTCAAATTTTCCTTCTGTTTTTAACAGTCCAACCACTTTCAAGATACAAGTTTGATAAGTTCCACTCATTTTATCAAGCAATATTTCTTGTTTCCAGGTTCTTGCACAACAGAGAACAGAACAAGCCCGACTGGCTGCGGTACAGCAACAGTCGACCACCTCAGAAACTCCTGTAGACCCAGTCAGCTTCCTGGCCTCCCTCCCCAGCTCCCTCAGACAGCAGGTCCTGGCGGACATGGACGACAGCACTGTGGCGGTCCTACCACCAGACCTCGCTGCTGAGGCCCAGACACTGCGGCGTGAGTTAGAGGAGAGACACCGCCGCCTGATGCAGGAGAGGTTGTTTGCCCAGGCTGCTGGAGCAGGTTCTCTGTCAGCTATCCTAAGACACTCAGGTGACCAACGTGTATTTTACTGCTTGTTACATCAAGTACTTGCTACATGAAAATTAAATGTCAGAAAGTGTTTCACATAAATGAGTGGTATCATTATTTATCATTTGTAGAGTACACCCCATGTATATCTTCTTAAAATTCCCTTTTGATTTCAATTGTTCCTGAAAGTTTTGATGACACTTAAGCCTTTAAACTTCTGAAGAATGACCGATAAAAATGGAATCTTTGTTTTCTAGGATTTGGAGGTCGTCTTGGTGGAAGTAGATTTTCTATCAGAGCTCTTCCCCGCAGCAGTTCAAATTGGACATGGGCATCCAATCGTCTAAATGGACCCAGCTCTAGCTCCAATCAAAATGCAGTTAAAGTACGGGGGCGGCATTTACTTGATCATGAGGCATTGACTTGTTTACTTGTGTTGTTGTTCGTAGATGAGCCCAAATTAAACACAACAAGACTTCATAGAGTGTTACGCAATCTGTGTTACCACAGTCCAACAAGGGTGTGGATAATAAGAGCGCTGTTATCAATTCTCCAAAAAACGGGTGAATGTCGTATCGAAGAAGAAAAATCAATACGTGAGAAAGGGAAGAGGAAACTGGCTGCAGATAGTGACATGACAGTGAAAAGTGACACTAAAAACCAGGGTTCTTGGCTGTCCATAAGTCTGGAGGCAGCTCTTGGTTGTCGAGCCAATGTCTTTCAAATTCATAAAACGGGCAAGAAACATTTATCTGGAAGCTGCCCAGGCACTGTAACGATCCATGATCAAGCTTCCCCAGTCGTGTGTAGGCATGTGTTAGATACTTTAATAGCTCTAGCTAAGATTTTCCCCAGTCAATTTCTTCCCTCCTCTAAAGTGAAAGAGGTGGAAAAATGCAGTGATCCTGGTGAAGAAAATAAGACAGAAAGTGAAAGTAAAACTAAAACCCCTTGTTCTAGTGCTAGTCCCAAAAGTGCCAAAGATTCACCCACGGAAACAGACTTCTGGGATCATTTGATCAAATTGGACAGTCTTAATGCCAACAAAAAAGGTAAAAGTGTTCAGAAAACAGCTAGCAATACAGATGGAGAGGCAAACTTCTTTAGCTATGACACAGCTCCTCTTGGACAACTTATGTTTATGCTTTCACATCCGGTGATAAAGCGCAGTCAGTTGTTGACGGACAGGTTATTAAGACTTCTAGGGCTTGTGTCTCTGGCTCTACCTGATGTAAAACTTAGCAGTTCTGTCAGTGGTGCCTCCACGACTGTCTCCAGTGCCCAGTCCGCTGGACTGGTAACAACTACCGCATCACCTGCCACAAGCACTACCACTAACACCACAACAGCAAGCACCACGCAGTCCACACCATCAGTGGTGTCCAGGGGTGTCAGTACTACTAGTATGCCAGCAGAAGAGCCCAAGGAACAAAACAAGGGTGAGTTGATGAAGTTTTACATACATTATTACATGTTTAATTTGAGTTTATGTATTGAGGAGGTACGTTGACAACACAAAATCTATGCTGGATGGAAAATATTTGATAAACAGAGCTTAAAAAGCAAAGAAACATGCCAAAATATGTATATATTAACAAATTTAAGATTACAAAGTAGATAAGCAATATCTAAAGGAAATTCATATTTGCTTTACTCTTTACATGTGCAGACCTGTATTTTGTAGTAAAAGAAAAACCAGAGGAGAAGGAGGAGGGTTCAGTCGTGTTAGAGGACAGACTTCAGTTAGCTGTACAGGTCAGTTGTACTCTAATATACATGTAACTCAACATGTAATGTTAATTAATACTTCTCATTAGATAGAGATATGATGAAAATTTCTCTGACAGCAAGCATAACTGTCTTTTTCTATAGTATCCTTCCAGTCAAGGATGGAACAAAAACAGTACTAAACATTCATCCTTCTGACAAAAGACCGCTATTGCTCTATAATTGTTTGATAATTTAATAAAAGTTATCTCTCTTTGTGTTCCAGGTATTGACCTCCAAATCCTGCTCAGAAGAGGGACTAGAGGATGCCACTAACTTGTTACTCCAGTTGTCTTATGCCAACAATGCCACCCGACAAGCTGTACTCAAGCTTCTGTTGGAGGGGGCCAGGGTCCTGGGCATGACAGTCTGTAGTCATATCAGGTTAGCTCAATTACTGAACTAGATCTTAGGCGTGACAGTCTGTAGTCATAGCTTAATTACTACATGACAGTCTGTAGTCATATCAGGTTAGCTAAATTGCTGAACTAGGTCCTAGGCATGACTGTGTGTAGTCAATCTGAAGTTTTTATCATGATATCTTGAGCTCTACTTGGCAGATTATTCCCTATCCTTTGAGAATTGTGAATGAAAAAAGGAAAAAGTAGCTAATAGTAATTGGTTTAATACTAAGTCATAAATATTTATACAGTATTACTATGATATTGAATCAAAATTTGGATAAGTTGAATTCCAGTTTAAAAGTATTCACAAATAATGCAAAACGTCAGTCCAACAAAATGAGCATTCTATGTACATGTACAGTATGTAAATTTATTTAAAAACAGATCTCTTTTGGATGAGTTACATGAATTTACAACCAAGAACAAAGACCCTGAAGAGGATCGAGATATGGAGATGACCCCGACTCAGTCTTCTAAAGGTCACATTCAAGACAGGTAAGTCTACATACATATATCACCTCAACTCAGTCCTCTAAAGGTCACATCCAGGACAGGTAGGTTTTGTCTGGACCTTGTTTGGGATCTTGCAAAGTATCCCACATTGCTGTCTCGCTTGATGGTAAAGTAACCATACTCTGTCATCTTGAATAGGCAGCAACATAAATTTCTTACTTCACACCAAATACTTAACTATTAAGGCATTTGGGTCGAGTAAAGAGTACATTTTTTGTCACCTGAGTATATGTCACTATATAAAATCTCATCTGTAAACTCGAATATTTTACTTTTCCAGTATAACGTGACGTCAAAGCCAAAGTAAGGCATTTATAAGTGTATTGAGATCTAAAAAAAAACAAAATTGACAACATTCAATCCTAGAAATCTGATAATAATAAAGGATAATTGAATATCTGAAAATCTCATAATAAATTTAATTCTTATTGAGAACAATGCGGCGCGTCGATTTACCCAAATGGACCCAAATGAAACCCAAATGGACCCAAATGGAACCCAAATGGACCCAAATGGAAACACAAATGGACCCAAATGGAAATCAAATGGAATACTGTAAATCTGGAAATTTTTACTGTAGATAAATTTTTAGCAAATTTGCGCGTGCATTGAATTCGCAAAAATATTTTTCTTAAAAATAAATCAACATGCGAAGAATTTTTTTCTGAGAACTCGTGTCTTTTTTTAACTCAGTGAATAGGTGTCGGTAAGCACTGGTCATTTTTAAAAGAAACCTGTTTACACTAGTCTACTATAACTACAAGTTAATTACCCGTGCGTAAATTGCCCTCATTATATGCAATATCGTCCGATGATTTGACAAGCGCTGAGGCGGTATGCCCCTTTTTAATTATTTTAATCAATTAATTTGCCAATAAAGAGAGAACTGGCATTTTATCTAACCGTGTATCAACACGGGCGATAACTCAAACTCAGTGCATACTAGAAAGTTCCAAATGTAAACGCGGCGTGTAAATTTTAGGTGAGAAAAACCAAACGTTGAGAAAATTAGTTATATTTTTTCTTCATTTGGATTATACTTTAGGTTAAAAGGCATACACAACCTCTAAAATGTTTGTTATAATTGACTTAGAAATTATTTTCAGTGCAAATCCTTTTGTATTTTTATCAAAATTGTTTCGGAGCGATTTTGCAATATCTTGCCACGTTGTGAGTATATTGGTGGTATTCTAACTGGGCATATTACTTGAAACATAACCTGATATGAAAATCTTCAGTGATTTTTATTTTTAGCACCAGTGACAATTCGCAAAAATTTGAAGCGTAAAAATTAATCAACAGCTTTTTGACCCAAATTCGCAAAAATAAATCGACGTAAAAATTTCCAGATTTACGGTATTAAATATGTATTATCGTATTTTAATACTTATTCAAAATGATGAAAATAAATGAACTTACAGTTACAAATGAATTTTTTTTATTATTAATCTCTGATATTGTATTTTGAAACATGAAGTTTTCATAGTATCCTATATACTGGCAAAATTATTTGGGGGGGGGAGGGGCATGACCTCCTCCTCCCCCCCCCCTCCTCCATCCGTTCCTACTGCCAAAGAAACTATCAAATACTTCATTTTTGTATTCAATTATGTTCAATAGTTATTACAAATAGAATTAAATCACATTTTTGAAAATTCAATTACCGTAATTTGGGGAATACAATACGCACTTTTTTCCTAAAATAAATTTCTGTGAGAAAGGGATGCGTATTTTACATCACAATGGGATTTTGACAAGTTTTTCTTTCAGGTGAAACACGGCTATCATACGTACATACCGTAGTATTACCTAGAGACATATGCAATTTCTTTTGTTAATTGCCATATTTTAAACTTCGGAAAGTTATTGTTGGAAGGTATGCTTCTTAAAAATGTCACTTTCATAATCTTTTTATGCCCAAATAACATGAAAAAGTAAGTTAAAAGTAATTTGAGCTGCATGTTGATTGTCTCCGAGGAGGCCGCCATTACCGATGTTATTTTTAGACGTTCACTCATAGCTATGTCACATGCTTCCAGAATGATAGTGCACATGCACCTTATCTGCCAGACAAAGTAATAAATCATTTTTTAATGAAATACGATAAAATAAATATTAATTTTAGGTTTAAAATAACTCAGTGATAATCTGCAACAATATTAACACCCCTCCATACGTCCCAATGAAAGGAAGCCAATGTTGTGACACACGTGCGCTGGTCGAATGATAATTACCTTTCAACACCCCTGGGGGCAATTAATTGTCTACCGACTCCAAAGCAATGTTTTTACAGTTAGAGCACTGATTATTTACTGCCATGTTAATTGCTGTAATTATTTTCTTTGCTAAAAATTGGGGGTCGGTTTATGACCTTTCGTATGTGTGAGCATGGTGAGCATGTGTTGATTACGGCACTTTAAACAATTAAACACCTGTTAAATGTAATTTTACCTTATCTTATACTTATCGGCCTCTTGTTTAAATAATTGAGAGTTGAGAAATGAAATATAGATTATGCTAAAACTTTTAATAAAAGTGGTATCATTTAGAAAATAAGATATCCGCGAAGATTCAGAAGAGGAAAATCGTCATCTTCTTAAAGAAATACTTTGATGTTTCAATTTCGTTTCCTGTTAAAATATTGTAAGATAATTTTAAGCATGATTATCTAGAACCAAAATTAAATATGACAACTGATAAAACTTTCGACAATATCTCTTGCTTTGATGAAATAAAATTATTTCATCTATGAATATGGCGACGCATAATTTCAAAATCACCGTAACTATTCTTTTAAAAAAATCTGTTAATACTATTACGCAACATTATCTTGTGCTTTGTTGAAATAAATGAATAAATAATTTTCTCCAGATTGCCGCGATACGGAATGTCAGGATTAAGAGAAAGTTATAAAGTGTGTATTTTAAAAAAAGTGTGTTCAGTAAATTTTTGACACCTAATCCTCGCGCCGATTTTCGTAACAAATTACTATGATTTTCATAGTTCAGAACATCGCTTGGTAAATTTTTATGTTGCGTATAATACATCCGAACTGCGTTTTTTTCCCCAGTTTCAGACTCAAAAAGGGGGGTGCGTATTTTACATCAATGCGTATTATACTCGGCCAAATACGGTAAAGAAATTAATGATATTAAAATATCCTCTTTTTGTTTTAATTTCATTATTTTCTATGTTTTAAATAAGTAAAAACTTGAGAATACGATATAATATATATATTTTATATTCCATTTGGGTCCATTTGAGTTTCCATTTGGGTCCATTTGGGTTCCATTTGGGTCCATTTGGGTAAATCGACGCACCCGAACAATGTTACAAAGTTCTGTATCTTCTTACATATTTAATCTTTTTCTTAATATAAGTCTCAAGTGTTGAGAGCTTAATTCTGAAGAATACATTGATGGGAATATAAGGGAAAAGACTTAAATTTTTTTTTTGGGGGGGGGGGGGGCAGGGTCCCTCCAAAAAATGATGATGATAAAACTTAAAAATGGGAATTTGTCTTGTAGAGGCTGCAGTTAAACCCTTGGGTGGGTTTTAAGACTTATTAAGTTTGCATTATTATGTCCTGGAACATAAGTTGTGTTTGCGTGCAACCAATAGTTAAACAGACATTTCTTTCTGGACCTGGTTAGGTATTTTGTAAAGTTCCCCTTATTGCTGTCTCGCTTGATGGTAAAGTATCAATATTCTGTCATCTTGAATAGGCAGCAACATAGATTTCTTACTTCACACCAAATACTTAACTATTAAGGCATTTGGGTCGAGTAAAGAGTACATTTTCATAAACCTTACATGTATGTGATTTAAAAACAACAATCATCTAATATCCAAGATGTATTTTACGGTACATGTGGATGAGTATCAATACTAACAGTGGGAAAATGTTGACTTTTAAGGTGACATCTTCTGGGAATGTTGTAGGTATAACCCCAGTGCTAGTGTGGTGGTGGCGGCTCCTAAGAAGATTAAAGTAGGTCGTGAGCTCCAGCTGCCGTCCATGTCTCTCCTGACCAGTAAGACGTCCAGTCAACAGTTCTTCTTACGCATCCTGAAGGTCATCATTCAGCTGAGGGACGCCGCTAAAACACAGGCCAAAAGAACAAGTCGAAGGGGTGGTAAGAGGCCTGTTAATTTATTATGATTAACATGCAATATAGGTTTTTTTTAAGACAATCAAAGAAAGTATACTCTATGCAAAACTATTGCTGCTTGTGACTGTGATTTTTAGTGTTGTTACGATAGTCGCCGACTATCGAAAAATCGTCGTTTAAAGGCCCAGATCGGCGACAATCGATTGTAAATATTATCATCGATAGATTGCTATATTTTTCATGCCGTATTTTTTAAGCCGATCAGGTTTAACTTTTATATTCACCAAAGGGACGTCACTCTAATCGGCGGTAAACAAAATGGCGAACGTGCATGGTGAAGAGGATGACGCCTAATTATATCAATATCCTGGTGCAACATGATCTAAAGTTTGAAGTTTTTTGGCTTTCTAAAAAAGGGCGATGGGCCTCCATGCAAAAATAATATACAGATGGACTCGGTTATTTGTAAATAGTGTAAAATGTCGTATGCCAATAAAGATAAGTTGAAGTTCGCGGTCAAATGTCATGGAATTCTACGTGCTGAATGAATAAATTCAACCTTTTTTAATAGTTCAAATTATCGATTATATAATCGATTGTGTTCTTCCGATTCAATTTGATAATCGATAGTAAAATTTGTCCGATTTTACAACACTAGTGATTTTACATTCACAAAGAGCATATTATATGCTGAATTTTTGCTTTCAGTCATGTACTTGGAAGTCTAATGATTTTTATTGTATCATTCAGAGCGAGACTTGAGTAGCATCACAGAAGCCATGGCAGCGTTAGAGGCGGAGGCAGAAGCCATCATGGAGATGGTGGGGCGGCGATCGGAACAACAGAACCAGGCCAGGCAGCAACAGGTACATACAGGACGGAAAAATTTATTGTATTGAGGGGGGGTTATTTATTCCCAATACTTTATTGGGTATGTCAAAGTCTCTATCTTGTTTGTTTTCTCATTGGTTATTTATAGGAGGGTGCTGGGAGGAGTGGAGCCACAGAACAGACTAGTGAGGGGCCACAGGAGGGGCAGCAGGGAGGGGCTGAGAATCCAACACCCCCTGCAGAGGGAAATCCAGACTCACCAATGGATGTGGATCAACCAGGTATGGATTAGAATTAACAAACAGTAATTATTAAAGTACATATATATCATATAGTAAGACGGTAGTTTCTGGTCAGATCTGTTTTTGTGGCAAGTTAAAGCAAAAATGTAATTGCCTACGTCTTGTTTTTGCAGGCCCCTCTACGACCCCCCAGGAAAAGGCAGAGGATGTGACCCCTCCCCAGCAGTCCCTGAGTGAACAGCTGGGTCTGGACGAGTTGTGGAACACCCTGGGGGAGTGTCTGACGGAGCTTGCCAGGACCCCAGATCATCACGCGGTCCTTATTCTACAGCCCGCTGTCGAGGCCTTCTTCATTGTACATGCTGGTAAGGTACTTTTAAAATGGACAAGTCTTAGTTTAAATCATGATTACAATATTGTGAACTAAAATTAGCACAGGAGAAGACACCATGAGTTCAAGGTGTTTTACGATATATGATAGATGAAAAGTTAATCATCATTGCCCTCCCCCCCCCCCCAAAGAAAAATGACGTCAACTAAAATCTAAATTTCAGTCATTACCAACATAATAAATTAATGAGTAAGTGTATTTAGATTAATCAAATATTGTAGATAGACATGTATAGTGTATTATAACAGTGCCTGCTGTCAGTAGTGATGATCTTCACATTAATGATCATGGATGATATTAATACAACCCTCTAAGAAGTACTGAACTGACAAATGCAGACTATTCTCTGAATTAAATGTTATGTAATTTGATGGTAACATTACACAATGTATAAAGAGAGTGATTACTTACAGGAGAAAAGGATGGGAAATCCCAGGAGCAGAGGTCACAGAGAAGAGAGGACCAGTTAGCTCACCTTAACATGGACCTGGCCCCGGCCTCTCCAGCGGCCCCAGGCAGTGAGACTCCCGCCCCGGTCCAGAGGGATGGGTCAATAACATCAGTGTCCTCCTTAACAACGCTTCCACCAGATACGCAAAAGTTCCTTAGATTTGCTGGTGAGACAATCTAAAAGGCCATGGGCAGATAATAGTTATAACTTTTAACATTATCTTTAGGTCAATTTATGATTGGGAACTTGTTTTTACAGATTCATATTGAAATCCTGAATACATCATAAATAGAAGTTAACCCCTTAATTTAAAAGAAAAGTTTTAAATTAGAATTTTTATTTGTTTTATGTATAGAGACACACAGAACAGTCCTGAACCAGATTCTGCGGCAGTCCACTACGCCTCTCTCTGATGGTCCGTTCTCAGTTTTGGTGGATCACACACGTATTTTGGACTTTGATGTGAAGCGTCGTTACTTCAGGCAGGAGTTGGAGAGAATGGACGAGGGGATGAGAAGAGAAGATCTGGCCGTTCACGTCAAGAGAGAACACGTGTTTGAGGACTCATTTAGAGAGCTCTTCAGGCGCACCGCTGATGAATGGAAACACCGATTCTACATTGTATTTGAAGGTAGGTTCCCATTAAAACTGAAGATCGTTTTTTGCAAGTGTTAATGAATACATGTACATAATAGAAAATGTCCGTCCGTCCGTCCGTTGACTCCGTGAAACCATCATTAATATGTCCGGCTCATAACTTCAATACTATTAGGCCTAGGATTATCAAACTTTGTCAACTGATACTTCTTGGGTAGACGGTGTGTCGCGCACAAAAAGTAGGTCGGACCTTTACCAAAGATGCTATGGCCAAATATGGAAAAATCCTGTCCCACTGTAACAGAAAACTATTAGACCTAGAGCTATCAAACTTGGCAAAAGTATACATCGCCAAGGTGTGTATGACCTATTTCAAGGTCACCTTGACCTTTAATTTTAGTGAATTTTTTTAAAAAACTAAGTTTTTTAAATTTTAAATTTCATAATCCTAGAAATGTAAAAAATAGTATTGGAAGCTACATGGAAAAGTATTAAATCAAGTAAAAACTTATTTTTTTCATCATATACTTTAAGCAATCTTTAACAAATGTCAATGTTAATGAGAGGAATTCAGTTTGTCCCATGATATAAAGCATACAGTATAATTTTGATAGCAGAAAGTTGCATGTCAAATTAGAGAGAAATTAATAGTTTAGTGTGAGGATGTTATCAAAGAGCATTGGTGTTATCTATATCCCTTGAGTATTGGGCAAATGGACAGCAGCATAGCTGTTAGATTAAAAATAGCTCTTGTTTAGCCTAAGTTTTAAAATGAATTTGATGAAAAGTAATTAAAACTTATTTGATATTGCATATTAAACTAATAATCTGATATTATATAATATTAATTAATTAAAAACTAATTTTAAGGGGTGGGGTTGTCCATGCCTACTTGTCCATATGAATTAAATATAAAACCTGTCTGGCATTATATCTAAAAAGAAATCATGGAGTATTTTATATGTTTTAAAAGTGTTTTAGGATAAAAATTGCATATTAATATTTCTGTAGTAATGTGTATATGTAAAACTGAAATGATTAATTAATGAGTTCAATGTAGGAAGGCTATATGATGCATTTATCTTATCCTTTGGGGATTAGACAGAAGAACTGCTGGTCAATTTATAGCATATGTCATTTGATGGCCAGCCTCTCTGTTAAAATTTATTTGGCATAGATTAAGTTGTTAAGACTAATTTGTATTGTTTATTATGATGGCCGCATTTGACAAAGTCTAACACAAACAGTATAGAAATCTATCAGTTATGTAATATTTGTTATAATTATGCCTACAGCACAGGGGATGGATAAAGAAATATTTTTTTTAAAAATGGAAAAATCATGGAAATCTTAGAATCAAGGTTGACATGATTTTCTTGCACTCTAAACTGTTAAAGATAATTGTGTAATTTTTTGACGGGCGTATCATGCTGTGGCGTGGCACTTTATTTGCAAATGTTAATAAATACATGTACATAATAAAAAATGGTTGATAGATTTGACTTGAAACCATCATTAATCTTCAGGTGAGGAAGGGCAGGATGCTGGAGGCTTACTGAGGGAATGGTACATCATTATTTCCCGGGAAATCTTTAATCCTATGTACGCCCTGTTCCGGACCTCACCTGGAGACAGGGTCACCTACGCCATCAACCCCTCCTCCCACTGTAACAGCAACCACCTCAGCTATTACAAGTTTGTGGGGCGCATCATCGCCAAGGCTGTGTATGATAATAAGCTCTTGGATTGCTACTTCACCAGATCCTTCTACAAACATATCATTGGACAGGCTGTCAAGTAAGTCTCAAATGTAGGAGAATATCTGACATAGATGGTATTGGAAGCTACATGGATAGGCAGATATAAATTAGAGTAAACTGGGGACTGCTGACAACTATTAAATATTGATAAGCACATGATGATTGCCTCTGATAAAGTCGATAAAAGCATGATATAAAGCATACAGTATATTTACATGCTGAACATTGCAAAATGTTAATACTCCTTGGATTTCAAAGTATTTAGTTTCTTAAAAATGTGATCAAAGAATAATGTTGACCTTTATGATACTTACAGATACACAGACATGGAGAGTGAGGACTACTCATTTTACCAGGGATTAGTTTTCCTGATGGAAAATGATGTGGCAGATCTCGGATACGATCTCACGTTTAGTACAGAGGTAATTTGAAATAACACTCTGTCCTTCTATTCTTTGTTGTCTTAACATATACATGTATGTACATTATATCAAGGGTAGTCCTCCCGCGATGTTACTGTAGATTAGTGTAGAAGGCTAGCTCATAGAAAATTGCATAAATGTTTCTGTAAATAATGTGTATATGTAAAACTGAAATGTTAATTGTTGAGATCATTGACTTATAATGCATTTATTTTGATGCAGATTATGGAGTTCGGAGTCACGGAAAGTCGGGACCTGAAACCCGGAGGACGCAACATCTCTGTTAATGAGGATAACAAGAAGGAGTATGTAAAGTTAGTGTGTCAGATGAAAATGACGGGGGCCATTAGACAGCAGCTGAACGCCTTCATGGAGGGCTTCTACGACATTATCCCCAAGCGCCTTATCTCAATCTTCAACGAGCAGGAGCTAGAGCTGCTGATCTCGGGATTACCCACTGTAGACATCGACGATCTGAAAGCCAATACCGAGTATCACAAGTACCAGGCTACTTCACTACAGGTACGTACATAGTCACAGGTTTTCTTTTTCTCACTCTTATTTTGGAAATTGATTTAAAGGAAGGAGGAAATAAAATGTGCTTTTGATGATTGAGAGAAATTTAGATGGTACTTGATTTTTGATTATTCAAAGCTAAGATTTATTCATTCTGTAACTCTTAAATTAACAAGTCTTGTCAAGATATATACAGTGGTAGGAGTATTTACTGCATAGTATTGTGGTTGCTTCATAAAAATTATACTCAGAATTCACAAATTATCTCTGTAATAAATATTTTAATCCTATTCCTGCCGGAAAAAAAATGCTAAAGGGCACCCTTAAAAAACAACCCTCCTGAAATTTTATACATATATATTAGAATAGTACGAAAGATTTTATTTTTTTAACTTTAAAACTTGCCTGTTGTAGGTTCAGTGGTTCTGGCGTGCTCTGCGATCGTTTGATCAGAAGGACAGAGCCCAGTTCCTACAGTTTGTGACGGGAACCTCCAAGGTGCCCCTGCAGGGATTCGCTTACCTGGAGGGAATGAACGGCTTCCAGAAATTCCAGATCCACCGAGACGACAGGTCTACTGACCGACTGCCAGTAGCTCACACATGGTAAGATACATTGACCAGTAATATGCTTTTGATTGCCCTCAAACATGTTAATGAAATGGATAGGAATGTGTGTTGTCATGTAATCTCCTCTTTTTGGAATGTTAAATACAGCTGAATTTTTATTGTACATGCCTGTATGTCATATTTTAGGCTGAACTTTCCTTGAAAAAATATATTGAAATTGTTTTAAGAAATGAATTTAATCAAAGATACATGTATTAACCTTTAACAAAAAAATGTTGAAATTGTGAATTTTTTTGTTACATGTACAGTGTATATACTGAATTACTGTAGCAAGTATTGATATTCTGTGCTTGAATGAGAAAACTTGAACTTTGGTCTTATTCAATTGAAGATTTCTTTTTTATTTTAATTTCCCTGATTTCATGTACTTGAACTAAAAAATGATATAAATTTTGTTTCAGCTTTAACCAGTTAGACTTACCAGCTTATGAAACCTACGACAAACTGAAGAGAATGTTGCTCCTGGCAATCAATGAATGCTCTGAGGGATTCGGACTGGCATAAACTGTCCCAGACTGGCATAAACTGTCTAAGGAGTAGTACTGCTAGAGAGGACTTAATATGCAAGAAAATCATGCATGGATTCTTACATGTTACCTAATGTGTGACTTGTGTTACAAAATATGTGGTCAAAATATACTGAGTGTACTGTAAGCCAGGTTAAAGTTTGTGCTCTCAATGAACATGCTTTATGACATAAGAAAGGAGGTGCTTTCTGGGCTTTATATATTACCATGTGTTGCGTAATTTTGTCATACATTCATTTAGTTAAAAAAATCAAGTTTCTGAATCATTTAAGACGTTGAAATCAGTGTAACAGAGGTCTGAGAGGTGTTGTGATGTGTTGGTGTGAGGTTTTGACAGGCGATGTTAAATCTAGTGCAACAAAATGCTGCAAGAGTTCTATTGATGTGATATAAGTGTTATGCTGAAATTGGCAGAAGTTGATGAAGACTTTTATTGTCTTTATATAAAAGAATTTAAATGAAATGACGATTACTGATATCCTGTTACAGAAGGTGAAAGAGACGAGCAGTGATAAGAATTCACTTTATGTCAAGAATAATCAAACTGTAGCAGTGGAATTCCAGATCGTGATACGGAGGATTTGCTCTTTCGTTTTTTGTTTTCTGTACTGTAAATAGTATAAAATACTTTGTTCTTATCCTGTTATTTATTATATCGGTATGGGAGGGAAAGGAATATGGAAGAATGTGTTGATCATTCAGAGAGTTTGGACAACATATTAAAATAGCATGGGGTTATTTGTAATTTGTTCTCACATTTTTGTGTAATACACAGTTTTCAATGATGGAATATATCTTTATATCACATCTGTTACTTTCTATTGTCCATGATGAATAAAATCTCAGCCAAAATCATTTCAATTTCTCTATTTTATAATTAGTGCCCTGCTTGGGGTGCCCTACAGTGATATTCTGTCCAGCTGTCCATCCGATTTTGTTTGTCCAGAAAGTACATATCCGGTTATTTTCGGGATGATCTATTTTTCGCTTTTTCTGCGACCATTTTAAATTCACAAAATATAAAACGCATAAAACATAATATCAGCTATAATGTGACCATGCATTACCATTTTAAGAAAAAAAATATTCAATCGTAAAAAATAACTTACGCAAAATAAAAAATGTACAAATCTACCCTTTTTTCATAAAATTTCCAACACACGAAAAAATATATATAAGGTATATACTAGAGGATGTCCAGTGATCTGAATCGATTTCCTGGATCAAAAATCAAGGTCAAAAAACCTTCAATACAGGTATCATGTCCAAATCACTACACATAATTTAAACTTTTTTTTAATCTTTCTATAAATCAATTTATAGTATGTTTGAATCATTACTAGCTCTCTGATTGTCATCATTTGGGTGGCTGAGATCCAACAATGTAGAAAAAACACTATGACTCGGAGCAGAGACAACTTATTTTTATGTCAGCTCAGAGTATGTTTAGGTCACTCACTTTTTATTTAATATAAAGTCGTGTGGCACAGTGGTGAGATTGTCTGCTCTAGAGTCATGAAGAAAGGAGTTGATCCGTGTGTCACGGGTTCGAATCCCACTGTGGGACCTGAAGACCGGTTTGAATGAGGCTGTATAAACCAAGGTCCTATATCGCAGTTGTTGCTGGCATGAAAAAGATTCCTCGCTGCTCAATGGCCCTAAGTGCTGAGTAAAGACAAAATTTGCATCTCTCCACCGGCAAGTAGATGGTTAGCAACATACAAACAATGATGTAATATAAAAATGTTCATTGAAAGGCCCCCCCACCCATTAATGGACCCCAAAAAACCCTGTGTGAAGAATTCTTATTTTTAGAGGGGGATAATATAGCCAAAGATTTTTTCAAGATATTAAAAGTTTCAAATTTTCCCCCTCCACCCTCCTTTTTGAATTTTGATCTTGTTTGCCTGAATTTTTTTTTATTGCAAACTGAAATAGATTTAAAAGATTCAAAAATGTTCATTTTATTCTAACTTCCTTCCATTGCGTTTTACCAGGATCCAGCAATTGTAAACAAGTAAGATGACCAGACATGGACCATTTAATTAATAAATTTATATTATTTAATAAAACATTTTTATTTCTGCTTTTCAATCAATATGTTTGTAAGTACAATATTCACCTTGCCCTTCACTCTAGACCTCTTCAGGTAGTTTATTAACGAGGCCCGATCTAGTTGATCTGCGCATACGTTTTAACGCAGTGTCGACTCAGGCACGTCACAGTACCCTGGACTGCCGTCACAATTGAATACAATAACGTCACAATTAAAATGACGTCAAATTGCGCTAAAATATTTCGCTGATCTTGCTCTAAAAACTGCTTGTTGAAAGCACAGGGGCCTGTAACATACTGTATTTGATTTTACGTAATCACTATATGTATACAAAAAGTTTTTGTATATATATATAGTGATTACGTAAAATCAAAAACAGTATGTTACCGGCCCCTGTGGTTGAAAGCTGGCACATTAAGGCTTTTTTATTACTTAATTTATAAACAACTTTGAAACATAATTTATTTTGAGGTATCAATTTATTGGAACAGATTCATTAATCTTATCTTGTTTTATTTCAATTTGTGAGTTAGAAAAAAATCCAACTGCAACCAAAAGTACACGATTTTATGGTCTTTCTCCTTGAACATTGATCAAGTGTTTATACTCACCATTTTTTATTGAGCATAAAGAGAAAATTATGCCATAATGTAAGAATGATTTAATTTTTAGAAACTTATACAGTATTACAATCGTTTGTTGATTAATGTAAAGTTAACCTATTGCAACTTATAAAATACTAGCATATAGTTAGATGAAATAAGTCCTATTTTTGTGTTTTTATATGCCCCCTTTTCACTGCAATAAAGGCTACCTCCGATTTTCTTTTCATTTTTTAAAAGAGGGATGTGAATTGCGTGATATATTTGAAAATCAAAACATTTCATCATTTAATTTGTCAATTCCATTGTTTATTGAGGAGTTTTAGTATGTAATTGTGTATAAAATCACGAAAAATGGTCCATATCTTGATAGTGCCCCCATTTGACTACAATAAAGGCAAGGTATTACAAAATTTCATTCTAATTTTTCTTAGCATAATACATACAAATTTATTTCCAAGAATCAAAATTTTTTATCATTCCGTTTTCGTAATATCCAACTAGATTGGGCCTCGTTAAGTGAGAAAAGTGAGTGAGAAAAAAAAAGGTGTGTCAGAAGTGGGATTCGAACCCACGCCCACATTCGTGGACCAGAACACTCGCCTTCATGTTATGTGAAGGAAGAGTTATTACCCTTGAGTCTGGCGCCTTAGACCGCTCGGCCATCCTGACAACTGCAAGAAATTGTGTTTAATTTATTTCAATATATAAAATAGTTAGATTGTTTTTAATACTACCTGAAAATGTTCTCCTTTTTGTTAGAAATTTTCTTTACTGAATTGTTTTCATTAATTTTTCTTCAAATATTAGCGTGTTAGCATTATAAGGGTTAAAGCCGTGAAGTCTTCCTGTTACTCAGAGAACCAGCAAAAAATTGGTGCCCCTTTCACCTCACGATATACACAGCTTGAAACAGTTTCAGCTCAGGATCTGGTAGATCTACCGTAAGCAAATTATTCTACGAATTTTCTGTTGACCATTAATGTTTAATTGTTTTTTTCCTACAGCACTGTACAGTGCTACACAATCGATGCAAAGGAAATAAATAGTAAAGTGGTTTAATCGTGTACAACAGCATGTCAATCTGAAATTCCTTTGCCTTTGGCTCATACCACAAAGGCCCGTAACGAATTATTTGTCTTTTTAAAATTAGACCACCCCTATACTGCTTTTGGCCAGTGGGACAGTGAAAGTAATGAGTTGACCAGTAAACTTATAGTTTCAGACCAAGTGATAAGAAAAAAAAAATCTTATTCCATCAACTAGCCAACTCAGGGCTCTCACACCCATTTTTGGTACTGGGGCCGGGGCCATTGAAATTGGGAAAAAAGCGATGTTTTTATAAAAATTGGGAAATTTTTACCAGTCATAAGTTAAACTCTTACAACAAGAAAAATCAAATAAACACAGAATAATTAGATGAACTGAAAGGAATCATCATCATCGACTTACTCATAGTAGAAATATTTTTTTTCTACACTGACAACAGTACTGCAGGGATAAAACTTTTTGACCACTACAAATAGCAAATACCAGCAGATTTATTTTTACTATCAAATTGTAATATTGAACTTTTACTAGCATTTTCTCTCCTTATAGTAATTCATATAAGATTTATACAAATAATCTATAAAAAAAAAATAATAATTTACCTCTTGGAAGCATTTAGGCGGTTTTATTAAAGATGAAATCTGAACAGATACAGAAAACTCATCCTTATATATTTAAAATTAAATCATTAAATACACTGGGAATATATTTTGTGGAAAATTACATAACTTTTTTACTCCAGTTGATTAAGTGATAGTAAATAATTTAATGGAATATCCAACGTTACATTGTATTTACCATAAACGAAGGAGTGGAGGAAATTCGGATTAAAAGCAAACGATCGTTTTTGGAAGTAAATAAGTCATGTAGTGCTGCAAAATGGATACGATTATGGGGATTTACAAACATTTGGAGCATGGTACCTAATTTTTTTTAATTGTTAGGGAATCTAATACCAAAACAGTGAATAAAATACCTGTAGGCCTAGTGCTTATCATTCAGTCATTGGTAATCTGAATTTTTAAGACCTTTCTCTCTAGCAAAAGGTGGCAACCACAGGTCGCTTTTAACTCACAATTTTAATTCTCATTTACTCAGGTAGATAGGTCGTTAGGTAGACGGGTCGGCAGGTAGACAGGTCAGCAGGTATGCGGATCGACTGGTAGACAGGTCGGCCATCAGGGCTCAAGTGGAGAGTAGAATAATATGCGAAAACTAACCCTAATCTCTCGGATTGATGCGAAACTAACCCTAATCAGTAGAGTAATGTGTGAGGACTAACCCTTATCTCTCGGATGGATGCGAGACTAACCTAATCAGTAGAATAATGTTCGAGGATTAACCCTAATCTCTCGGATGGATGCAAGACTAACCCTAATCAGTAGAATAATGTGTGAGGACTAACCTTTATCTCTCGGATGGATGCGAGACTAACCTAATCAGTAGAATAATGTGCGAGGATTAACCCTAATCTCTCGGATGGATGCAAGACTAACCCTAATCAGTAGAATAATGTGTGAGGACTAACCCTAATCTCTCGGATGGATGCGAGACTAACCCTAATCAGTCGAATACTAGTGCAAGGACTAACCCTAATCTCTCAGGTGGATGCTAGACTAACCCTAATCTGTCGAATAATGTGCGAGGACTAACCAGAAACTGCTTAGCTGTTGAACTGCCGACCTGTCTACCTGCCGACATGTGACGGACCTGCCGACCTGTATATTAGCAAATGTTTACCTGCCGACCTGTCGACTTCTCTACCTGCCGACCTGTCTACCTGCCGACTTGTGACGGACCTGCCGACCTGTATATTAGCAAATGTTTACCTGCCGACCTGTCGACCTGTTTTAATTTCTAGCAGTAAAATATAACCAAATCACAACTATATGAAAGAATATCCGCCGTAATATGGAACTACATATCCGTCAACTCCACTTGATCCGACTAAACCATGGAGAAAAATCTGTTGAATTAATTTGGTTACATTTGCTACAGTTGCACTTGTAAGAATTTTTCCAAGTGTAGCAGCCGAAATAATGTTGAACTCTGCTGTATCTGCACGGGAAGCAGATTGGGAAAAATAGGTCAAAAATACAATACAGGATATGAGTCAATACAATGTTTTTGAGGATGAAAAATTCCAATGTCAGCTTCAACAAATCTTTTTTTAAAAAAAATAATTTATGATGATATGTTTGACTGTGAAATTTGTCATTGTGAATGTCTTTTACAGACACAGCTAACAAAAAAGTAGAATGCCTCGCAGAGGTAGGGGAAGGGGTTCGGGAAGGGGTCACTGGAGAGGAAGAGGCAGAGGAAGGTCGGGCCCTCCCCCTTCTGGAGCCCCAAATGAGGATCCAAATGAAATGTGTATGGAGGTCTCGGAAGCTCAGGCCGAGATGAGTCAGACAGACGACCCCTCATTAGAAGGGGAGACAGCGGGGGAACCAGAGGAGGGTACAGAGAAGGAGGGGAGCCAGGAGGGGGAACCAGAAGGAGTTTTCTTTAGAGAGGGGGATGTGGGCATCACAGAATACATCAGTTCATCTCCTGGATTTAATGCCATCATCAAACAAAGGTTGTTGTTACTTTAATGTTTAGTTGAAATTGTTCTCAAAACTTGCAAGTTATTTTTATGAAGTTTAATACTTGACATAAATGCCTTTATATTCAAAAAAAAAAAATTAAAAATTTTTTTAGCATTGGTAAGTAATTTTTTTTTAATGAATTCATTAGAATATATTAAAATTATTCTCTTCTTGCCCACTTTGTAATCAATCATAAATATTCTTCTTTGAATTGACTTTTGAGAAAGGATTTTCATCCAGGAACTTTTACAAAGAGTAAAAAGACTTATTTATTTCTAAATTTTGAGGGATAAATATGAGAAAATACTTTTAAATTTAATGATTTTATGTTAAATTGTCTGTTTATTTTTTTAAAGTTTAAGTATATTTTACAAAGTACATACATGTATAATCAATGGAAAAGAAACACATTTTAAGCAAGGTCTTAAAAAAAGTAATGGAATGTAATAATTATGTACCAACATTTAGGTATTCAGACTTCATAGTGAATGAAATAGATGAGGAAGGAAAGATAGTGAAACTGACCAACATAGAGGTGGACCAATCCCTGATAGAGACTGTATGTATGTCTGTCAGTGTACACAATGTCACAGCAAGGTCAAGGTCGTGTCATGACTTCTTACAACTTACAAGGCAGTCAAAATATTTAAGTACTCTGGAATCATTTTAATTCAGAGGAGGAGATCGAGGGATGGTAGGGAGTGTCAGGAATAATCTAAATTACCAGAAAATTACAGGTCTACTCAAACGCATTGAAAATAATTGGAAATTTCGTATACAGTGTCAAACATTATGAAAATACCTCCCTTAAAAAGTTAATGATATTTTAAAATTTTTACAGAGTTATGAAGGAAACATTAACCTACAAATTCATTTGCATTGAATTTTATATTTTAAGTGTAAATCATTTGATTATGCAATTATTTTTAATTAAAGGTGAAAAAAATCTAACTTCAAGTCAAGTCTCTATGCCAGTCTTGCTAATACATGGGGAAACCCTCTCCTCTCCCTTGAAATAAAATGGCTCCACTGTTTTTGTTTTACAGAATTTGAAATTTTTTGAATGCTCTGTAAGTCTTTTTAACACATTTTACTGTACTCAAGTGGTGAAAAAAAAGAAGTTGTGACACAAGATAGACCTAATAAATAAATGATTTTACCGATTTCACAAAAATGTGTCATTGTGTATGCTGACAAGTCTGGAGAAAAAACACAGAACTACAGAAAATTACAAAAGAAATTATACCACAATTAGGGAGAGACAAAAAAACCCAATGATTTACAGAGTGTCAGATGTTGTATACTTTCTTTTGTGATTGTTTGAAGCTTTGGGAAACTGTAGTGTTTGTGTACATACAATATCTGAAGCAGTACATGATAGTGGTATTGGTTGACCAATTTAATGGTCGAGTATAAATATTTTATGCCTATAAAATACTGATGCAATATGCATGGTCCTTTGTCAAGAAAACAGTATATAGAAACATATGCAAATATCAAATTAAGGTACATTGTGTAATTCATAATCATCATGTTCATATTGCATGGAAGATTTCTGTGTGATGCTTGGCTTTTTCGACCTTTCAAATTTTTTTTATACATGTATTTCAAACTTCATTCAGGTAAGCTGTTTGAATTCCATCTAACCTGACATTTCTTTTTTAAGGACACAGAGGAAGATTTAGAGGGAGTTCTTTCCCCTGAACAGAAAGAGATTCTGGATGACTTCAATGCAAACCCAATACATGAGAGGACAGTTGATATCTGTGTAAGAAGTTGAATTCAGATACACACTGTAGGGGGTTTTAAATTTATAAACATCATAAAGTGTTGACCTATAAGCATTGTGTAATAACTGAAAATAAACAAATTTGAATTTTGCACTAATTTTTGCAAAAAATCATTTGGACGATAAAAATCTTTATTTTTGACTTTATACCAACAAAATGATGTGAATAAAGAAATTGAAATCAAAATTTTTATTAGGTAGTCATATAGACCATTTCAAGGTAGCTGAGGTACTGCACTTTTGCAGGGCAATATGACGTAAAAGTAATTGTTAAAGATACGTCATTTAATTATCTGTCAACAAACACTTGAACAAATGTTATTATTTTGCCCTGCAAAAGTGTAGTACCGTAGTTACCGTGAAGGGGCTAATTATGTTTACATCGAATTTACATTGAATTTTAGCTAATTAATGTCAAATACTGGCAGAATGAACACAACATTGATGGTTATATTAACCAATTTTGAAATGTTTTAGGCCCCAGAGGATAAAGAACTGAGAGTCAAAATACACCAGATTGTGAAAAAGAACTACAAAAAACTTCAGTCAGATACTTTATTTGAAGACGATGTAAGATTTATACAAATCACAGCTAAAGGATCGAATAGAGGGGGCTCTGGTGAGTACAGGTTCTCTTTACGTAAATTCCTTATTTTTTGCCAGTACCGTAATTTTGGGTTATAGGTCGATGGGGTATATAGGTCTCATTTTCAATTTTTGAAAAATCAAATACTTACTATATAGGATGAGGCTTTGTTTCCCGTTTTCTAAAGATGCTTAACACAACGTATTGGGGTTATGGACATAAACGTAAAGAAATTAAACAGGTATTTTAATGAGTACAAATTTAAATAAAGTTTTTTTTTTAAAAAAGTAGTTAAAACTTCTTTGAATTGTGTTTCTACCCAACTTGCCTGTTCAATGCGATAAACACCGTTGTTAAATCAAAGGCATAAATAACACGTAAATACATTATTATTTTACAGCTATAATAAGAACTAAAGAAAAATTCTGATTTCAGAACAACTTAGACACATTCCTGTTATTTACTTTATTTACCGAAGACAATTACTTCGATGTTTTTATTTTTCTTCTCCAGATTTATACCATTGAATGTACATATCAGCAACAGTAAAGAATTGAAATCATATTAACACTCTAATAAGCTTAATTTATAAATTTAATTGAGAGTACATTCACAATTTGACTGTCAACATGAATTTCACGGCTTTGTTTGTTTAATGATGTGTAACACTAATACATAACCTCACGGGGTTTTCATGCCCCGCAGGCATTTAAACCAACTGAACACAGGTGTTACACCTTTGTGTACACAGTGTAAATCCCTTTATCTTTCAGACAATTTTCTGTTAGAAGCCAATCTTTGTATGCCGGTAATTCAATGTAAATTATATTTCTGTCACCCGTATTTATTGCTAATTCTTTGCTTAAGACAATAAAAATATTTAATATACTATTTCAATGGGCTCTAATAAATGATAAAAACACTATGGGAAAATTTTTCCTTATTTTAAATTTTGATATGGTTGCGGTTTTAAAAATAATTCCCAAATGATCCGCATGATGTTAATGGATAATACGTTGGGGAGATTTAACATAGATTTCAGCACCATAAAAGTAAAGGTGAGTAATTTTATTTTGTGTGTGGTGCTTCTCGCAAAAATATGGGATTATTAATTCCACATATATATTTAGGAATCTACAGTAATTTATTAATTGTCCTAGAAGATATTCATGAAGTTTATTTTCTCAGGTTTAAAATTTCACAAGTTAAATATGATAAGCAGGGTTTTCTAAGGAAGCAAAGATTGTGGTTTGTTTGGGTTTTTGAGGCAACAATTGATGGTAATAACAGAAGACCATTTTACAAAAGAACTTACAACTAAGACTAAAAATTTAATTTGCTCATAATTTTCTTATCTATAAATGACTTAATATTTTTGAAAGGGTGTAGAAAGGTACTTTTTGTAGTTTCATCTTTTGATACTTAATCAACTTTTATTTAAAACTTTCATAGAAATTTGAAACATAAATAATTCTTTGAAAATAGTATATTTTATGTTTACCATGTGTTAATTTATAAAATCACAAAAAGAAAATTAAGAAAAGTGTTTTCCTTTAAAAGCAGCACACTTAACTTATTGATCCTGTTTCGTTTCAGGCCAATATTTTCGCCAGAATTATATGCAAAACCCCTGGCCCCCTGGGTGTGGAAACTACTGCCGATTTGTCCTGTATAAAGAAAACATGGATACGATGGAAGCTATCAACAAGATGACTAAGCTCTTTCAGTAAGCCTAATTTGGTGCATAATCTTTTGAATTTGTGGTGATTATTGGTAACATAATTTTTTCTAGACTGCTAAATAGTACAGAAATTGTTATCTGGTTATGAAAGGTATACTCTAATATATGGTTATCCATTGAATTTCTACCAATTTTTTGAATAGGAGTAGTTTTAAAATCTACAAATTGAAAATGAAAGCTGCTGTAATGTTATCATGCGATGTTCACAGCTTATAAGCTTTGTGCATACATGTAATTACCTCTTACTTGAATATTATGCTTTCATTTTAAATTTTACTTGTAAGTAATGCATCATTAGAATTGTGGTTTACTGGGTACACACTTAGACACATATTTGCAGCATTAATAAGAACATGTTCCAGTTCGCGGGTACCAAGGACAAGAGAGCAATTACATCACAAGAAATGACTGCATACAGGTAATGTTAAATACATGCACTTATATATCTTTATCCTGAAAACCAATTTCTTGAGTAACATTTAGGAGGAAATGTGAGTTGAACATCCCATCTTTTCAATATTTTCAACTATAATGATTTGAATTATCAGATATCTTGAAATTTTTTCTTTGGTCCATCTAGTTTGAGATAACATGGTTTGATGTTACTAATTTTAAAAATAAATGTTGCCCTAGTTTTGCAGATATATCCTATGAATCTTTATGAACCACATTGTTTTACACGTATATGAAGAACATTTCACTCTAAGAATTTTTAATTGAGTTTTCTTTTTAAAAAAAAAAACACATTTTGACAGATCTAATGCATTCACTACAGGAAAAATTTACATGTATATCGTTATTGTAGTTTGAAACACTTCTTGTTTAGAAGTAGGTGAAATTGTTGAATGAATGAAAATTTATTTAAATTATTTTTAGATACAAGATTTATATCCAAAAAAGTATACTTTAAGATTTTTTACCCGTGTCGTTAATATGATGTTTATTTTATATTCAGGGTGAGGGCTGAGAAGCTAGTGGGCGGAAATCGTAGCTTTCATAAGATGGCTCTCGGCAACTTCAGATATGTGGACCAGCCTCTGAAATTAGGTCAACTAGGGGGCAACAGGTTCACTATTGTACTCAGGTAATCACTTTAAATTGCTTAGTATACATGTTTTTTTCTTATCTTGAGAAATTGAATACATGTATATACAGTTAAATACCGTATTTTGAACTGAATGATAGTCACTCTGTTATTACAAGTTCCCTTTTACAGTTTCTTTTACAATTTTCACTTCCCTCTCTTGACCCTTTCTTTATACGGAATCTTTGGAGTTTGAGTTACTTAGGTTGGTAATATATATAATCCACATGGTATTTTTTTACCAGGAGTGTGTCAGGGAGTGAGGAGACCGTACAGACTGCCCTGGAATCCTTAAAGACTAACGGATTCATTAATTACTTTGGGATGCAGAGATTCGGCACCACCACCATACCCACCTACAGGGTGGGAAAGTAAGTACCACTACCATACCCACCTACAGGGTAGGGCTGGGACGATACAACTTTTTCTATATCGATACGTATCACGATATTTGAGCCCCGATACGATATGTATCACGATATGTTTAATTGCCTATAAAATCTTTTTTTGCATTGAAATAAACAAATTATTTCTTTGCAAATGAGAATTATTTATTCAAAATAGTTGTTTATGCATTGTAAAACAAAAATATTTTACTCAAGTGGTGTTAATTATTATTTATTTCATATTTATATTTTATGGAATGCCATATACGACAGCCAACTGCTTACTGCCAACTGCTGACTGCTTACTGCCAACTGCCAGATGCTTACTGCCAACTGCTACACATATTTGAATAAATTTTCATAGTTTCGTTAATATTTATGTGAATTTTCAAAAAAAAAAAAAAAAATCAAAATTAAAAAAAAACATGGATCCAGGATTTTTTTCCAGGAGGGATCCACCCCAGTCAAAATCAATCGAACTCAGAAATTTCTTGACAAATAGCGTAAACTCCTTTCGTAAACATGAAAAATTATTTTGGCGGTGTGGGTTGGTTATGTTCCATATCTTCATATCTATGATTTTCATACAAATTAACTTAATACAGATCCGCATTTTCGGGGGGGGGGGGGGTGTTCCAAGGTCAGTTTTAAGTACTCATTCTGAAACCATTGATAAAAAAGTAATTGCTCTTATGTATAACTCCTTTAATAAGGGGTAGATTTTATCAATTGAAATCAGACTGAACATATCATCAGATCTTCAAATACTAATGAAAATGGATAAATGACTCCTTAATCTCAACGTATGTTTTTATTAATGTAAAATTCAACATATGAGATCGATGAAGTATATTATTTTTTATTCGTTATCTTATAAAATGACCATTTTCCTGTTTTAACCCCCCCCCCCCTACATGAGACAACAAAATCTTTGGAAAGGATAAAAACTGAAAAAAGGATTTGTTGTTGATAAGATTCACAGGGGTGTTATTTTAAAAATAAATTTCAATTTCCCGTTAAGGTAGGATTCTTCTCATATTTCTAATAATTAAAAATTAATGAAATTTTCACAGAATCAAGAAGACAATATTAGTGAGTGATAGTATCAGTAAAATTAAATTTGACCGTTTTATATTTGAGGCAAGGTCAGGTCAAGGTCATTATCTTTTTCCTTGACATTTTAAAGAATACAAAATAACTGTTGCCAATCATGTGATAACCACTTCTATTTCAAAAGTTAAATGATTGTTCTTTTTGCATAAAAAACATATTACTATATCAGGTCTATAGCATGATATTACCAAATTTACATAACTGGATATTGGCTAATCCGAATTTTCTCTGTTTTTCTTAATTTTTTAGGATATATTAGTTATTTTTATATGCTTCCTATATTTAACTTTTTCTTATTTTCACATATAATAAAGTAGTCTTATAAATGTACAAAATGATACAAAAACGAAAAGTATTCATCGTTTGCTAAGAGAGAAAAAATACTTTTTATGGATTTTTGGCTCAAATCTGCACTTTGATAGGAAGCGTTTAAAAGCTAATAAAGTTCTAGTTTGTTTGAAAATCATATTTATTTGATATATTTTGAAAGTTTAGTCCCTCATTATTAATTTAAATTACTTTTGAAAATTTCTCCAAGTCTTCGATTGAGTAAAAATTATAACTAAATTCATTGTTTTATTATAATTTTGAGAGGCAGAAAAGAAGATATTTTCATACGCCACCATTCCGCAAAAAATATAGTCCCTGCTAGTTTTCAAACACAGTTTACCATTTCTATTTAAAGTTGTACAATTGTGATGAGGAAAGAAAAATATGGTCTTTTAAATTCCTTACACCTCAATATATAAGACATATAAGCAAATATACTTTGAATGTTTCATCTAGTAAGAAACCAGAGAAGAATCCTACCTTAATTTTGAACCTTTGAACATTTTTCTCAAAGATTTATATATCTTTGTTTTTACAAAAATAGTTTTATGTTTTATATGCTTAGAGGGGGGGGGGACCATCCCTTTGAAATTTGTAAAGGTAAAGCTTGAGACCCCCCCCCCCCCCCCCCTTGCCAAAAATAATTTTTCACATTTAAGAATTTAACTGAGTTTACTTTTTTTCTTGTCAAGAAATTTCTGAATTGGTTTTTTTTCTACCCGGGTGTCCCCATAGCCACCTACAGGGTTTTTTGAAAATACACATACATATATCAAAATAAATATGAAAATTTATTCAAATATGTGTGGCAGTTGGCAGTAAGCAGCTGACAGTCAGCAGTAAGCAGTTAGCAGTTGGTTGTAAGCAGTTGGCTGTCGTATATGGAATTCCATAATATTTATATTTAACTTATTTATTTTATATATTAAACCCCAAATGTTAAATAAACAAAGAAAAACAGAAGTCAGATTTTTTTTGGCAATATTTCGATATTTTTTCAAATGTATCGATATGTGTATCCTCCTCACATATATCACAATATATCGATGTCTCGATATATCGTCCCAGTCCTACTACAGGGTGGGATAGTAAGTCATCTGCTGTAAAGAATTCCTCATTTTTGAGTTTGATTGTTTTTTTTATGTTATTTAATACATTTTCCAAGGATGTATAAAGTCTTAATTGGACCAAATATGTAAGCTGACCTTTTTTTCATTAGAAAAATAGTACTGCTTATTTTCAAAGAAAATAAATGGTTCATCATTTCAAAATGAGTTCAGTTAAACTGGATACATACAACTTGAGACAAACTACTATGACAATTTTTTTCAAAGGATGCAGATATTTTCGATATACAACAGAATGTCAAATGCATAGGGTATTTGTTTTTATTCTCTGAGAATATCTTGGTATGACTTATAGACTGATTTAATTTGCACCTCTACTACATCATTACTTGTACACTGAACAACGCTAGTACATGTACTAGCAGCATATAATAGAATTTTCTATTAAAGCTGTGGCTGTAAAAATAGCAAATGTAATATGCTGGGAAATTTTTCTGCAGGTAATGGTGGCTGGGTGTTTACAATCAACAAATAAGAAAACATCTTTAAAAGGTTCTATAATATTTATTTGAGAGACTGATATGGGGTTTACATTTATTTTTCCATCTGATCAGTCAATCTAGTTCCCTTACATTTTACTTGACTGCACCACACATTTACTAGACTGTCTCTGTTGATACTGCCCCAATGTCAAACCGTGTAAAGAAAGTTTTAGGGGGAAATATTCTTTTGAAAAACTTTATTTTCATTTCAGAGAGTTACTGAAAGGCAATTACAAAGAAGCAGGAGAACTCATATTGCAGCCCAGATCAGGGGGTATGTTACACCTAAGCTTATCCTACATGTACCTATTAAAGTTGACATTCAGCATCTTCAAGACTGATATCTCATATACCAGGAATTTGTCAAAATTATTTTACCTTCATGTTTTTAACCTTTATATCTGGTATCTGGTAATTTACTCTTGGTCTTGTCTAGTGAGAGAAAACATGTTTATAATGAGTTCAGATGTAAAATTTCAGGTCTATAATACAGGAATCAGTGTTAATAACTCATACATTTATCTTGGGTTTTGATTGTGTTTTATCTTTTACGCAGAGAGAGAGTTTATCTCGGAGTGTAGAAAGAATTGGTGGAAGGATAAGAACTGTGTACAGATGCTGAAAACTTTACCACGGAGATACGCAATAGAGAGATCACTCTTAGAGGGCCTCATCAAATTCGGAGAAAATAACTACGCCAATGCCTTCCAAATGGTACGTATTCAGAAGAAAATAACTATGCCAATGCCTTCCAAATGGTACGTAACCATGCCAATGCAATTCACATGGTACATATTCAGGATTTAGGATTAAAAACATTGAACACAGTTCAGAGAAAATAATCATGCCAATGCCTTCCAATTGGTAAATATTTAGGATTAAAAAGATTGAACACTCTTAAATATTAAGAGAAGTTTTTTTTACTCTGTTCTGAATTAAAGTTCAAACTTACTTTAGACAATGAATTTGATACAATTATTTGTATTTAAAATAATATTAAAAGATCTTCATTTTAGGTTCACAGAAATACTCGTATGCTGTATCTTCATGGTTATCAAAGTTATATATGGAACCATATTGCTTCACGTCGTCTGAAGGAGTTTGGCATGTTGCCAATAGTTGGTGACCTAGTTTTCAGGGGTGACTTAAAGGATGTGGCCTTCAAAGAGGAAAACCAAGAATCCTCTACTAATGGTAGGTTAACAATTTTGCCAAATAATACTTTCTTTAGGGTTTTAGGATTTTATAGGAATTAATATACATTAATATGAAATATTATGAAGATTTTGTAAAAAAAAAATTATTTTTAACTTCTGAGTGTAGTATTTGTTACTTTGATGTAAATTTTCAAGTATTTTCACCATATTGTAGGAGGTAACACCAGTTCTAGGGTAACCCCAACCCTAGTGACCAAGGACAATTTATCTCAGTACACCATACAGGATGTTTTATTACCCTTACCAGGGTTTGACATCAAGTACCCAGATAATGAAGGTAAGACATAATACAATGAATTTTACAATGTATTTAAGGTAGTATCAAATGGTTTGAGAGGTCTATTTTATTTTTATTTGCAGTGGGTAAATGGTATACCGATTTCTTGGAAGCAGATGGGCTGACATTGGAAGGACTTAAACACCCAAATAAGTAAGAAATATACATGTAGATATGGAATAAAATCAACAGCAAGTTAAATATTTATGTTAAAAAGGCATAAATAAAATATTCAGTGGGCAAAATGATATTTCCTTATTTTACAGGCAGTATGCATTACCAGGTGCCTACAGAAGACTACTGTTAGTTCCAAGTGATTTAAAATGGAAAATGTACAAATACACAGATGTCACCAAGGAGCTGACCTTGAGTGACCTTGACCTCATTAAACAAAAACCTGAGCCTGTTTCAGAACCAGGTAAGTTACATGGACAGAAAGTTACATTAGCATAGAGTTACACTATCATAGTCTATTTTCACCTTCTTATACAGGCTTAAATTAAGACCATCAAAATGAAAGTACATTGTATAAAAGTATCCAAAATTTTGGCATGTAACAATGTACATATTTTGGCTAAAATATTTTTAAAAAACACTACCAAACTTCCTTGTTGTATAAAATAAGCTCAGGGAAATCAAGTTATGTTGTTCTTCATGATAACATGAGTAGTAATGAGTGATGCGTTTATCACACTTGCCACTTATGTACCATTTCCTTTTGTTTAAATCTTTATATAAAATTGTTTTTAACAGATGGTATTTCAAATGCATTGAAAATTGAAATGTCTCTTCCACAATCCTGTTATGCTACTATGGCCCTTCGTGAAGTTCTTAAAATAGACACTTCTGCCGCATTCCAGTCTACGCTGAATCAGAAGGCCAGATCACATGACCACTGCTGCCAAGGAGACTCAGAGTAAACAACAGGCCAATCTATCTCAGTGAAATCCATTATTTTCATGTTAAAAAAGACTTGAAATATCTACATTCTCCTGATAAGAAAACATGGGACATTTATTAAACGTGTTAGTAAGAAATGTAAATTTTACAGTGCTATTTTAAGCTGGTAGACGTTGAACTTCCTTTAAAAGCATGGTGAATAAAAAAAATCTCAATTGCCCATAAATCTGAGCTGTTTTTGCACATACTGACATAGTTACATGACCCGAGAGATTTAAACTGCATTTTTTGAATTCAAATTTCATCAACAAATAATTAGTAACAATTTCTAATGTCAGTTCCCTTGTATATTAAAATATGCAATAACATCAATGTTGATATTATTATTCATTGTGTCATAATAAATGAAAAAAAAACCCCATTAGATTTCATTTACCCGGTATTTATTTTTGGGTACTATCTTGTACATATATATGTACATGTATTTTTGTAATCTGTCAATCCTACAATATGGCGTACTGGTAGAGTGTTCTGTCTTATAATCAGACGGTTCATTGTGGAAAAACTCTTGGATCCATACTGAAGAAATTATGAAAATTGGTTGTTCTCAAAATTCATCAAAATCTTCTTGAAAATGTCACACTCTCCGAAGTCGATCACCTGAAAAATGCCAACAGTTGAGTGAATAATTATTACTGTAGTTAAAAACAAAACAAGGTAACATGTGCTTTTTAAATTACATTCAAATCTTTAAAATGCAAACTTTTGAGTCTCTAAAAAGTTCATAAACTGGACAAAATACTGTAAAGCAGGCTTTATATTTTAGCGGCTTTGGCACTGACAACAATGCTCTAATTCATGATTACCGCTAAGAAATCATTTATATATACAATATACTGAGTGGACATGTGTAGCGCTAATTTATGATTACCGCAACAAACCCATACCCAGTGATTACGGTAAATTTTGAATACGCCATATTGTGTACAGTAAGTTAGGGATTATAGACTGTTTTATTGATTATTAGCTCACTTGATCTGAAAGCTCAAGTGAGCTTTTCTGATCACATTTTGTCCGGCGTCCGTCTGTCTGTCCAGCTGTCTGTCTGTAAACTTTTCACATTTTCGACTTCTTCTCAAGAACCGCTGGGCCAATTTCAACCAAACTTGCCACAAAGTATCCTTGGGTGAAGGGGATTCAAGTTTGTTCAAATGAAGGGCCACGCCCTCATTCAAGGGGAGATAATTGGGAATTAATGAAAATTTGGTGGCATATTTTAAAAATCTTCTTCTCAAGAACCACTGTGCCAGGAAAGATGAAACTTATGGGGAAACATCCTCAGGTAGTGTAGATTCAAGTTTGTTCAAATCATGACCCCGGGGGGTAGGGCGGGGCCAAAATGGCCAACCAAAGTTTTACATAGAAATATATAGGAAAATTCTTTAAACATCTTCTCAAGAATGACAGAGCCATAATTCATCATATTTATATGGAAGCATGCTCAAGTAGTGTAGATTCAAATCATGACCCCCAGGGGTAGGGCGGGGCCAAAATGGCCAACCAAAGTTTTTCAAGATATATATAGGAAAATTCTTTAAAAATAATTTTCAAAAAAATAGCAAATCCATGATTGGTCATGGGACTACTTTTGGATTTAAACTTTACAATAATCAAAGTACTGAAAGTACTGTTAGACGGAGGCTTCATGTATGAGAGAACACAAAAGAAATATAGTTGTCATACATAGCTGTACATGTATATATATAGAATATTATGAGGAATAATGTGTAGTATTTTTTTCAATTCAACATTTTTAGCTCACCTGAGCCGAAGGCTCAAGTGAGCTTTTCTGATCACATTGTGTCCGCCGTCCGTCCGTCCGTCCGTCCGTCCGTCTGTCCGTCTGTCCGTCCGTCTGTCCGTCCGTAAACTTTTCACATTTTCGACTTCTTCTCAAGAACCACTGGGCCAATTTTGACCAAACTTTGTACAATGCATCCTTGGGTGAAAGGGAATTTAAATTGTTAAAATGAAGGGACATATCCCCTCGCAAGGGGAGATAATCAAGAAAAGACAAAAATAGGGTGGGGTCATTAAAAAATCTTCTTCTCAAGAACCACTGGGCCAGAAAAGCTGAAACTTATGTGGAAGCATCCTGGGGTAGTGTAAATTCTAAATTGTTCAAATCAAGACCCCCAGGGATTTGGCGGGGCCACAATGGGGAATCAAAGTTTTACATAGAAATATATAGGAAAAATCTTTGAAAATCTTCTTATCAAGAACCACTGGGCCAGAAAAGCTGAAACTTATGTGGAAGCATCCTGGGATAGTGTAAATTCTAAATTGTTCAAATCATAACCCCCGGGTATTGGGCGGGGCAACAATGGGGAATCAAAGTTTTACATAGAAATATATAGGAAAAATCTTTGAAAATCTTCTTCTCAAGACCCACTGTGCCAGAAAAGCTGAAACTTATGTGGAAGCATCCTGGTATAGTGTAGATTCTAAATTGTTCAAATCATGACCCCCGGGGATTGGTCGGGTCCACAATGGGAAATCAAAGTTTTACATAGAAATATATAGGAAACATCTTTGAAAATCTTCTTCTCAAGAACCACTGTGCCTGAAAAGCTGAAACTTATATGGAAGCATCCTGGGGTAGTGCAGATTCTAAATTGTTCAAATCATGACCCCCGGGGATTGGGCGGGGCCACAATGGGAAATCAAAGTTTTACATAGAAATATATAGGAAACATCTTTGAAAATCTTCTTCTCAAGAACCACTGTGCCAGAAAAGCTGAAACTTAAATTGAAGCATCCTGGGGTAGTGTAGATTTTAAATTATACAAATCATGACCCCCGGGGGTTGGGCGGGGCCACAATGGGGAATCAAAGTTTTACAAAGAAATATATAGGAAACATCTTTG